CATAGGAAAGTAAAAGGATGCAGGTGGCACTGTGGTCTAAACCACTGAGCCTCTTGGGCTTGCCGATCAGAAGGTTGGTGGTTCGAATCCGCACAGTGGGGTGAGCTCCTGTTGCTCTGTCCCAGCTCCTGCCTCTAGCAGTTCGAAAGCACACCAGTCCAAGTAGATAAATAGGTACCGCTGTGGCGGGAAGGTAAATGGCATTTCCGTGCACTCTGGTTTCCGTCACGGTGTTCCGTTGCCCCAGAAGTGGTTTAGTCATGCTGGCCACATGACCTGGAAAGCTGTCTGTGGACCAATGTCAGCTCCCTTGGCCTGAAAGTGAGATGAGCACCGCAACCCCATAGTCACCTTTGACTGGACTTAACCATCCTGGGGTCCTTTAGCTTTTATATACATAGAAAGTGATTCTGAACTCAATTCACATAGCCACTATATATGACTGCATAGTGTTAGGACTGTACTCCTTCAATGTACAGTGTCATACGGTACTCCAGCTCCCATCTGCTCCAACTAGCATGGCCAGTGGTCAGGAATGACAGGAGTTGCAGTCTGACCTCAGGAGGGCTCCAGGTGGAGAAGATTGCTATGGACAATGATAAAAGTTACTATAATTTTGCCTCTAGGAAAATCCATGAAGTCAACTGATTAGTGAATAAACTTCTTATCCACTACAGTGGTACCTCGGGTTAAGTACTTAATTCATTCTGGAGGTCCGTTCTTAACCTGAAACTGTTCTTAACCTGAAGCACCACTTTAGCTAATGGGGCCTCCTGCTGCTGCCGCGCTGCCGGAGCACGATTTCCATTCTCATCCTGAAGCAAAGTTCTTAACCCAAGGTAGTATTTCTGGGTTAGCGGAGTCTGTAACCTGAAGCGTCTGTAACCTGAAGCGTATGTAACCTGAAGCATATGTAACCCGAGGTACCACTGTATTATATATCGTGATAAACATAGACCCTGTAAAAGGCATTTGTCAGGTGATTTTCTGTTTTTCCTGTGGTAGTTTTTTTGCTATTTCAGTAATCTGCTCTTGTTTATATAAGTTATTGTGTGATTTATGGTTTTATTATTAAGCCACTTTGAATGTATCTGTGGAGGAAAGTGAGAGATAAAGAACCACAGTGTGCTTGTGTTGCTTAAAACCCTTATTTCTGCCTTTGAATCTGCTCATTTAATTCTGAACAATCATTTACTTCTTGTGTAATAGATGCGGAAAACCTGCTGTAGGCTGTTGCTGGACCCCAGCTCCAGTAATACCCACAAGTCATCACTTTCATCACTATCTGGGGTTTTCAGAAAGAGGGGATGATGTGTATTTGAATCGGTTTATAGAAGACATTGAGAACACAAGCTACTCGTACCATTTGGAAAAACTAAGCATGTGGTTCTCAGCCCAGTGTCATTTTCAATGTCCATGAGGTCATATCATTGATAAAAAATTGTGTAGCCAAACCACCCGCCCTCTCTCACTTCCACTCTATGCTAGATACACATTGTAAGGAAAGGGTTGGCCTCCCAATTGGCCTGTTGTAGCTTTAATTTGGAAATGATGACACTGTATCCATTTATACAAAGCCAGAACTCAACATTTTACAAGCTGATAATTGAACAATATTTGTGTGCGGTTTTTTGCCTTTGATTTGTAATGTTTACCTTTTTCTTTTTGGTATTTGCTCCCTCTCCTGTTTAAAAATAAATAGATGGTGTTATTCAACTAACTCAGAGTAAACCCACTGAAATTCCTCGCCATGACTAACTTAGGTACAAAGTTAGTTGAATACACACATCCCCCACTGTTTTCTTCTCATATAACCTACATTAGTTCTTTGGTACAATATTTGAGGTGCCTCACACAAGACTCTGTCCTGCAAAAAGCTCGGTTTGAGCTGGTCTTAACTGTAGATCACCCAGTAAAGTCAGGAGCACTGTAGCCTTCTGCTGTGACATGCAGTCTTTCAACCACTGCAGGGGCAGAAAATAAAGGACATGATACTCTGACATAGTGCTGTCAATCTATGTTGCTCTGCAAGGCTAAAGCAAACCAGGCTTCACTGTGTCCCCTGCCCATCCACCTCCAATCAAGCATTTATTTACTGTGGCAGAGAAACTCAGGGTCAGAGTGTAATCCACAACATACCTAAGCAGTTGTACTGATTTTAATAGGACTATTCAGAAATAGGTTGTAGATTGAGGTTACACAGGCATATATGTCTGGATTCCTACATACACTCAGTCAGAAGGATGCCATGTTGACCTCTGTGGGACTTACATGTGACAAATAAATGAAGGGCAGGTTTAGAAAGTTTCCTTTTCTTATTGAACTTACATGATTCTAAAAGTGTGTTCTGTACTTGTTGTTGCCATGTTGACCTCTGTGGGACTTACATGTGAGTAAACATACATAGGGTCAGCTCTTAGAATGTTTAATACTTCTGGGGATTAAGGTAAGAACTGGACATTATATATGCCATTGGCAACTAGATTTGTATACTGAAAATGATTAATACTACAGTGGTACCTCGGGTTACATACGCTTCAGGTTACATACGCTTCAGGTTACAGACTCCGCTAACCCAGAAACAGTGCTTCAGGTTAAGAGCAGGTGCTTCAGGTTAAGAACTTTGCTTCAGGATGAGAACAGAAATTGTGCTCCAGCGGCGCGGCAGCAGCAGGAGGCCCCATTAGCTAAAGTGGTGCTTCAGGTTAAGAACAGTTTCAGGTTAAGAACAGACCTCCAGAAAAAATTAAGTACTTAATCCAAGGTACCACTGTACTACTACTACTACTACTAGCCATTCAGAAATAGTTAAGACTATGCAGGAGGGCTTGATGTGGCAAATCTCATTATGATATAAACAAGACACAAGGTAACAGCTACAAGCTACTTTGCACCCAGCCAAATATGTGTCCCATGTTGCCACCTCATATCCATGCTGTGATCACCATTATTCCTGAAGAGGCTTGCACCTGCAATGATGCACTAGACATATCTTGGAGAGCACAGGCAACCACAGCAGAACCCCCGCGCAGTATCCCCATATGTTTACAGAGGCATATCTTAACTTTCATACAGGACTGTAAGACACATGGTGGGCACATGGGAAAACATGCTTTCTATGCAAAGTGTGAAATGGCCTTCAATCCTTTAAGCTTCTAAAAAGCCCGGAATTCTGTTATCTGCCATCAAGGAATTACTTAAGAATAATTGTCTTCTCTGCAGGACATCCACAAAAGGATAACATCGCATAAGAATGGTGGACAAAGCCTGCACTTTACAGGCTGTCAACACCTGTAAGTCCACAAAAAGAAAATTGGTAATAAGCTCCGCTTTTAGAATAAGTTGGTTGTATTCTCCGCCAACTAGAGCAAGAGGCTACTGGACTCATTGTTTTCTAGCATAACTGCTCTTAAGTAATCACAGCAAAAGAGCAGCTTGGCTGCAGATGCCAAGAAGTGGTCCTGATCCTTGGCACAGCTTGGCTGCCTTTGTCCTTACTGTGCTTTGAAAGGTTAGTGATGCACTTATTAAAGCAGACTTCTCTAAATGGGGGGGGGGGGAGGAGGAAAGGAAACAAAACAACAAACAGCTGGAGGAGGAAATAGCAGGTCAGGTCCCCGAGGCGCTGGTTTCTGCAGATGTAGAAAGATCTTTCAATGACTCCCATGTGTTTAAAATGCTCTTTTACATGGTGAGAGCTACAGTGTGTGCTTATCTGTGTGTTTCAGACACACATATGAATCCATGTGTATGTACCTGGACATGTAGTGGCGAAGTGATAGACATACTTATGTCAAGCATTCCATAAGTTTGTCCTGATTTGCACATTTGTATGGCTGGGTGATCCCCCCTTCTACTCATCTCTTTCTGCAGCTGGCAATATGCATGGCAAGTGTGTTTGTTAGCATGGAACCAAAGTCAGCAAGTATGATTTTATAGGATCACTTCGTGCCCCTGTCCACATGTCTATGCATTCCTGTCTGTGCACTTGTTCTGTGTTACTGGGATTGTTGCACGGCATTTTCATGCTTCCCTTTCTCCAAGGAACGAAGGGTAGTGTAGGGTTGATTTTATCTTCACAGTAACCCAGAAAGGCAGGTTAGGCTGAGGGATCATGACTTGCCCAAGGGTCACCCACTAAGATAAAAGGCTGGGCAGATATTTGACATCAACTCTACCCACTATTTATGTTATCTGTATGTCTTATGTTGCCTTTGCGTGATCGTCACTACTTTTTATATAGCAGGGATGGTGGACCTCAGTCCTGGGGGTCCTCTTCAGGCCTCTCTTCACGATCTACCTGTGGGACATGCCTGCTCTAAGGCATAGGCTGCATTGCTTATCCACGTGGAATCACAAAGTCTGCACGCAGGTAGTGGAGTCCACCCCTCTTCCCATGGTTCCATGGAAGAGACTATTTCTGGTGCTTCTGGCTTTGCACAGAAAGCACAGCAGGAACTGGAAGAGCATGTTCAGGAGTGAAAAGGGATATAAGCAAGGAAGCACATTATTCTATGGCTGCCACTATTTTTCTGGCAGAGCTCCTGCTTCTCTAACACGGGCAGCGTCGGCAATAAAAATAAAATAAAATCCAACAGGTGAAGCTTTTCCCTCATCGAACGTCAGTGTCAGGAAATTGCTCATTTATGGTATTGTCCCGTTGTTGTTGTTGTTGTTGTTGTTGTTAAGCGCACACAGAACCGGCGTCCTCAAAAGAGAAGACTCCAGACTCCCTTTGCCTGAGGAAGCCATTTGCCTTTATAATAATAGCAAGGCGGTGGTGGAGCCTCTCACCTGCTCCTTGCCGCGTTTCCCCCGTCCCACAACGCTGCGTCTGCCCATCGCCTCCCTCAGCAAACTTCTCGGCCTCCCACTCAATCTGACCCGCGACGTGATTTCTCCCGCCGTCCAGCCCCCCCGCCCGCCAACTTCGCTCTAATTGCGCGCGCTCCCCTCACACACCTTAACGCTCCTGCCCACCCCGTCGTCGAAGAGCTTTTATCTTTCCCCACGCCCATCCCCGTCTCCCGCCGCTATCCCTTGGCGGGTGAGGGAGAAACTCCGCTTTCCGACCCAGCAAGCCCCACCCCACACTCGGTGCCCTTCTCGTCGTCGTCCCCCTTCTTCACACTTTCCCCCCTTTGCCCACCAGCCTTCGCTCCCCGCCCCCGCCGCGCCTTTCCCGCCTTCCTTCCGCCCCTCACACGGGCTGGGCTGCTTCGCGCAAAGACGGAGCAGCTCCCGGCCGAGCTGCTGCGCCGGGGCAAACTTGGCCAAGCCGCTCCAGCGGGATTTGCTCCCGGCAGCGGGAGGAAAAGGAAAGGGAAGCGCGCCTGAGGCATCGAGAGAGCGCGTCCGCTCTGCTTGAGGCGGACGGAGGAGGCACAGCCTTGCGCCGGCAGTCGAGTAGAAGCAGCCGCGGAACCCCCGTGGCCCGACGTGGCTTCGCCTGCTGCCGCAGCCCCTTCGCTGGAAATGAAGAGAGTGTGCACGCTCTCCCTCTGGCTCTGGATCGGCATCGTCTCGGAAGCAGGTGAGTGAGCGCAGGCGCGCCTTCGACGGAGCGTACGCCGGCGGCGCCGCGCAAGCCGAGGAGCTGCTGTGGGCTGGCAAGGGATGGGACGGGGCGGGTGGCGGCGGGCATCGCCTGGCTGCAGGATGAACCGGGGTGGGAAGCTCCAGCCCAGCAACTCCGCGCTCCCTCCGCCCGCCTGCGTGCGCCGAGTTGCGCCAGCGGCTCCCGACCGCCTGGCACCGGCGGGGACGGGCATCCCTTGGCTCCTCTCACCCTTCTGCTGCTCTTTGCATGCTCTCCGTGGCCTCGGTCCCCAACCTTGCCTTTTGCCTCCCTTTCTAGATAATATTTGGCACTTTTCAGCTCTCCCCGCTTTTATCGCTTCTTGGGATTCTGAGTCCCCAGCTGTGCGCTCTGCCTCTGTCCCTTCATTCCCTTTCACATCCCCTTCCCTCTTTTGTTCAACTCCGCCGCTCTCCGGGCAAAGCATCTGCCAACTTAGTAGTACTGTGCCCGCTTCCTTCGACTACTTGTTCATCTTTTTCGACTTCAGCTGGATGACGGAACGCCATTCAACCACCAGAGGGCACTCTTGGGTGACTAATCTTTTCCTCCAGCTGCACGCAAAGTTCGGGCAGGAAAGGGGACTTTAGACATCCCTTTGGTTTAACCCCGCAACAGGGATCAAACCTGCGCTGGTTCCTCAGGAAGTGCCTTCTGGTGTGATCCTGTACAGTTTATCCTGCCTTTGTGTTGGTTTTTTTCTTTCTTTTCCTTTTTAATGCATTGCCTGTTGTTTGTGTGCTATGATATATAGTCTGTGTGCAGACACATAAGTTGGTTCAAGTTACTGCATTTATTACCAAAACACATTGACTGGCCCAACACTAGGGCTGCAGTCCCAAAGTGAACAAAGTGGGACCATAGGAGCCAACTCCTAGGGACTGAGGTCCCTTCACCCTCCCCCAATAAAATATTGGAGCCCCCCTCCCCATTGATCGACATCACCATTCAAATGGTGTGTGCACACTGCTTCTTGCTATTGATTATGTGGGGTGGGGCTTACCTCCCCCCCTCCCCAATATTTCATTCAAGTTAGCACCCCTGAGTGGGACTTTCCTTCTGAGTAGATCTATACTGGCTGAGACTGCATGAGATGCCTGTCCGACTTGGGAGTAGGGAGGTGGTCTGCCTGCGTGTCGGAGCTGCTAATAAAATAAAGCTGTAGGTAACATTTGCTGAGATGCAGAAAATGTTTCCGTGGAGGAGGACTATGACACATGATTTGCTAGCGTTCAGGTGGGAGGCTATAAGGAACCAGAGAGACCACAGCAAAAGTCATAGTGCAGGAAGCTTTGCATGCGGCAAGATCAATTTTTGCAGCATAAGACCATTTTCTATAATCACAGCTCCATGATTCATCACTGTTGTGGTGTATTGTTTATTCCACACAAAAAAGTGATTTAAAAGCAGGGTCTTAAGCATCTGAGAGGTATAGAATGCAGCACCATGCTCATTGCAAGTCCAGACAGCTGCTGCTCAGCAAAGGTGCTTTTAAGGCATAGTGCTTTGCAGCTGGAATTGGACATTGTGATGAATTATTTGTGGGTGGTGTTACCTTTCTCCTACTAACCTAATGGGTCTGAACAAGGCTAATACACACTGAGTTGCTGCCTCTGGGGTGGAGTGCACACAAGCAGCGCACATGCTTGGTTTTTCATGTCCTGATACAAAGAGAACTGAGTTGATATAATGCTCCCTTCATAAGGATCAGAGTTTCTGTGAGGCAGGAGGGCAGTGTGGATTGAGAACACTACCTTTCCTAAAGGAATAGCTAGAAAGGAATGAAGAATAAACAGGTGTGAGATAAATCTGGCATAGGGGCTTGAATGTGTTCAGAAAACCGATGGTGGTGATGTTCAAACCCAGGTTCAGCCATGAAGCTCACCTGGTGACTTTGGAGTACATTAGTTTCAATGGCACACAATTTTTTATAGTAGCTTTAACACTCTTTATCTGTCTCTTATGCTATAATGAATGTCTTATGATCAGGTGCCACTATTGGCATACTTAGCTTTGATCTGTAAATATTTCCTTTTACATCCAGACAGTATTGCACCATAGTTCAGGGGTGGGGTAGGTGATTTTAGCCGGTCACTTTGTCAGCCTGTCCTATCTCACTGGGTTATCGAGAGGATAAAGCAGGAGAGATGAGGAGATCCATACATATTCCCTGGAAGAATTGTGTGTGGCGGGGTAATCATCACACATAATGTTAAGAAATGTTAAGTCTTGTGGTTTGGGTGAGCAGGTTTACAGACTCCTGTATTTGGGCTCTTTATAATAGGGATGTCTAAACTGTGGCCTTTCAGATGTTTTTGGACTACAGATCTCATCAGCCCCTGGCAGTAGTGGGGGGGGGAATCACAGGGGTGGTTGCCCCGGGTGCAAAATTCTTAGGGGTGCAACATTTCAACACCCGGTACTGCCTCAATGCAGTGCATGCTTCCATTGCTGAGTTCTGTTGAAAATGGCTTCTCCATGCAAACCAGGAAGTGTCCTCTCCAGGCAGCGGAATTATTTCTCTTTTCTTAATCTCTGCGGCTGTGATCTCCTGGATGCCATGGTGTCATTAGGAATGTGCATGCGTACTCTGTCCTTTTCCCTCCCTCCTTCCCTCCCTTGTCAGGCCCTGGGCACTGGCAACCCACGCTATGCCAATGCCTCAGTGGCGTAGCGTGGGTTGTCAGCACCCGGGGCAAGGCAAGTAATTTGCGCCCCCTAACCCGTGGATTTTAGTAGGGGCAGAGAGCTGCGAGTGCGAGCGCGCCCCCCAGATGTTGCGCCCGGTGCGGCCGGCCCCCCCTGCACCCCCCACGCTACGCCACTGCAACGCCTACCAGCATGGGACAAGGCCCATTCTTTGTTGCCTCCTTATTTTGTATGATAAGTTGTAAATAAACATGCACAGTCGGTTCTCCTCAGGCCCATCCAGCCACTTGGTTAAGGGTGCACCAATTTCTTTGGCCTGCAGTACATAGCTGGACTGCAGATCATACTGACTCGCCTGGCTCCATGGATCAAGTCTCCATTTACAGTGAGAGTGCTAAAAGCATCCTTTTGGCACGAGGCCAAGTAAAACTCAAACCTACCGCTTCCAGGAATGTAGCTGAGGGAGGCAGACAAATCCTTGCAGCAGACGTAGTGGAGCATGCTGACATGATTGCAGAGGGCATATGGAATATATTATTGCCGCACTTTTCCCCGATAGATCCCCAATTGCCGCAGCACCTGCTGCAAGGACGACGCTTGACACAATGTGTTAAACAGATACCCCCTGTTCCTTGTAGCCTGGGACTTGGTGCTAGGCATTCCGATGGATTGCAGCACGATCATAATTTCTCCTCTGTGGGCATAGAAATACTTCTGCAGCTGCTCTGATATCCAGTGACTGTTTAAATTAATCCCAGGATTTTTATTGCCTCTGGCTATCTTAAAGCTTTGTTTCTTATTTCAAGCTGCTAATGAGGTGGGTTGTGTTAGTCCCGTTGGTGGATTTCTCCTAAGGTCAAAACTGTAATGGTGCTTAATGAATTGCAGTGGTATCATTGCTCCTCCAAAGTGCCTCGTCATTAAAAGGACACAGCCAGGCTCAGTGCCTAGGCTGGTTTTGTGTTCTAAGCCTGGCTCTATTGAGCGGCAGAGGAAGCCTCTCGGGCACCTGGGGCGGTGCGCCCATAGGGGCGGGGCGAACCACCCATAGGGACGGCACGGGGCATGTGGAACCCATAGGGACGGGGTGCACAGCGCCCATAGGGAGGAACAGGGCGCATGGCACCCATGGGGGGGACAGGGCGGAGAGCACAGTGCCCTTAGGGAGGGATGGGATGGGGCGCGCAGCACCCACAGGGACGGGATAGGGCATGAGGTGCCCTTAGGGAGGAACAGGACAGGGTGCGGGGCGCCCATAGGGATGGGATGCACCACGAGGGCCTGGGCCTCAGCCACCCTATAGCTGGGGGGGAGGCAGTGGGCGGACATCGTGGAGCCTGTGAGTGCCCAAAACACGCTGCAGGCCTTGTAGTGAGTGCTCCCCGCCATTTTGTCACCCCCCTCAGTGGGGACACCTGGGGTAGACCGTACCTACCGCACCCCCTTGCTACACCCCTGGTTCTACCCCCTCACAAAAATAAGTCTACATATACTCACATGCTTTGCATCCAGAAGGTCCCCCCACACTTTGCCAGTAGGGTTGTTAAAAGTCAGAAAAGTCAGAAACTCTGGAGAGCCATTATTAGTCAGTGTAGACAATACAGTGTAGGCTGTAATGGTCTGACTCGGTATAAGGCAGGTTCCTATGCTCCTATTGTGAGTGCAGACAGCTTACAAAGGGAGATTTCCAGTCCACCGTCCCACCTTATAATTCCTCAGTCCTTTTAGTTTTCTTCTTCTTCTTGCAATAGCCTTCTTGTGTTACACTTGACTAAGACATTCAAAGCCAGCTCAGCACAGTTGTGGCTACTTGGCAGTCAGGCCAAACCAAGAGATGATGGAAAATCCAAAACAAGCTAGCAAGTGTCCAAATGGAATTCCAGTTATTGTGCTACAGTCCATTGATGCCCTTCATAAAAAAGAGAGAAAGATAATATTGCTGCAAAATCAGAAGGATATCATGAATCACCAGCCACTGGAGAGACAAGAAAGAATGCAAAGTTGTGTAATGCAAAAAGGGCAGAACCTGGCGAACTAACTTATTGAATCTGCCCCCCTCACATTCTGCAACTGCAGTCATTCACTTGCCCTTCTGACTATTTCCAGTATTTTAAACAGTATTGTTTTTCCACAGTTACTCCTCCTATATAAATAATGCCTCTTTACTTCTCTCCATCTGTGTTATGAATTTACAGGAAAGATTTATCCCCATTTCCTCCCTAAAAAACCCAAGTTATCTGATCAGACAGGAAAAAATAATAACCCAATATGTTATTCACAGAAAAGAGAGTGGACCTTCTGGAATTTATCTTTAGACATTAGGAAGTTTCTAAAGGATACAGGGATTACCTTTTCATAGTAGTAAACCTAGAGTTCGCCAGATGTCAGTTTATTCCGTTAATGGCTTCATAATAAGAAATAACCTGTTCAGCATACTGGAAGTGTGTGAGTATAGTTGTTACATAGACAAGCAACTGTAAACCTGTCTATAAGGAGATAAAATAATCACTGAATGCTTTCAAGACATGCATATGCTTAACTTCCTGGCATGAACTTAATAGAGGTACATAGTCAACTGTTTGCTGTTACAAATGGGTTAAATTTATACACTGCTGAGATAGGCATGCACTGAACTGAAGTTGGGTGATACATTATAGAGATCAAACTGTGCCAATATTATGCTCTCTGAACTTTATGTAAAACTGAGTCAGGTATCTGCAGGTCCCTGGCTTTTAACAGGTAGCCTGCAAAGAGTTAAGTGAAGATGCTTAGCTATGATGCCAGGCATGATGTCCAAGCCTTTGCTGGCGGAGGTCAGCAGTGGTTCATGGGAAAGGAAAAATTGGCAGCTGGGCCGGATGTCCTGCATTTCCCCTCTTCCTGCAGCCGCCTGAACTGCGGTCCTTATTTAGCTTTCCTGATGGGCAGGAGGAATCCGATGGCGGAAACTGTCATAGCCTGATAACAGTTCAGGGACCCCTTTATGATGGGTGTCTAGGTAGGCAATGGGTCAGTTTTCATTTTGGTGAGGATGGGGGAGGAGAACAGCATGCCCGGCCAACTCAGGCATGATTGACACTGGCCATTTAATATACATTTTCCAGGGGGAGAAAGTATCTGCACTTCAGTGTGTTGATCTGCTCACTTGTACACAAATCACGCTGCATTTCTAGTCTGAAAATAACCCAACAATGAAATGATGACGTCTTTCAAGGAGGTGTTTTTTCCCCCTTTCTGTGGGCGGTTGAGCCAGCTGACTCAGGGAGGAGTTCATGGGGAGAGGGGAAAGGGGGATCCTGGAGTAGAGCCTTCTGGCTGGAGTCCAGGCCCGGGCAGAGTTTTCCACTGACTTATGGTGACAATGTGTCAGCAAGGCCAGCAATAACAATGGCATGGTACATGGTGACGCAGGGCTTGTCAGAAGTGAGAGGCAGTCAAGAAGGAATCTGTGTACAAGCAGCATGAACAAAACATTCGGACGTGTATTTTCACCATACATGGTGCTTTGATATGATCTGTGTACTAGAGTCTACGTTTACAGTTACATACAAAACAAACCCGTATTAGAACTGCTGAAGTAAATATATTTCCAATAAAAGCAACTCCACTATATTTGTATTGACTTCTGCCATTTTTTCATGGAGCAACATGCTCCATGAGAATGGTCATCATATGCACACTTAGCTATTCCTTTACCCCATGTATCAATCTCCATTTGGAGAATGAAACCTCAGCACAGAACAGCTTAAACTGCAGGTCAGAGCTAGGCAAGCACTGATGATTTGGGGGGGTAAAGGTAAAGGGACCCCTGACCATTAGGTCCAGTCGTGACCGACTCTGGGGTTGCGGCGCTCATCTTGCTTTATTGGCCGAGGGAGCCGGCGTACAGCTTCCGGGTCATGTGGCCAGCATGACTAAGCCGCTTCTGGCAAACCAGAGCAGCGCACGGAAACGCCGTTTACCTTCCCGCCAGAGTGGTACCTATTTATCTACTTGCACTTTGACTTGCTTTCAAACTGCTAGGTTGGCAGGAGCAGGGACCGAAAAACGGGAGCTCACCCCGTCGTGGGGATTCGAACCGCCGACCTTCTGATCAGCAAGTCCTAGGCTCTGTGGTTTAACCCACAGCGCCACCCATGTCCCGATTTGTGGGGTAGCTATGGTGAAATTCATTGTGGACATCCTAATGATCACCAGTGTTTGCCCAATTTTGACTTGAAGCTTAAGCATTTCTGTATCAGTGGTTTAATTTTCCATGTGGTGACTGATACATTAAAAATAATAATCCAAGAAAGGCTGCTTGAAATAAGAGATAGGAAACATGCTCCAATTTCCACTTCACTGAAGAGGGCAAAGTTACTCTGGATTTAAAACAAGACAAGATGGGGCATGCAATTTTGCAAACATATCCAATTAGCATAACTCATGTTGTTCACCAAATGTTGGTTTTTCTGGCTGTAGAATTGTAAACTGCACATTAGCAGGCAAACACAGGTTCCCAGTTTGCCTAATACTGTTAATGCATGGATAGGCAGGGCATTAGCAAGGGAGTGTTACTGGGCAAGAGTGAGTGCTTAAACATTTTCAGCTCACCAATGTCCCCCATAACCCTTCTCTCCCACCAGTTTCCCACCCCTCTCTTTCTCTCCCAGCTCCCTGCTTTGCCCAGGTGGCTCCAAGGCCATGCAATAGCCCATCAGTCAAGCAACAAGTCCAGGAGAATGGTTGTAGGGAAGGGCTAAGCACTTCCAGCCTCTGATTCTCCTCTGTAAATACCCGCTGCTGCATCACTGTTGACTTTGCTCGCTGAGTTAAATTGTACATATACCCCGACTTTATGTATTAACAGTGCACAGGATTATTTGAGTTGCTTTAATAATAATAATAATAATAATAATAATAATAATAATTTATTATTTGTACCCCGCCCATCTGGCTGGGTTTCCCCAGCCACCCTGGGCGGCTTCCACAGAAACCAAAAATACACTAAAATATCACACATTAAAAACTTCCCTGAACAGGGCTGCCTTAAGATGTCTTCTGAATGTCTTCTGAATAAACCTCTAAAAGGCAACATGGAAATAAGTGACTGTTATGTCCAACAATGGCTGCGTGCACATTACCCTGGCTCCAGTGTGCTCTCATTCTGGAGGTACACCTGACATTAGCCACAATCCATATCTATCATGTAGTTCTTGATTGTAGTGCATTGGATGAATATATCCTTGCCAGGCAAATGCAACTTGAAATGCAGCAGGCGGGCATGTCTCATTGTGTTTTAAGTCACTAATATGTACATAGCCTACGCATTTTGGAAGAGCCTACGGCCTATTCCAAAGAGTAACCATATTTGCTCCAACTTGCTGGTTGTTCTGTTTTCCTTGCAGTTTTAAATCTTTCCTCATTTCCACCCTAGCAGCATCTGCAGGAAGGAATAAGGGTGATCAACCAGAATAGCTGATGGGTCTAGTCTCAAGAGATGAAGACAGAGCAGAAAGGAACATAGCAATGCCCCGCAGAGTGTTCCACAGAAAGAAGGAAGGAAGTTTTTATTACTAGGCTAAATCCTAAATTTCTTGTTCTGCACTCAATGACGTCCGAGGGACTGTTGGCTGATTGAAATTGAGAATGAAAATTCCAAGAATCACTGCAAGGGCCTGGGGTATGTAAAACGTTTGGCAAACCAGAAGTTTTCAGAAATTGCACATTAGTAAGTTGAAATTGCACTGTTTCCACAGGTAAAACTGAGATGATGTGGACAGCCAAGGCTCTTATGGAATATAGGCCCTAAATCTAGAGGAGGAAATAGCTGTATTTTAGTCCTGTTGAAATAAGTGGGTCAAGTTTAGTCATGGCTAAGCCTAATAAGCCTGACTGTATTAGGGCCAAAGTATACAAGGATTTAGTTGTCCTTCCTCCACATGTCTATATTGCAAATTATAAAATGTACAATTCAAGTACATATGCAATTTGAGAACCAAATGTTTCAGCCTTGTAATTTGATTTTCTGATCAATCAATCATTTTATTTGCATGCCATCTTTCCATAGTTAAAAGTATGCACGAAGCAGATTACAACATATAAAAAATGCAAAACTACAAACATAAGAATAGTAGTTATAAACAATAAACAAAACATCATAAAGTACACAACCAAACTGAACAATTTCCACATAAATCATAAGATCCAGTATAAAGATATAAAAAACTAATATCAACAACAGCAGCAACCCCCCTGCAACAAAATCCGCTAAACAGTATCCCGGCCCCGATAATAAAATGATATTTATTTTATAGGTTGGATCATCCTTTATATTTTTATTTATACAGGCAACAACCAATTTATGTGGCCCGAATGACATGTACACACGCACAGCACCGAACCTGGAAATACCCCAAAATGTCATAAAGACATCACAAAAAGGGGTGGAATGGGGTACGGGCAGAGCAGAGCAGGCTTATGTGTGCTCTGCCAACACATGGGAGGATCTGGGATGTAACCCCCCCCCCCAAAAAAAAACGAGGATTGCCTGTATACTAGGGACTGCACCACTGTTTAGGTTGCTCACCAACCCCTGGCTGACCACCTCCCCTTTTCAACCCCTCTCATCTTACACCTGGCACTAAACCCATCCCCATCCCTTTACACCTAACCCGAACCTGCCTTCTCTCTGTTTAGTTTGTTATTCTATTTTTACTGCCAGGAAAGGGGAGACTTGCTTTTGAGATTTTCTGCCTCAGATACCCAATAACTTGGTTGGCTTTGGATACTATGCACCTTGATTTGAGAGTGTGTGTGTGTGTCTCCATTTATTGCTCCACTTTTGGGCAGCAAAATGTCCTGAGTTGGCTCTGTTTCTGCATAATGTATTAATATTTCAGGTAAAATATCCTTGAGATAAGAATACAAATGAAGGAAGCAGGGTAAGACTTACCAAAAGGAGTGAGAGTAGAGACGGTACAGTATTTGAAAGAGGTGCTTTGCCCAAAGTATTGTCCAAAATATATTTGGGAGGAAAATGTGTGTGTGTGTGTTAAAGTTAGTACCTTTCCTTGTGCCTTCCTCATTCTCGAAGAATGAGCATCCACTGCCTCATGCTGATATGTAGCTTTGGCATTCTGCTTGCTCCTGACTTTGCAGTTCAGTGGCAGAGTCAGACAAGGACTGTGCTCCCAGGGCTTGGCATTTCCCAGTATTTACAGCCCCCTCCCCACCCCCAGCTGGTTAGACAAATAAAATCTAATGCCGACTGAATCCCCAGCTCTCTGTCCTCAACAGCAATAACAAGACCTGGGTGGCATTTCAAAGAATGTATCCGTAGGAGATGGCTTGAAATTAGCTAGCATTGGAATATATTCTTTTAATTTTGGGGGCTGGAAGAGAAATGTAATACTTTCTTTGTAATAGACTGGAGACTCTGGCTTAGCTGCTGTTTAGCTAGTATTGCTATGAATTGGAAAGATTGCTTAGAGCATTGACCTCTCACTAACCCCTTCCCCAATCCCAATGAAAACATGTTTTATTGCAAGAGCAGATAAAAGGAATCATAAATAAATGTGGTCTTGCGCAAGCTCTATGCTACCTGCCCAAGTGCAAAAATATGCGTTAGCACTGACAAGTTTGATTAAAAATCGGTGGCTAAAGTTCCGGCTTGCACTACATTTACAGTTTTATAATGTTTTAAGAGAAGAGAGACTGTATCACCCGCTTTAGAATACAAACCACCAAGCTTTGAGAAAAAGATTCAGATCCATCGCTGATACAACAGATTGCTAGAAATGAAAGTTTCTGAATTCCTCGGGGGTACATGGGCCCAGGGGGAGACTAGGCCCATTTTTATAACACTAAACTGTGGTTTAGTGTTATATCCAAACCAGGTGTCCAATTAATTCATCAAGACAACAGATTATAGAGTTTTTGGAGACCACGCTGTTGTGGATTTCCCTATACCTTTCTGCTACATCTTGAATGAATGAGACCAGCTAGTTCATCTGATTTTCAACCCCTTTCAAGCACACTCAGTTATTAAGTACAACATCTTTGTTAGTAATTACGTTCCTTAATTGAGTCATTAGCATATATAAACATTTCTCTGCTATTGTATTCTACTTGTGAGTACCTCTGGGGTTTGAGTTATTGTGTATGGAAACAATTTTAAATAGGAAAACAACAATCAGTAGAATTAGAATATTTTTTTAAAAAATGGCAATTTATGATGGCCTACAAACCATTTATAAAAAATATTTTCAACTTGAAGTTCTAACTATGAAAATATGATTGATCTGAACACAAGTAGCCTGCTGAGAAAGCCATAGCATGGCATTTCAATGGACATCTTTTTTGTTTGAGGGGAAAAATGAATTTCATGCCTGCCTGTGATTATTAGTACCGGTAGTTCTAAGATGCCTGAGGTATCTGTGCAGATTCATTGACTGTCTCTTTGAACTTGTAATCATCAGGATTTGTACTCTGCAAAGGTTGCACTATTTGATTGTTTTATTAAAGGGGGAGGTAACTGAAGTACTTCAATCCTGGGAGGCTGCAGAATAAAATATTAGATATGCATTCCTTTAAGAATTAATTATATGATCAAAGCATTTTCCATCCATTTCATGCTCTCTATACTGCTATGATTATAGCTCATCTCTCCACCAGAGAATTCAAGAAAACTGTAATGTATTTATAAACCTAAATAGGGAATAATGTTTGCACATTGGGGGGAAATGGTCTGTTTCAAAGGCTATAAATTTAGCCAGTAACTCCAAAGTAATGAAAGTAATCAAGGACCAAACCAGGGATGGCACCTCCTCACCTCTCTGCAAGTGCTCGAGCATTTTTCACACCTTTGTGATGTGAACAAATTCAACAGATGAAGTATTTCCCAATATGGAGGTGATATGAAGTATCTCCTATTAGGTTTCTCTGTCAGGCAGCTGTTAAAAGAAGTCATAGGAACACTGATTTTAGAAAAAGGCCACACCTACATTGAAAGTACTTATTCGGCTTTAACGGTAATGGTTTTCCACAAAGAATCCTGGGAACTGTAGTTTGGTAAAGGCACTGAGCTCACAGACCTACAGTTCCCAGCACCAGCTCCCAGGATTCTCCATGTGTGGTGCAAAGAGTGCTTTGAAAGCATGGGGTGAATGTAACTAAAGAGAACTGGCAGTCCTAGAGAAAGAGATGGCTAGCCCCCTTGCCATCAGTTGTTGGCAGGCCAGATCCAAAAGGAAACACGTGCTTTCTGATGTGCAAAGAGCACCCTGCCCCTCTAACTTAAAAGCAGCACGTATGGAGCTCAGCAGAGGGATAGAAAGGCTGCTGACAGCCCAGATCCGAGAGGAGGTCTGCAGGGTGGCCCTGGCTGACCTAGTGGCTCTAGGCCGGACATGTGGCTACCTGGCAGGCTAACTTTGGCCCAGGACATCTCCTCTCTGAGAGGATGGAGCCGGGGAGGGAAAGGGCACTGCGGTGGGGCAGGGGGGAGAGAAAGGAAAGCTGACAGGGAGAGAAATGCAAACACGGCCTAGCAGTTATGGTGTGGGGGAGGTGTGGAGGAAGATGAAGGGTAAACCTGGCAAGAGAACTCAGGAAGTCAAGCTGAAGCAAAGTGAGGGGAATGATGAGATAGAGTTTCCTGGAGAGGGCTGGAGAGAAAGGCAGACAGATAAACAGCCAGGAGGACCCAAGGAACGGATGCTGTTCTCTGAGCAAAGTCCTAGAGGGCGCTACGCAGCTGGCAGCTTGCCAAGGCCTGGTTTCTGTTCTCTCTCTCTCTGTCTCCTTATGCCTTTTGATTTTACTTCAAGGACTTCCACATATGGCAAACATATTCGAAAGAAGAGGTGTCACTGCACCCCCCTCCCCACTACTGTGTTCTAAACACTAAATATTGTTCATAATATCTAGCAATGTGCTGGTAATGCTGCATATTTCAAGGGAAGGCCAGGCGTTAGAAAGGTCAGGTTAGATTCCTCGGCCACACAGCCATCAGGCTTCCTAAAAGCTGCAACTTGTAGTGCTGCCTCTTATGATATCAGTGCTATATTGTTCTGTCACATCTTGGTTGCCTGTGTACACATTACTGCAGGGCTGCCTCAAGACATTTTGGAACCTGAGGCAAACCACAAAATGGCACCCCCTATCCCTGCCAGGTGAGAAGGGGTGAGTTATAATTCCTGTTACGTTATTTTTTATGAAGAATGCATAGGTTATATAATAGGCCTGCATGGGGAAGTTTGATGTTTTTATTGTAAATTGAAAATAACAATGGTGGTGGGTTTTTTAAAAAAAATTGACAAAATTATACTGACCTATAGTTAAACAGCAAATTATCCAGTACAGTTATACTTATTGATCTACCTCACGGTGATATTGTGAACATGGGGTTGTCATTTCTCATCTAACCTAGCATTCCTACCAAAAGCTTTGCTGCAAGGAAGGATATCCAGGATATGTGTTGCCTGTTCTAATGCTGTAGGGCTCAGGATGCAACCTTTTTCTGGGTGTGGTATTGCTGGGTTCAGCTCCATTCTACAGGAAATGAACAACCAGGAAAGGCAACAAGAACTCTATAGCACTTGGAGCAAGCAAGAAATGCAGGACTACCCATCTCCTTCTTGCAATGTAGTCTTTATAAGTGTTGAGAAATTAAGTGTATAAATGAGACCTACAACAAAACGTCGCAATATATTTTCTCTCACACACATCTAAAAGTAACGTTCCTGTTGAGGGAGGGGACCAGCCAGCCAGTTAACCATGTCTTCCTCCAGCTTCCTAAAATCTGCTAAGGGCTCAAGCAAGCCAATTCTTTCTCACTCTTCCATTCTTGATTTTCCATTTTTCTTTTCCAATTGACATTCAACATTCCATGGCTCCTGATGATCATGGAGCATGCTTCGTCTTCACTGAGCTGTTTGGGGGCATGGGATTGCCCCATTTTGGTATTTGTGGACTTTTAAATATTGTTTGTACTTTGGCAAACTTTGGGGTCGCCCTGAGCATTCTGATACCTCCCTTAGATTTCTTAGTAGCTGCATTTTCTATTGGCATGAGAGCACATAAGTTCACCAGCCAAATGCAGGCTATGAATTTTAATCCTTGTTTTAATTCTGCCTGAGTTTTGTAAGAATAAATGAACTGCCTGTGGTGGTGTGTTTCACTGTAACAATTTCCAGAGGAGTAGGGATGTTAGTTTTCTTTAGCAAAAACAGCAAAGTCTTGTGACAACTTTATTATAGCATAAGCTTTTGAGTTCAGGTGCATGAAGTGTTATCCTGTCAATGCATCTGATGAAGTGGACTGTAGTCCACAAAAACTTATACTATAATAAATTTGTTGCCCTTTAAGGTGCTTTACTGCTTTTTGTTCTTTTTGCACTATTGGCTCTGATTAAAGGGCCTCAGACTCCACCCCGCCTCCGGAAATTTGGCATTTGTAAGGTTTTTTCATTCTGTTTATCTCCCAAGACAGTCCCGGGAGGGGTGGGTTTTTTGTTGCTGTAGTTTTGAGGAACCTAAACAGGCAAACTGATTCTGGTCTCTTTCTCCAACTATAATAATGTTGTCTCAAGGAACAATTAGAGTTGCCAGATTTCCCATATTATTATATCATATTTCAAAATATCCCAACTCCATAAAACAGGCACTCCTAGATTCTTGGCATGGCCCATTTTGATCTAGTGGTTTCATGACAGTTTCATGTACAGCATTAAAATATCTGCCTCCCCTCCCCATACTCTTGCCCTAAAGTATTAAGAGCTGAGACCAAATTTCCCCATGTTGTTCTAGTAGCTATATTTAACCAATAGTTTCACAGTTTTCAGACGGGAAATAGGCCTCCCAGAGAATATATGGGCAGCTGGTAGGTTTGAGAAATATGACATCTGCTCACTCAGCCCAGTAACCAATTCCTTTCAGTTGTGTTTCATCTTGCCCAGCATGATGTATTGTCATATCCATCAGTATAACTTGGGTGTCTATGCAGTAGTCAGGTGCTGCGTGTCTTTATTGCTAATCCGAAAGGTCAAAGGAGCTGCCACCTCTGCCAGTTATTAATGTGGACTTCTAGCTTCCACAAACCACATTCTTTGGGGACATTAAAGCACTGATACCCAACTGACACCTTCCCTTTCCCTTCCTTTATCTGCCCATGCATCCCCAAACTACAGTGACAATTCCAGCTCTGAAGTTGACTGCCATCTGCATCCACCCTTTGTTATTTTAAGGAGGGTCCTTTATGACAAACTTTGAGGAGCCCAGGTTTAGGGTGCTGCATCTGCTCTGTAAGGCCTACTTTGCCACAGGAAGCAGCTCTCAAATTTGTTTGGGCTCTCATTTGGGCCACCTAGTTAGTCGCCGCATACACCAAAACAAAGGATAAGTACATGTCCTTGAATTAGGTGAATGGCCTATTCTGGGAGGGGTTGCACTCCACGAAAAGTTTAGGACTCTGGGAGTACTTCTGGATTTCAGCTTGTCACTGCAGTCCCAAGTGGTTTCTGTGACTAGGCCTGCTTATGTCAGCCTTAGGCTAGTACATCAGCTGTAGTCATTCCTAGGCTGAGAATGTCCTCACTTCTCCATGCTGTAGTGACTTTCTGCTTGGACTGCTGCAATGTGCTATATGGGGAGCTGCCCTTGAAGGTGGCTTAGAAGCTGAAGCTAATGCAGAATGTGTCTGGAGGCTGGCATCCGCAGCAAAAGAGGTCTAAAGTGAGATGATTAAAACCTGCCCCCTATACTTTCTGAGCAGGGAAAGTTGTAAAAATTGTTGCTTACAACACTGGATGTTCTGAAGTTCCACCTAGAGGTTTTGTGCTTTTCTTTATTTGTATAAATACAGTTTTATTTTTTTCCAGACCACAAATTATTTCTAAGTGTCATTTAGCTGGGAAAAGCTCTAATCTTCATTCCATATCTTCAAAGCATCGCTTATATTGAGATACTTATTTAATTAGTTAATGAGTAGACTTTACAACATTTCAGTGTTTTTTTTCTCCCAGAATTTTAATTTAATGGTGGCCGTTTATCTTAAAACTTCTCTATATTGTCGTTGTGGAGTAGATTCCACTTTGGAAAGAAGCCGGACATTGCCCGTGTTAGGAACTATTTTAGGATAGGTCTAGGAGCTCACAGTTTAATTAATACCATGTGGAGCAGGTTGGAGGACATTAACTAATCCTTTACTTATTTTGTTTATCATCACTTGGGATAAACAAAGACTCTGGACTAACTCTCGGCATGATTAACTCTGAATGGGTGGGCAGACTTGACCTTGTTATAATCAACACCTTGTAAATTATGGCAAAAGTGTGACTATTAGCTATACGTTAGCTATACATTTCTAAAAGCAAGAGTGTTAGCAATTAATCTTGTATGGGATGGGGGCAAGACAGTGATGGAAGACTTAAAATTAACCCCATGTGGAGCACACATGGGATACTGTCAGATGCCCTCATGTGAGAAACAGAAAAAGGATATTGGCACTGATCCTATAAAAATAGTACACAATATAAATTGATTGTGTGCCTTTGGTGTGGATTTATTTGTTTACATGTGTATTTAGTATACTTGAAAATTTTCCTCACTTGCTTGCTACGACTCAGAACAGTTCACTGTATATCTCTGTATCTATTCTTTAAAATAAACTAAAAATGTCTAAGTAACATGGTTACGATAAACCTATCTTCATTCTTATCTATATTTGTTGAAACTTACAGCACCCCAGAAACATTTTTGTGTGTGGAAGCAAGCTTCAGAGTTGGGGAGTCAACATAGGGTACATCAGACTAGTGGCCCTAAGTGTATCCATTGGACACATGGAGGATACAATCAAAAAGTCAGCTAGCTTGGCTGACCACTCAGACAGCAGAGAAAAGAGTTGCTCTGGAATCAGACAAGCATATCAACAAACTGAGCTCTGGTCCAAGCCTGCCAGCCTTGCCCTTTCCCTCTCACTACCTTGCTTGCTCCCACTGCCTCTTCCTCCTGATTGCTACAGAAAGCATCAGTATCTGGGTTACTGAAATGGAATGCTGGCTGCAGGATGCTTTGTTAATGGTCTCTAGGTGGAGGCAGTGGTGGACAGGTGAAGAAAGCAACACAGGAGAGGGGAAACAAGAGTGATGGGCTTGAATTAGTACTTGCTGGTGTTGATTGCCTGACAGAAGTTGTGGAAGCAGGCATAGTGAATGGAGCCCTGTTTGTCTTTTATTTCCGCTTAAGGCATTTACAGCCCAAACAATGTAGATCTTTATAGGTTCACAATGGTACCTAGAACTGTAGCTTGATAGCTGTATTTCCTGAAATTGTGATACAATGCTGTTTTAGCAAATGTACCTATCAAGTAGCGTCACTATTGTGCTGTTGGTTTTACCTCTTTTTTGCTCCCTAATTATAAATGTAGCTCTATTTTGTGAGACCACTTTGGAGCAGCTGTGGCTGTTAAAGTCTGAAATAAATCCTTGGAAGGTGTTTGTCTGTGTGGACCAACTTTGTGTTTATAGAAAAATGATTTGGTGCAGGAGAGGGTGGAGGTACAATTCCTGCCACTACATCTGCAAAGGAGAAGCGGAAGAACACACACACTTTGAACCAGGAAGGCAAAATCTGCGGCCTCGTCCTGACACTTCTGGTGCTGACATCACTAGTCAGCAGTAACCTCTACTCTTGTTGACACAAGGAACAAACCCCAAAGGCCGTCTAGACATTGAGTTGGCTGCCAACTTATTCACTAATATCTGGAAATGCTCAGAGATCCACTTGGAGGCAAACCAGGGGGAGAAGGAGGCTTGAGAAGGGAAATGCCATTTCCCATGTTATTTTTTAAAAATGGATTCCAGTCCCTAGGCCAAAGCTGATTCTTGCACCTCCCATTTCCCCACCATCTGCTGACTGTGAGGTTAGAACAAATGCCAGTTTTAAAACTCTGTTCTCACATCATAGTTGCTGCTGGTCTCTTCTCTATGCCAGAACTTCTCCAAGTTATGCAATTCCTCCTGCTGATTCTCTTGCCTAATGAAGTGGGGTGGGTGGTCATGAGGAAGAGGACCTTTTTCAGTGGTGGCCCCCCAGCTGTTTTTTTTTTAATTATTTTTTAAAAATATTTTTCTCATTTAAAAAAGCACATGCATTGTCTCTTTCTTCAGGTTGTGTTTTCTACAGATCAGTTACATTTGTTGTGAGACATTGGTGTTATATGCAGTATAGGGTTGGGAAGAAAAGAAGTGGGGGGCGGGAGAGAGGGGGTAGTGTGGTGTTGAATGCCCTCCTCAGAGAGGCTCAGTTGGTACTTGGTAGCATCTTTTGGCACCAGGTGAATATCTTTTTATTCTCCCAGGCGTTTCAATTAAATGCTCTGGTGGGTTTTCAATTCTGACATTAATCATTCTTTTAAAGCTGGTTTTATAGAGATGTTATACTACTCTGTGTTGGTTTTATGCTGAATTTTGTAAAATAGCATAGATATTATTAGTTTTAGCTTATTTTTTTATTGCATTTTGTTTTGGAGTTTTAAAATATATATATATTAAGTTTTGTAAACTTCCGAGAGGATTTTGTTGATGGCAAGTATAGAACTAATGTCTAAATAAAAATAAAATAAATCTTCCGCGGATCAGTGGCAGCTGCTAACTCTGCTGGGATTGGCTGCATTTATGAATTCCTATGTGCTGCTGATCCCTGTTGAAAATCAGGTTTGTATCCAGTGCCGATCAGCTGATGGGCAGTGCCTGCAAGCCCTGTTTTCATTCTGGATCTTCCTTTGCAGCTTGACTTGAGTTCAATACCAGACTGCAAAAGAAGAAAGGAAAGAATTGAGATCACACTTAGAGCACTTGCCCAATTCTTTCCTTTGAAGCTGGGTCAGGTGATTGATAAGTGGGTGCCCCTGCTCACTTGTCAGAGTGGCCCACATGAGTGTGGGAGCCGAAGATGTGGCTGACCAGATCCTGTTCCCTAACTCCACCTGTGTTATTTCAATCAGAAGGGCCAAGTGGACTTGAAGAATGATTAGGGCTTGCTCTTCTAACCCTGTCACAAAACCAGCCCATGGTTTCATCAGACTGGGAAGGGAGTCAGCACAAAGGGCATAGTGTATACTAAATACTTCACTGAGAGGAAACTCTGTGAATCAGCAGATCTGCCAAATCCTCCAAGAGGGAGGCAAAAGGAAGTGCAAAAAATGCTGAAGCATTTTGAGACTTAGGGATGAGGATGCAGGAGAGGACTTCCTGCTGGCAGGAAGGGAAGCTTTTAAAAATGGCTCTGAAAGGTCTTGAGTATTTCATCCTCAGCTTTGACATTCTACACAGCTCCCATTTGCTTCTGTGATCTTCCCACTTAGCAAAACAAAGAGTCCGTATCCCTCTGGCTCTGACCAAACACCTGTTTTCGAAACTGCAGAATGCATAAATGGAATTAAGTGTGAAAGTTTCTTAGACTGAGCTGTCATGAGCTGTGACAGCTGAGTGATGATAGGTATGTGGAGCTGGGGACACAGTCATGCAGCCAGGGGTTGACTTTACGGAAATGCCCCCTCCCTGAATAACATGCACATGCAACAATCAGGAGAGCACTGGGAGCAAACTGGGAACCAGCACATATCATCTGCTGCTCATGGGTAGGAACGTAGTGTTTAGAAGGTAAGCACAGAAAGGCAGAAATTGATCATAAAAAAAGAAAATCCAAAGGCCCCTATAATAAAGGGCAGGGGATAACCAGGAAGGACAAAGGAATAATTCTGTGTAAGCCACTCACACAATTTGCCTTTGGCAAATTACAATGAATTGCCAACATCCTTGTAAGGAACAACCAGTAAGGCACAATTGTTTTACTCACCTGTCAGTTTGTGAAAGGGTGTTTCTGATATGTACTAGTCACTGGCCAATGTTATGCTGTGGGGTAAGGGTTCATAGTCCAGGGGTGCCAACTTGAATAAAATATTGGGAAGTGTGTGTCAGATAAACCCTGCCCCACATAATCACAAGATGCACACACACCATTTGAATGGCAATGTCCATCAACTTGGGGGGGGGCGGCCCCCTCAAATCTTTTATTGGGGTCGAAGGGACTTTGGCCCCTTGGAGTTGGCTCCTCTGGTTCATACACATAACCAGGTTGTAAAGGACAAATAGCCACAGATCGTAAAGCGCTATGCAAACTCTTTAAAGTGTTTGCATGAATTTCTGTAGCAGATTCTGCATTACGATGCCAGTGTGGGCACAGCCCTACAATCCAAGCCCTACAAACCTGGCAAATGTATATCAGTTTTTGCTTGTGATAAGCATCAAGTTGTATCAAGAATATGCTTATGCATCAAGTGAGACTCCCAGAACAATGGCACAGAATAATTGCAAAGAAACTGTGCTGTCACTGAGCAATCTGAATGTTCCACAGTAAGTCCAAGGAATCAAATGAATAGAAAAATAGGTACTGCCTAGGGAGGGCAGGAGGAGGCAGACCCCTTCTCTCATGACTACATAATCATTTATCATCAATATCTCTGTGAAAGTCCAATGCTTCTTTGTAACTTGGTGCTGAATATATTCAATATCAGGACTTGAATATCAGGACTGCCTCGCCAGAGTGGTGCATGCTCTGGTTATCTCCCGCTTGGATTACTGCAATGCGCTCTACGTGGGGCTACCTTTGAAGGTGACCCGGAAACTACAACTAATCCAGAACGCGGCAGCTAGACTGGTGACTGGGAGCGGCCGCAGAGACCACATAACACCGGTCTTGAAAGACCTACATTGGCTCCCAGTACGTTTCCGAGCACAATTCAAAGTGTTGGTGCTGACCTTTAAAGCCCTAAACGGCCTTGGTCCAGTATATCTGAAGGAGCGTCTCCACCCCCATCGCTCTACCCGGACACTGAGGTCCAGCACTGAGGGTCTTCTGGCGGTTCCTCACTGCGAGAAGCCAAGTTACAGGGAACCAGGCAGAGGGCCTTCTCGGTAGTGGCGCCTTCCCTGTGGAACACCCTCCCACCAGATGTCAAAGAGAACAACTACCAGGCTTTTAGAAGACATCTGAAGGCAGCCCTGTTTCGGGAAGCTTTTAATGTTTGATGTATTATAGTATTTTAATATTCTTTTGGAAGCCGCCCAGAGTGGCCGGGGAAGCCCAGCCAGATGGGCGGGGTATAAATAATAAATTATTATTATTATTATATTGAAGTTTGCTATGAACTTTATCCCCACTTCTACCACCAAAATTTGAAATGGTGCCCTTGAGGAAAAACATGATAATCCTCTTCAAAACTTCCAGCTACGGTACAGTGGTGCCCCGCAAGACGAATGCCTCGCAAGACGAAAAACCCGCTAGACGAAAGGGTTTTCCGTTTTTCGATGCGCTTCGCAGGACGAATTTCCCTATGGGCTTGCTTCACTTTCCCCCCCTTTTTCTAAGCCGCTAAGCCACTAATAGCCTTTTAGCCGCTAAGCCGCTAAGCCTTTAATAGCCGCTAAACCGCTAATAGCGCTAATCCGCTAAGCCGCTAATAGGGTTGCTTCGCAAGACGAAAAAACCACTAGACAAAGAGACTCGCGGAACGGATTAATTTCATGTTGCGAGGCACCACTGTACTAGTAAAAATGGCCCCATTGGAGGATTTCAGATTGATATTCACGGATTTCTCTGCCACCCATATGAAAATTAAAAAATGAGATTTGCTTATCATAATAAATATTGAAGCTGTTACATTTTCAGGTGGTTTCTTAAGATCTTCATTTACAACATTGAAGATAAATCTGTTTGAGTTCCCTTATGTAGGTTAGAATAGTAAGGGTTACGTGAGGGGCTTGTGGAAAAGTAACTGCATGTTTTAAGAGAGACAGAACCGCAACCATAAGATTGATTTAAAACCAAAACCAAAAAAGTATTGTGGCACCTCAAAGATAGGAATAAATGTATCATGGCTTAAGCTTTTGTGAACTTATGAAGTGTGGGACATGACAGCTTTTGCTAATACTGTAGTTAAAAGTGCTACAAGATTTTTTGCTTTTGCTGCACAAACTTAACACAACTACAGGTACCCCCGAAAGAACTCAACTGTGCATTTTCTCTCTCTTTACCACTCATGACCTGTGCAAATCTTGGTATTGTTTAGTTCTCAGGGGTGTTTTCTGTAATGTTAAAAATCAGCTAAAAACATAGGTGGGATGTTCACTCCCCCCCCCCCCGTTTCCTTTGTTTTAGTAAAAACAAATTACAGTGAACAAAAAAAAGTAACTGGACCACTAAATCTTGTCGCTAACCTGTCAGTACACCAAGGACTCTTTCTGATTATGCATGTTGCAATCATTAACAAATGCTGTTTTAGGGAAATTATCCCCCCTTTCCCAGCAATGAGCTATCCATATCAAGAATAAAGAGGAATGGAAACATGCCAATAATGATATGGTTATGCACAAGATATCTTGAGTCAACAATCTCAATTAATAGAAGACGTTTGGTGACAAGTACATTTAAGCAATGGCAGACAATGAATCCACTTTGGATAAAGACCCTTGTCTGCAGTTTGCCCCTTTAAAAACCATAAACTGAAAGATCAAGGATAGGAATAGGAAACCCAGTTTTCCAGAAATAGACAAGGTGTCAGCGGCTGCAGAATCCTGCTTCCTTTTTCAATGTCCCATCAATCCAGTTGTGTTTATTTTACTATCCTGCTGCCAGCTCTCTTGGAAACCATCTTGAGAAAACAAATATAGAGTTGCTGCATGCCTTTTTAATTACACTAATTCTTTCTCCATGTTAATAGTATGTGAATATTAGAATAATATATGCACATATGAGACACAATGACTCATACTTTTTACAGCTGCATGGATGCTGTATGTTAACTCGCCATCATGTATGCGTGTGAGCTCACTTGGTTTCCTCCATGAGGCCCTGGAGAAAAAACCCAAAGGATGAAGGTCACAGCATATAAATCTTGGCGAGAGAGGAAGGGCATTATAGTCTAGCAGGAGTATCTCCTTCACACCTTGGGGTTTTATTTGGGACACAAACCATCTGCATGTCAGTCAGCTGCCATATCATAGCAGACCTCCCTGCGAAAATCAACTGTCTGGAGGGGCTGGTTGTGCCTTTGCAGGCACCAGTGAGAATTTCAACCTGGTGGGGTCAACTATACAAAGTGTCTATACAAAGTGGTGATTTTGGATTAGAGGGAATAGAGTTGCAAATGAATCTGGAAGAAGGAATTTTTTAATTTGAGGATCAGATCCTGCCTTTGTGTTTACTTCCAAAGCTGTGAATATAACAGCAAAATGACTATCCAAAGATTGCGGTCAACCCTCTGAAATGCGCTCAAGCATCCAGTTGTTGCCAGACAACCATCATTTTAAGGGCCTTCTTGTTTTAGAGCAGAGATGGTCACCTTTTTTCGCCTGAGGGGCACCCTGGGTCAACTCTCGCAGTCCCCTCTCTTGAGCTGATCCAAGTAGCTCAGCTGAGTAGGATGCTGTCTCCCCAGTTATCAAATGATTAATCTGATAACTAGGAAGGGGTGAAAGATCCATCCCATCAGGGTCATGGGATTCTAGTGCAGTGTCAACTTTAGTGTTTTTCTTCTTCTCCTTTTGCTGCTGTTGGAACAAAAATGGGTGGGGAGAACGACAGAGAAATTTTGTTTGGAGGGGGGTCATGTGGCTTCTAGGCCAGGTAATAGCCACCCTTGTTTTAAAGAGTTGCTTCTCACTTAAGCAGGGAATTAGCATGGTCCAGTAGATAAAATGTTTGATTGCAGAAGTCATGAGTTCAACTTTGGCTTTCTATTGTAACTTTTGAATAATTGTTGTGAATATGTATAGGATAAATATTTAAAAGCATCTTCTTCATTTTTTTAAAAAAATGCAATGTAACTTATGAATAATAATTATTTCCAAACTATGGGAGTACAGAATACCATACAATGGATATCCCACCACTCTCCATTATTTTTTTCACACTTTAGCACACTTTAGACCACAGCATAGCAACCTGTTTTGTTGGTGTGATGAACTGGCAATGTCACCCCCTGTCATTGACAGACTTTAGAGAAGAGGTGGAGACACTTGCCCATGAAGTTGTAAATGATAATTAGAACCAATTAAGTATAAACAACAACAGCTGTTAATGTACTAATCATTTACTATTTCTATTTTAACTCTCACACTTTCTGTTTACTCACTGCCCCTCAGCTGAATTTAACACAGGCTTCCTCAGCCTCGGCCATCCAGATGTTTTAAGACTACAATTCGCATCATCCCTGACCACTGGTCCTGCCAACTAGGGACCATGGGAATTGTAGGCCAAAAACTTCTGGAGGGCCGAGGTTGAGGAAGCCTGATTTAACAGATGTTTTAACTCCCCAGAATGCTGCTGCCTTAATTCTCAGTATCACAAACACTTTGAATACCTATTGCTCTTGGGACTAAGCCGGATGTACATGTGATTATTGAACATGGGTTTGCTAGGGTAAGGGTTAATTTCTGAGTCTTAAAGAAGCAGTAATTGTTGTTGTTATTGTTGTTGTTGTTGTTGTTGTTGATAATTCCCTGCCCTTCTGGCTGGGTTGGCCCAGCTACTCTGGGCAGCTTCCAACATATATAAAAACATAATAAAACATCAAACATTAACAGTAACAATCTGATCTAATATAAAGAGTCATAATAAATTTAAAATAACGTATATCAAATACGTAAAGCAATAATCAGTCATCCTTTAGAATCTAATAGTAAACAGTAAGCACATGGCTGACAGGAACAAAACCTGCCCTCTCCTTTACTCCACATGCTTTGCTGCTTTAATGTTCTTTCCCCTCCAGTCAGCTTACTTCTGGTATCAGAACTAGGCTGAAGGTAAAAAAGTTTTAAAGCAGCAGAGCATAGAGAATACGGCAAGAACAGGCTTGATTCTTATAGGGTTTATCACTTTAGAGCCAAACTGGCAAGCATGAATGCTATAAACAAACATGCATCTGGTTTGGTCCTTCCTCCAACGCAACATTACATCTTTAGTTGCTACTGGTTCAATTTAAAATGTTATATTTACAGCCCAAGAAACCATGATTCACTGGTGTAGGAATGAGTGAAAAGCTCCACCACTCCCTGCTCTGAAACCTTCCCTCTTCTTCTTCTTCTTGTATGTTTAGCTGCAGAACTTTCCCGGTTTGTTAAGACATAGTTTCCTGTGATGTCTGAATTCAGAAACTTATCCTGATCTGAAGGGAGCACTTAAATCAGTTTCCCAGGTTGACATCACGGTAAACCATGGCTTAACAAACCAGGGAGTCTTATTTGAAGCCAAGCATGGGGGGGGGGAGAAGATAAAACACGCACACTCATTACTTAAGAATGAGATGCCAGGATGCTCAAGAACAGGGCCAACCATCCAGATGTGGAATCAGAATAAAAAGCCTTACTTATAACATGTGCTTTTCCAGATTATTTCAAAGGCAATGTACCTAGAGCAGCAATTATGATTGTCACTAACTTATTTTGAAAGCTCCTTTTTACTACGGCAAGAGACAGCAGTTAAAAGGGAACAAAAGATGAATCAAGGAATGTAGGACACATTGATAGGAGGGGTGGTTCCAAGATGACTGGTCAATACTACTGTTATCCTATGTTTCCCGTATTCCACCCCCCAGTACAATAAATGCAGTTTATGGTGTATTCCAAAGGATAGTTTGTTCCTTTTCCTGTTGTACTTGTGGAGAGCCTCAGACAGGATACATCTGCAGGAATCCCAGAACCTAAACCTGCACAGACCGTACATTTTCTTTCTCTCCCCCCTCCCACCCCCTGCAACCCTAGTATAGTGATGTTGCCTAACAGGTCATAAAGCTAAGAGAGGTGTCTTCAGTTTTTGTTATTTTGCATCCTTCCTTGTATCCTCCACCCAGTTCCACGGGACAATATTTGTGCCCAGCCCTCTGATCAGTTCTCATGAGCAGAACAGAGGAGCACCTATCTCTGCCCCAACCATTGTTTGCATGTTTTGCCTTTACCTAAAGGAAGCAACATGGGTTAGTTGCTGGCAGGGACGTTGTTTCTAACAATGTGTTAGATAAATAAATAAATCCCAGCATTCGTAAGGAGGAGAGCTGTTTCGCAAGAGAGCCATGAGTGACACAGTTACATCTGCAGTTTCCCCATCTTCCTGCTGATGTGGCTCCGCTCTTTGAGAGCACCAACAAAGAAGCCCCAGCAGCAAAATTTGTGGAAGCATAGAGAAGGGTTTAGTGTGCAAAGCAAGGTGGTGTTGTGCCTTAAATATGAGAAAGCAAGACATTTCACATATGTTTCTAGAGGGTACTTAACCCACAACACTTAGAGCTGTCATCCTTCAGAACCAATTACCTTCCTAATACACACACACATTGAATGCAATCCTATGTATGTTTACCCAGAAGTAATGGGGCTTGTATCTCAGTAAGTTTGTTTAGGATGCAGCTGCAGTGACCCATGTTTTAGAGGCAAGGAGGTCTCTCATTATATAGTGATCATGTCCTGCTTCAATGTGTGTGTGGGGGGGGTGTCCTCAAGCCCTTAGTACACTGATTTCAATGCCTGTTATGATTCTCCTCAGGACACCTCTAAACATGTACTGAGGGACAGTGAAATTGTTCCTGTGTCAATAGTGTCTAGCCATCTGGAGCCCAGAATTTATACTGGAGGCAGATATGTCCAGCAGTAAATTGGATATAAAGATTTGTATTCAGGACAGATCAGAATTATTTTTGTTTCAAAATGGTTATATTTCCATGGGATTTCACAAAAATGCTTTCATTTATTTTCATTAACACAGAACACATTTTTTGTACAACATCCAAATGTTTTCCCCACCCATCTGTCTTTTCAGTCTAACTGTTTTGTTAAGTGATAGCTTCAGGGAGAAAAAGGATGCTTAACCCTTTCTAACTGTACCTCTTCCCTTTCTCCCACTCAGCCATTCTGTTTTCTTTCATCCTGCACTGCAAGCTTAGAACAGGTTTCCATCTTCCATTTGCAATTCCATCTGAATGTCAGGGATGCAGGACTTGAACTAGGAATCTTCATGTCCAGGGAAAGGATCTAGTTTTGTGAGCAGCCAAGCATGGATTACATGTGCTCAAGCCACATAGACTTGTTCATGTTCATAAAGATGTTTTGCATGAGCACCCCAGGCTTTCCTATGGAGGGAATTATTTATTTATGTTCACAAGGACTGAATCCCCATTCTGCACCTCAAAATGTACCCTTGCCTGAGAAGAGACTGGGGAGGTGTTTCATGTACGCTGCATCACAGCCAACTTCCCACTCCAGCTACTTCTACATATATGCATATATTATTAATATTTATTTTTCATTTCATTTCTATACCGCTTTGTATTTTTACAGAAAAATCCCAAAGCGGTTTACAACACATTAAAACATCAAATAAAACCATCCGGAATAAATATTACTAAAGAAAGTCAAATATAAAGTATACATTAAAAGTGACATAATTAACAGGAAACTAAAATATTATTTTAAAGATTTCAGCATAAAACATTGCTAGGGAGGTCAACTACAGAAAACACATTTAGCACAGCAAAGTTCACACAAAAAACCTTAACCATTTCAAAAGAAAGCATTACTAAAGGAAGTCGAATATAAAATGTACATTTAAAACATCATAATTAACAAGAGAATAAAATATTATCATAAACATAGAACATATCTTCTGCTGTTGCTGCCAAGTCCTGCCCACAGTAATTCATGGCAGGTGGTGGCTGTGGAAACTCGACCTGGCTCAATGACCTGGGTCTGCACTAAGAGAGTTTCTGATGTACGCGGTGTTCTGCATTTACTTCTGTGAGAGAGGGGTAATATTCCATGTACATCCTCATTGCACATGGCCATAGTCATCTTCACATTGAAATGAGGTGGGAATTGTGAATGCAGGAGTTGCGTGCACATGTCAGAATGCTCACAAAGCTTAAAGATCCACAATACTGAAAATTAGATGTGTAGCTTGGCAGACAGAACAAAGCCTCCAGATACTAGGAGCCAAGACTACGCTTGCTCAACTGAGCAGTGCGTTCCTCTTGCTTTTAGCTTGAGGGCCTAACAGTTCAGGCCACTAACTCCATTGGAGTGTCAGGGGCTGGATTTGGGTGTGGCTTTAATTGAGGAATGAAACACACAAGTTAACCATTAAAAAAAAATTAAAGCCCTTCCTCTTAACTAACATAGTGAAAATGAAAGCCAGAAGGAATTCAAAAAGCAGAAGGCAATAAAAATTTGTAACCGTGACCCTGATTCCTTTTAAATTAGTGGTGGAAAAATGCATGTATATAGGGACAGACCTCTCAGCCCAGTACCTTCTCCAGCCACATTATCTTTCATCTTGCCACCTTACACACTCACATGCAGCCTTGTGCGTGATGTACATGGATTCTGAGTCTTGCTCTGGTTCTCCATCTCATTATTCTCTTATTGCAGTTCATTGGTTGTTGCTGAGTGGCCATGTGCTAAGTGCACCACTGAGGGTCTATTCTTGCTTTTCTTTACATGTTTTGCTTTTTTGGAAGCTACCATGAAGGATGCTACCTCGATAGTTTTGCACAGTGAACGTTTTCCATAGGGGAAAGAACCTCCGAAAACTAGACGTCAGAAACTCATCCACCTATGACAAGTATTGGCTCCTAGTGCTTAAGGACACTTCCTGAGCTGAATGCACTGACCAAAGCTTTCTCTACTGTTTTGACCTCTAAGTAGTCAAATGTTGACCACCTAAGACTAGGCCTCTGTAGTAGCTATGTTACCAGCACAACTGTGTATCTGACAAGTGTCCAGGTACTTGTATGCCAAGGCCGACGGTTGACCTATCAGAGCGCTGATGTGACTCAGATCTGCCGAGCATCATGTGCTTTCAGACCATTCATTGGCCCCTCTGGATCTACCTATGCCCACTGTGGGAAATAAACAGTGGAGGTGCTATAACTTCCACTTGTTGCATCTGGGTCCTCGTCAACTGCTGTAAAGTTTTCTAAATGGAAGGAATCTGAGCATGCCCCAAAATTTGTCTAAAATATAGCCCAAGAGTTTTGGACCATAGCAATAGGGTGATGCGTGTTCCCTCCACCGCCACCCTTCCTTCTGGAAGTTTCTGCACACTTTAGAAATCATGATTCTAAATTTTGTGAGCAAAGTGGGGCAGGGGGGAAGCCACAGTAAGAAACTTGAGAGTGGGATGTGAGGGATCCACCCCTATCCTGCCATTCTGTATTGCTGCTGTGGCTCCTGTCGCTCCCATTATTACTCCTATTACTCCGGCCGCTACTACAGGAAAAGCATGGTTGGGAGACAAGCATGTCCGGCAAAGATAGAAGCTCGAGACTGCTGATGCCAGCCCAGTTTCTAAAGATATACCTAGTCAAATGACCACAGTCTGTGTGGCTTCTTGGCAGGAAGGAAGTGTAAAACAATTAAAAGGAGCAAGGATGTCTACACAAAACTAGGTTTTGGACAGGTCATTCTAATGACCTGGGTGCTGCCCTGCACGTTTCTCAGCCGCCTGTGGGAAATTGCTCCCCAAATGCCTTCTCTCTTCTGATTCCCTGGTATTCCTCTTACCTGCTTTCCCAGATTCTAATTTAGCCTGGGGGAATATGCCCTTTCTCTTCCTGATTTGATTGCCCTCCCCCTCAGCCTCCCACTGTTGTTGTAAGCATATAGGATGCAGTGGCCAAGGAATGCAAATATTTTAAGTTCATCTGGCCATGGTGTTTCTGAAAAACAAATACTGTTTTACTTATAAAGCACCATGTACATAGATGTTCGAAGTGTAATTTATTTCTTATCATTTATTAATACTGTAAGGGGATATTGCACTGCTTAACTCATTCATTAAAGTAGCAGTCAAAAGTGTTACTGGGATATGAATCAACATAAGTTCAAGTGCTTACAGATATTTTCTCCTTTTGTAAAAGAGAATGTGTGAATTTAAGGTGACAGATCTTTCCTGCTTTTGCAGGATGCCCATAACCGGTAGACTGAAACTCGTGAAGCAAATCTTGATATACTACTACTAAGTGTTTCCTCCAATGTTAATTTATTTTCTATTTATAAAACAATTTTTTAAAAAAAACCACCTCTTTAAGTTTTGTGCAGCCTAAGGGCTTATCCACACTTACCTTTCCGCTGCTCTTTCCAGACACAATCTGCACTTTAAAGCTCTGTGTCTGAGCACCTTTTTTTTTTTTTTTTTGCTTTGCAGTTTCCCCCTCCCACTCTTAAAAGCTCAGCCAGAGCAAATGACAATCCAAATGGACATTTGCTCCAGTTGAGCACTAAAGAGGAGGTTTGGGGTAGAGATGGGAAGGCCTGGGGTGGGGAAGAAAAATTGGGGGGAGGGGACCAGTCCCCCCCTCCTTTTTTCCCCAAAGCCATTTTTTTCAGTTTGGGAAAAAACAGGGGGGAAACAGTAGATAATAATGAGTGACTGTTGTTCTGTACTATAAACTTGTTTCTTTCTCTCCCTAGATCTAGTGAGTGGCTATTCTATGACCCCACCCACACTCAGCATCACAGAAGAAGAATACGTGATCAACGCTAAGGACACACTGAATATTACTTGCAGGTAAGATTAAAAGAACAGTGCCTTTCACAGTTGCCAGCTGTTGTGCCAAAGATTCTGAAAGACCTTTCAAAGACACTCAGTGGGAAACCTCTTTCTGGTTTCTGGACTGGTGGAAAAGCTGAACTTAAGTTGACTGGTTATGAATACTTGGGACAGAATTGTGGCTCTCCATTTGTGATAGGGGAATTCTGGGTCAGGGCAGCCAAGAACTGTCAATCATAGCCTGTTATAAAATCAGGGGGAACGCTATACATTATGATCACAACCTCCACATTTACTGATTACAGACACTTGAGGGCTTATAGTAATATTTGACCAATGGATTTTAGTACGCTTTCAAGAAAATGCATGGAATTAGTATTATTTTCACCTGAGCTCCAAAATTAAAAAAAGCAACAATAAAAGCAAGTTCGAGGGCATATATTATCAATGGCTGAGTGCCAAAGAACATTGCAACTCACTCTGCATGCTGAAAGAGTCTTGAACAGCCCACATAGCAATTCACTTAGGAAATGAAAAGGGCTTTTAAAAGTGTGTAATCATGACAAAGAGCAACCCCATCTTAGTACTGCATGCTTTCCAGCAGTTTACTTGGAAGGAACAGGAATTAGGTTTGTAGGTCTTTGCTGTGGCAGGCAACCATGCAGCCAGGGCCTAAAAATTAGTGCCCGTTCAAGCATGCACAGGCATTGTGGTCATGTAGCTGCACTTTCCACAGATTCCTTCTACCTAAAGCCTGTGTTGCCTGTTCTTTTCTTCCCCAGGAAACCCTGATCTGCACCTTGAAAAATGTAGCATAATTTAGTATGGTTGAGTGCACATCTCCAACCTACTATGTACCCACTTAACTTTTTGCACATATGCCCTTATCCTAAGCCTGTTGGGTAAAACCCTTCCTTCATTGCCTCTTCCCAAGGACAGAGCAGCAACTATGCTAAGGTTATATCTTTATTTATCTGACAGAGGCTTACAGGGAGCAGGAAAGTATCTTATTTCCAGTCTGAGCTCTTATGTGCAAAGCTGCCCTTGCCAAAGCAAAGAGGCTGATTTGTTCTTTGAGTTATCCAAGGGAATCTTCCCAAATAGCAGTTAACTCTGTTTTGAGCCAGCTCATCTTTAAATCTCAAGGGGGATGTGACCAGAAACCCGCCTCATGCTAGGATGAAAACAGCAGGAAGGAAGTATTCCTATCTCCTGCTTCCAGACCACATATTCAATGCAACTTAAAGCTGGTCAACAGATTTGGAAAAGAATGGGGCCCATATCCTTCATCAGTAGCATGGCTATCCTCCCCACCAACACTTACCTCCCCCAAAGTTCGGCTCCCACATTTTTCATTAACTTTCAATGATGTGGAAGAGCCATAGCTCAGTGGTAGAGCTCATGCATTGCATGTAGAAGTTCAGTCTCTGGTGCCTCAACCCCACAGACCAAGATCCCTGCAAACCCTGCTTGTTCTGTCTGGGTGATTTGAAAGCAAACAGCGAGGACAATGGCTCAGGGGTGTGTGGACACAGTTGGTCAGTGCTGCCTGCAAACAGTGCTTTCAGTAGGGAGCTGCATCTCTTTACTTGCTCCACATCTAAATGTTGTATATGATGTCAAGCTGTAGGGCACATGGGGAAAATAGCCTTGTGGGCAAAATGGTTTCACCAAGAAGGAGATTTACCATATCATTCTTACTTACCTAGTACCATCATCTCCACTACCTTCTCCCTGCAACAGCTGCTTAATTTGAATCAAATTCCTACTTGTTCAGACGTCTTTAATCTTGCCCAGCTGTGCCTCAGAGTCTCTCCTCTGGATCGTAGACCATCCTGAATGGACATGGTTCACATTAGTGAGAGCCGGGGGAGTTGAAATGCAGAAATACGCAACATGTCGGCCGTGGGGGAGCCAGTAGGAGATTTCTGAAATAAAACATAATTATTTCAAATGAGTATGAAGCAAACGCTCTCCTCAGATTTCACTGGAGAATTGGAGATAGATTTGTTTGTCCATGTTGTAACTCAAAGAAGAATGTTCTGGCTGCTGCTTGTGAGCAGCATTTAAACTTATCTTAACCATCCCAACTTTCTCTGCAAACCTCTGAAGTTTTTGCCTGTTTGCACATGTAATATGATACTGGTTTTCGTTTACTAAGTAGCAGTAGAATATGCACAGTGCACCAACTGCTAGTTCCTGTCCAAACGTTGAATCCAGAATGACTGGATATTCCCCATTCTATTTTGTTATCATCCTGACCTTGATTCCACTCCACATGCCTCACACTTTTACTTGGAGAATTTATACAAATTAGTTTCATAACTTGAGCATGTTCAGCTTTCAGTGATCTTTGGGGTACCGTATATCTCCAAACTGTCCTGTGCTAGTTATTGATGTGAAGAAACTTACATGTGCATTGATTACACTACAGCATGAAAAGGAGTCTTGATGCGATTGTATACTTGCATCAGGCTTTTTGTTCTGTGGTTTCAACTATGAATATATAGGCACATGAGCATTGATAAAACCACAGTGCAAAAAGGAATCTGGATGTGTTCAAGTAGTCACATCAGGATTCCTTTTTGTGGTATGATTTCATCAGTGTCTGCACATTGGCAACTAATAAACGGGGCAGGGGGTTATGTTGAAGTGAAAACTGTAACAATGCACAGCCATTGAAAGTCCAGGAAAAAAACCCCAGAAAATTAATCACTAACTCATCAGTGCAGCTCTGCCAACATGATTAGGTAATTTGGAACCCTGGAGAAAAATCTCTGGAGAAATTCATATGAGGATAACTTCACAAGCATCCCTAGATTAAACAAAAAGATTTAAAACAAATTCCTACATAAACATGCCTTGGGCAGCTTCATTATAGAGAGGATATAAAAGATGCATGCAATTCTTATTCAAGAACTGAGAAGTAGAGCATATGGAAACTGACAGCTGAGCTCCAATAAGAGATGCATAAGAAGCTGGTACTACCAGGCCTTGCTTTGTACAACATGGATAAAGCAAGTACCTAATCAGTCAGCATTCAGACAGAAGTGTGAACTTCTGCTATCTGCAGTTTGATAATGTGACTGTACAGTGGAGTCTTGTAATTGCCACAATAGAAAAGAGGGAATATGAACACACACACAGAGAGTCCAACAAAGATAAGCAGTAGCCAAATACAATTAGTGGCATGAAATAACAGGATGGGCCTGCCTTGCAAAAGTGCCTGGAGGAATTTTGCTGTTGTGGATTGTCAGTTTTCCAAACTATCAGCATCTCTAGAAGCTGGGAGCCTTTAACTGGGATACTTCTGTGAGTTGGATGACACAAGGACTGTCAGCCTTCGTAATCAGACGAATGTAGTGACCACCACTTTCCCTCTTCCTCTCAGATGATGAGTGGGCCTTGCCTGTGACATCTCGCTGTACTTTGGGAATGCTCACCCACCTTCAAGGTCCAGTACAACTGCAAGGGCAGGCCCACCCTCCTTCTCCAGCTCTAAGTTGGGAGACAGGCTTAACCCTGGAAGTGCTGGAATATGGAGAAGCTTGCAAAGCAATGAGACATCTTGCAACTCTGCAATTCTCTCCATGGTGGCATTACATTTGTGACACTTTTTGGAAAACAACAACAACCATATACTGTATATGCTGTTTTTATAGTAATAAATAAGAATAATAAATGCTGAGAATCATACACTAAATATTTCTTACTTCTGCATGCTTAGTGTGCTAGATAGAAAGGGTCAAGCTTTCTTCACAGGTGAGAAGTTGTCACACTTAGGCTGTGTACACATTCCTATTTACTCTTCATCCAGTGTGCTCCTACCACTGATTTGGAAAGCAGGGTACATGCGACATGTTAGCCACAATCCACATCTATCTTGTGGATTCTATGATTCTGTATTAGAGGAGGAATGCAGCTGAATCCCTAAATTTGCAATGCGGACATTAGAAATGGAGTAGTAAAGGAATTTTAGAATGCCATACCTATTATAGAAGGCCATAGTAACACATCTAATTCTGCTTCTGTTATTCCTTTTGTTCTGGTGAAGAGGGCAGCACCCCCTGGAGTGGTCGTGGCCTGGAGGCCAAGAGGACACCGTCCAGATTGGGAAGGAGAGCGATTCAGTGGTGTTGGTGAGTCTCGACGGTGTCCAAACAGTCAAGGAAGAGGATTGTGAGGGCACTGACACAAAGCCCTACTGCAAGGTCTTGACACTGACAGGGACTCAGGCTAACGACACGGGCTACTACCGCTGTTACTACAAGTACATCAATGCCAAAATCGAGGGCACCACTGCAGTCAGCACCTATGTATTTGTGAGAGGTAAGAGGGTAAAAGACCTGCACAGCCAAAACAGATTGAACTCCAGGTGGAAGAACTTATTGGCCAAACTGCATTACAGCCTTAAAAGAAAATATATATATATATTGTTGAAACTCTGTATTACATAGCAGGTTGCTTAAGGAAAAGCTACTTGGAGTTAAAATCATTGTGAAGAGACAGAGGTTACACTGTCCTCTGAAAGGGAAAGGTTATCACAGTTTCAAATGATGTAAGATTGATGTGCCCATGTGCAATTTTCCCTGCCTGCCTCTATCCTGACTTACCGTATTTTTTGCACCATAACACTCACTTTTTCCCTCCTAAAAAGTAAGGGGAAATGTCTGTGCGTGTTATAGAGGGAATGCCTACGCGTGGCATGCCTACGGATTTTCCTCCTCTAAAAACTATGTGCGTGTTATGGTCGGGTGCGTGCTATAGAGCGAAAAATACGGTACTCTATCATGGCACGGCAGTCAATTTGCAGCGTTGATACTGAGTTCCTACACCATGCTGGTAAGGCTTCTCTGTTATCTAGGTCAGTAGCTTCAGACCCAGGGAACCCACTTTTAACCTAAACATGCATTTGGAGACCTAATTCTTTTTTTCCCCCTTTTCTTTTTTGTGCCATATATTTGCATGGCGGTATTGCAGCTATCCAACCTATTTGCAGCAAAACTGTGTGTATGTTTACCTGAAAGTATGTCCTTCTATTTTCAGTAGAGAGCAGGAATTCTACATCATGACTGAAACTCCATGCTGCCTATGCAGACACACCGTGTTTATTGATTTATTGTGTAGAAGACATTGAGAGGGCACCTGGTTGGGGAAGACTGCTCTAGACTATTCAGATGTTGCCTATGCCCTGGGCATAAGGAATGGTGGGGGTGCACAGCACAAAGTGATAGAGGCTGAGGACATACATGAAATAGTTTTTATTGTTTAGGTTTCTATGGTGAAATCACTTTGAGTTGTTCTAGTGATTCCTAAATGGAATGAAATAAATAATTGAATAATAAGAAGGGGGAACCCCAGAGTATATAGAGGAATCTGTAAGAGAAATTGGATGTTTCCCCATCCCCACCAGTTCTGAGGTGGCAAAGGTTCCTCCCACCACCCATCTCTAGCACCTGGTCATCCTTCACGTCCGCAAATGCTTCTCTGTATTCTGGTTTCCTCTCTCATCTGCATAACGATGATTAAATCCAGGGGAGTTGAAGAGGGGTGTCAAGTCCTCTGCTGAGAACAAATCAGTATTCATCCTCTTGTGTGGGATTTCTGATTATAGGCTCTGACTAGGGGATTCAATTACACTGGTGCCTGGGGTGAATGTTTCTGTCAGGCTGGAATGCAGGAATTTTTAGTTCAATGGCACCCTAGAACCACAGCAGTGGCCTTGTCTAGGTTTTTTTGTTGTTGTTTTTTTAAAGAGAGAAATTAAATCAATTGTTTGGAAGGGAAGGGCGAAACGCAGGAGCTGTTTTGAATAAAACTGAAGCAGAGAAGGATGAAAAACTGTAGTGCTGGAGTCAGAGAGGGTGTAGGAGGCAGAGATTCTCTTTTCCCCAATCACATACTGTTTTGCCTCTGGCACCTGAATCATAATTTGTGTGTGATATAGCTGGATCTTCCAAACTCCCTAGATTTTTGCCAGTTAATGAAGTCATGATGTGCTACATTTTCTGCTTTTAAAAGTGTTAAAATTATCCGTTGAGTATGTCCTGTCAGTCAAGCATAATTTTAGATTAAAATTAGGAAAGATTGTGCACTAGGGGTAAAAAATCTAGACTCTCTTGTTCATATAGACCTTACTAGTGCTTTGTGATTTTTGTGACTGTGAGGACATATTAATTATCTAGATTTCTTTAAAACACAGATGCTGTAGGATTCTGAGAACACTTTCTAAAGCATTCCACTTATCCAAAAAACAAATCCTAACCTTTCGTCCCCATTCACCAACTCTGTTTGTATGATCAAAAGTGTAACTTGAAGGAGCAATCCTAATACCCAGACAGGTTTTGCTGTGCTAGCTCTTGACTGGTTCAGCAGAGAGGTCCAGATTAGACCCCTCACCCCTGCCCCACACAGGAATATCCCTTTACACTGACTACCACCCACTGCTTTTAGTGAGTGCAGTGGGGAACCAGTGGGTGGACTAGAGTTTGCTCTCCCACCCCCACCCACGCCAAATGAAGAGGCACATCTTCCACTCTAGGGCAGTGGATTGCATGTTTGGATTGTTCTGCCATCTACCTAGTAAACTTGGGGATGAATTTCAAAATGAGATATAATAATTCTAAAGCACAAAAAATGCATTCATCTGGTTTGTGGTGGCTAAGTGAAGAGCAAGCATGTGCTGTGCAGAGTGCTGTGGTGAGCTGGTCATATCTATCTGTTTCAACACAAATTGGCAAGCACCAGAAAAAATGACAATGCAGTATTACGATTTCATCTTGGTGCCAAAAATCTGCCTGTACAAGCAGTAATGAGAAATTAAAGCAGAACATAACATCTGAATTGGTGACTGACTTTGCCACTGGTGTTCTGCCTCACCTTATTTTCTTAAGAGTCTTGGCTGAGGGCCTTTGTGAAATTATATTTTATAATGGAATGACATGGACTTTTACTTGCAAGAAATACTCACATAAGTATCACTGGCACTTTCCATACTGCTTACCCTGGCACATAGTTCAGGCCACTTCTAGTTCTATAGTTGTGGTCATTACAATTATCAACAAGAAGATGCATGTCATCTGTGATGTCACTAGGCAGGGTGGGGAACCTGTAGCCCTCAGGATGTTGTTGGACTCCAACTCCCATCAGACTCAGCCAGCGTGGGAAGAACTTCCTGACAGTAAGAGCTGTTCGACAGTGGAATTTGCTGCCAAGGAGTGTGGTGGAGTCTCCTTCTTTGGAGGTCTTTAAGCAGAGGCTTGACAACCATATGTCAGGAGTGCTCTGATGGTGTTTCCTGCTTGGCAGGAGGTTGGACTCGATGGCCCTTGTGGTCTCTTCCATCTCTATGATTCTATGAACATTTAGAGGGCCAACAGTTTGCCCAGCTTCATTATAAGTGAAACCTGTGCATTCTCTGTCACTTCTCCACTCCAAATCACTCTCCTAACTTCTTTCCCCCTGCACACTTCGAATTGCCTGTTCCCCCTGGCAAACTTGCATTTGGAACTGCAAAGAGAAGGAGATAGAAAGTGCCTGCATGGGCAATTTGGAACAAAGAAGGAACGAGCGAGAAGGGAAAAAAACCCTAAGCCTTGCCTGGTCTCTTCTCCAAATTCCCCACCCGCAATGCTGCTTTTCTTGATAAAGTAAACAACAGTATATTAATACAGCTTATTGACACTTATTTGATTTTACTTTTGCACAACAATCCATTCATGGGTGGTCTTAATTTTTGCTATACTTTGGGATGAGAATATCTGACCAAAATGTGCTGGGAATCACAACCACATGGTAGGCTCCCATGCTGCTCAGACCAACTTTCCTTGCCAGCATCATTGACCTCAGAGGAAGGCAATGGTGTTGGTACTCAGGTGACCCCCTCTGTATGAATGTTAAAACATGGAGCACCATGGGAACCAGGAATGCAGAAGTGGTCCTGATGCCATTCCAGCAGTAGGTGAATTGGCCCTCAGATGTTTGAAATTATAAGATGTGATAAGCTGATGGACAGGGTCTTCATTCAGCACTGGCCCCCAGTCCTTGCCCCACACCTCAGCCCCCAAACTCAAAGCCACACTTTAGCTTTCTCCTCCATAATAACGTTTATCATTGCTTCTTCTCATGTGCATACATCATACATCATTTCTTTCTCCTAAGCATGTCCCCCACGAAGTTACATGTGTCCCGTCCCCCCATAACTGTCCACCCTTCAAATACTTAGAAACCAGGGAGTCAGTGTTCAAAGAGGAATTGCAATTGCTTTTGGGTTATGTGGATATTAGTGTAGATTATGGACTTTGGATATTCAGAATCCAGTCTAAATATAATATGGGCAATTAATAGTGAGCCCCTGTGGTTTGCCAGCTGAGCAACTGTTGCTGGTATTTTAAAATAAATCATTCTCCGATAACAAACTCAAAATAACAATAGCCAGAGGCATTAGAAGTTTGGCAGGAATTTCCCCTCATGAATGTTAGTTCTCTCTTAATCTAATCTGCCCTTGGTCTTTGCTATGAACATCTGTGGCTGTTCTTCAAATACATCCTGGAGGAATATTTATATAAAAACACAGGGATGGAATAAAATCCAAAACCTCTAGTCAGGAGCACTTAGCAGGAAAGAAGCTGATGTACAACACTGCCCATGAAAATATGTCTCAATCATGACCTCGTGCTGCAATTGTAGGATGGTGAAATGGGTTTCTTCTCTCAATTTAGAGCTAACTTGCTCTTTGCTAGCATAATGGGGGCCTAAGTTGGAGATTTGTGTATATGTTACAAACTTCTGAAGAACAGTGCGAGGCAGCATGGTTAGAATGTCAGACTAGGTTCAGGAAGACCTGAGTTCAAAACCTCATTCATTATACGTATAGTCTTGAGCCAGCTGCTATCTCTCAACCTAACCTCCCTCACAAGGTTGTTGTGAGGATAAGAAGAGGGGCAGGAAGACCAGCGTATGCTGGCCTGAGCTTCTTAGTTGAAGGTTATAAATGTAATAAGTACATAAACTGTGGTCTGATATCTGAGTTGTCAAAGGGATGGGGAATGGTACATTTATTGTCACTGACCTCCTAGGAGAGCTTCCGCAATTTGCATCATGTCTCTAACCCTAACCCTAACCTTAAATTTCCCTTCCTTTCTCCAACTTCTCAAGGATGTCATTGTTACAAAGGCAAGAAGTGCCTTCCTCCAAGTGCTTGCTACCAAGTTTATACTTGTTTTATCTCTACATTTAAGGGTTGTGGCTCAGGGGGTAGAAGATCAGCTTATTGAGCTAGGTAGACCAATGGTCTGACGTGTTATATAAGGCAGTTTCCTATGTTCCTACATACTCAACAGCCATTTAAAAAATATTCAGACAAATGACCATTTTTCCTGTGTGTGAGTGAGTGAGAGAGAGAGAGGATATAACCAACCACTACAACAAGTTTTATTATACTATGACAGACCCAGTACAATCAAATTAAAACACCAAAATCATACAGTTTCTAATATTCACTGATTTAAAATACTGTATATGGTACAATGAAAACAAATCAAGATACCAAGTAAACTGAAACAATCCCTTTATGGTTCTCTGCAGCAGAAAATAGAGATCTTCCATTCCAAATTGTTCCATGACATTATTTTGTTTGTGTTAGCCAATAAATAGGTAGCCCAAATACCATTCACAGGTACTTCCTGGGTATTTTAGTAGGATGGGAGTAGATAATTAATTCTCCTCATCTCTATGAGAATATAATGATGATAGCAGCTAGGACCTTAAAATGGTCTGAGGCCTGAGTCCAGCACTCTCTCTGCCTTTAGGGGCAATGCTAGAGCACCTCATGGACACCCACACAGTTGTCATGCATAGGTGGGGAGCTTCACTGTAGCCCGTGAGTGACAGACATTTTAAAAAACCCACCGTCCATTTTTTCTTCTGCCTTTTAAATCCAGAGTTGGAATCTGGAGTCCACATTGACACTGGATATGACTGTGTGGGTTAAAGAAGATTGCCAGCCTCTCCACGCATGTGGAGAAGGTTCTCTGAAGCTTTCTTTGTGTCTTCATTTTAGCATTTGAATTTGTGGTTTTTTAATTGGAATTTGGGGAATAGGGGTTTTGTTGTTTCTACTATGCTAAACTCATGGCCACAACAATGGATTTGTATAGATTAGCCTTAACTACAGGAATTCTGTAAGGAAATCTGGCCGCATGAAATCCAAGTTGCCGTTGAGCTATCGTATGGCTTGCTCCCTCCGCCCCCTTATTCCCTTTTCTAAAATTCTACACTGCAGGATAATCTATTAATTCCAAATATGCTGAAAAAGAAAGGAGCAATAAAAATTTCTTGAATGCTTCTGTGGGGAAAACAGTTTTCTCTTAATGTCAAGCAAGACAATAAGCAGGAGCATTCTAAGCTTGGCTGCTGATAAATTGGATTGACAAAACAGACATGAAAGGCAGTTGGCCTACTTTCCTGACTCATGTTATTGTTCTGCAAGTCAGGGCATGAAAATTGCTGAGTTATGAAGCTAAAAAGATTGGGAAAAGGCATTATTCATGCTGAAGAGATTAGCAGTAGTACCCATATTCAGAATTGTACTTAACTAATTTCCATCCTGTCCTTTCTCTGAGGGGCTCAGAAAGGTATATATGGGGCTGTCCTATTCTGTCCTCTCAAAAACCCTGTATAGGTTATTCTGCAACAGACACTTCGGTTGAGCAGAGATTTGAATCCAGATCTCCCCCTTTCAAATCAAGCACTCTGTCCATTATAACTCACATCTGAAGTGATTACTAGAACATACTAGCACAGAGCACTGAATTCAAAATAAGAATTAAGCAGACAACCTAAATTAACAAAAACAGCTAAACATATTATAGCTACACACAGGTCTGCTGCCTGAGTTAATGGAAACATAGGCAGTTTCCTAAAGTTTACTATGATTCCCTTTGCTTTCTGGGTGCCCTTTCGTTGTTGTTGTTGTTGTTGCTGCTGTTGATTAAATGAACTGGTAACCTAAGTTTGTAATCCTATACCCTTTTTGCCTGGGAGTAACTACCACTGAACTAAGTGGTGCTTATTTTTGAGTAGGCATGTATAGATTTGCACAATAAGACTGTTCATACATTTCCCATCTCATATTTGTACCTGACTCAGTACAATGTCCTGCAGATTTTAGCTAACTTTTTTTTTTTAAAGCAGCAAGGGGAAAAAATAACTATATTTTCCTTGTTTTCTCCAATTCTGCGGCTCTTCTTTCATTCTCAGATTATGAGCGGCCATTTATCAATAAACCAGAGGCTCTTCTTATCTACAAGAAGGAGAATATCTGGGTCCCATGCCTGGTATCTATTCCAGACCTTAACATCACTTTGCTCTCGGTAAGAAATCTCCTGTGGGATGACTCAGGAATCTGCCTTATTTCAGTCTGAAGGGGAACAGAGAAAACACCTGGGGTGTGTATGTGTGAAAGAAAAACAGAAAAGAAAGAAACCCACTAAAGGTGTTGTCCTTGCAAATCTGGATGAAATCCCTGGATGTAACCCCTGTGGATGTTTCCCGGTAACAGTTGTGGTCCCCCCATTTTGGATTCCCTTGCACTGTTGATTTCAGAGTCCCTTCAGATTGCTCTGAAACAGGGATGGGAAACCTGCCGCCCTCCAACTCTCATCAGCTCCAGCCAGTATGGCAAATGGTCAGGGGGAGGATGAGAACTGCAGTACCAACAACATTACAGATTACCCATTCCTACTCTACAGTGTTAATGATCTTCTCTGAAGAGATACTCCAGCATTATAATATATTATAATCTGGAGAAGGAAGTGGCACTCCTAGGGAGGGGAGGAAAATGTTTCATATATATATTCAGTTCTCTCTAAGGCTTCATTTTCTGGCACACCAGCATCAATTTATGCAGTTCTCCTTTTCTGGGGGATCGTGCTCCACTTTCTGCAGGCTGTGAGAACCATTTCACATGCATTGTTCCACCAAGTATACACTTTTCTGGGAGATGCATCCAATCATAGCCCCTCATGTTTGTACCTGTATGATGCATGTTTTTGAAAATACATCTTTGCTTACATTTTATAGTTTTAAAACCTATTTGGTGCACACCCAAATATAGTATGTGAAGCAGCCCTTTGCTAAAATGCATAAGCTGCAATCTTTTAAGGGGTTTCCCAGTTCTTAACAATGCTTGAAATCCTATAAGAGTCATGGGAAACTATGGAAAGGACCAGTACACTGCTTCATCTGCTGCTGTATTTACACTTCTCATGAAATGCAAAGAGAAACATTAGTCCTGGGAGGCCAGAACCAATTTCCGTATCTGAGGGAAATGGCAGCCTGTGCACAGTGTAACCTCACCAGTGTCGTAAATTCATGCCTTGTGTTTCTAGCCATGTAGTTCAGTCTCCTTCACTCTTTGGGCAAGCTGTCCTCTCAGCCATTTTTCTTGCCTCTTCCTCTCCTAGAATCGCAACAGTCGCATGACCAAAGCTTCATTGGAAGTGCATTTGGATTTATGTTGGGGGTGTCAGTAGAAAAAGGCCACAACCTCCCCACCCCCCACAAAAAAACCCCACAGGGTCACATACTGTAACAGAAAGCTGTCTATAAGTTTGGAGGGATTTCCCCACTCCGTCAGGTGTGAAATATTGGAACTGGTCTTGAATAGCAATTCAAAGAAATGGAGGATGCAGCAGTAATGATATCACCCTGCACGTCTCTTTAAAAATATTTTATCTGTTTCTAGACAACCTCTCCCATATATCCAGACGGGAAGAACATTCTTTGGGACAACAAAAAAGGAATGCTGGTCCCCACTCACCTGATCAAGGACTCCTTGTTTGTTGAGTGCGAAACTTTCATTGATATGAAGCCCCGCAAATCAAGTTTCTTCCTTGTCCACATTGCAGGTGAATTTTGGAACAGAGTCAGTCACTGTGACAATCAACCTCTTAAAAGTGCTCAGGCAGTACGACAACCATTTTTCACGCATGAGGCTTCCAGCCATTCTTGCTGCAGTCCCTTTGTAATGTGATTATGAAACCTGCTATGGCCAGAAGGCTTGTTTTGTATTATAGATGCCTCTGGTTTGCCTGCTACATCATCAACAGACAGCTTCAATTGTCATGCCCATGACTTCAAGCCATAATTGAGGGATTGATTTAGAAGGTGAGGAAGGCTCCAGGCACTAGTTCTGGACCTAATCACCCAGACAATCGCCTCCAGTTCCCTCTGAGCCATAGGCCCCAATGGCAGCACAACTGCCCTTACTCTTAAGGGCTTATTAGTTTCCATGCCTGATCAAGATGCCACTAGATGTGGATAGGCATTGGCTGAGTAGTGCATCACTCCAGGAACAGGCATGTCCCTTTAAACTTCTCCATCCATCTCAGTGAGGGCAGAACCTGGCAACCAAGTCAAAGGTAGGAGACTTGGATGGGTTTCAGCCATTATCAGAACAAGTAGTCACTGCAGAGCTGTCTGAGGTGCTGCTACTCCAACATGACCTCGCCCCGCCCATAAGTCTGATAGATGCATGTTTGTGCCTAAGTACAATTGTGAAAATGCTAAATCTTACATATTAAAAACCAAAACACACATGCATTCACAGTCTTGGGAACAGGCAACCTGTGGCATCAGAGAACATTTCAGAATAAGGTAGGATGACGTGAAATGAAATGAAAGTTTAAAAATAAGGAAGCAAAATAAGCAATGTCTGGGTGCAAATAAACCCTCACATTCTATCTGTGCTATCTACAATGGCAGTCATCATTACCCCTTCAAATGGCCACATATTCCTTGTTCAAAATGCACTTTTTGATATGGCACACCCTCATTCCTATTCCCTTCATATATCTTGCTATATTCTGTAGGATGTCAATTGACAGTTGAATAAGGAAGTAATCAACAAACTTTAAGGTAGGGGGTTTGACCATCCACAACCACAGTAGTTTGATAACACAGACAAATGGCTACAGAATTAAGCAAATATATGGTGGGGGGCATCTTAGACCAATGAGCCTGTGTTGTGTGGTTTGATTTTATTTTTTATAAATTTGTTACAATTTTGTAGCAAGAGTTCTGTTCCCCCCCGAAGGAAAAACTGTATTTGTTTAAGTAGTTGCCTTACTTTTACACCAGGGAATGAACTTTATGACATCCAGTTGTTTCCAAGGAAGGCCATGGAGCTTCTAGTGGGAGAAAAACTGTATCTCAACTGTACAGTATGGGCTGAGTTTAATTCGGGAGTTGATTTCCAGTGGGATTACCCTGCGAAACAGGTAGGAATTGACATTATCTTATTCAGTTTTGCTTCTATGAATGGTTTGTGTGCACTGCTTTTAATTTTGGATCCATGGAGTGGAAGCGGAACACACACACACACACACACACACACACACACACTCCAATTCATGCATAGTTGACAGACCTAATTACACTGGTATAGTCACATCTGATGTTCCTTGTACTCTCTGCCTTGTTACTTGCAGCCTTCCTTTCCCCCTAAATTTGCTCCCTGCAGGGAAAAAATGAAATAGCAATGACTTCCCGAGTACATGCCAATTCAATCCAGTTTGGGGTATGTTTGCGTTCACAATATCCCTGACACCTCCATCACTGCTGGGATGGGCTGCAGCTCTCTGGCACAGCATCTGCTGTGCATGCAGAAGATCCATGGCATCTCTAGGTAGGGCTGTGAATTGCCCCCTGCCTGAAACCCTGGAGAGATACTGTCAGTCAGTGTAGACAGTACTGAGCTGGAGGAAGCAATGGTTCTAACTCGGTGAAAGGCAGCTTTCTGTGTCACAACAGCCCTACTCATATGTTTAAAAGAATGGGCGTAGAGAAAGACGTGTATGCCAGCCCTGCCCCAAAGGTCACTGTCCCCGTAGGCTCCATCCCCAACATTTCTGGAACATTTTGCTGAGCAGGCTAAATGAGATCAAAGGTTTACCAAGAAAGATGTAGAGGGAGGCTCCTGTGCAGGAGTTTCTTTGGGGAAGCAAGTTAGGGTGACAGAGAAAAGAGACTTGCCTCCTCCAAGTCACAGTGAAAGTCTTTGCTCCCATATTGACCCACCTTGTAGACTTACCTAGGCTTGTCTTCATCACTCCTTTTTCTTCTTGACTCCTTATCTGGGAGTTATATGTGTTTGCAGAGGTGTTCACACTTCACATCCACACAGTTGTGCAACACCTCATATGTCTGGAAGTTCTTCTATGCATGCACAAAATATCCCTCCACACAGCAAGCTAACATGTCAGGGGAAAACTTTTTAGCCAAAAACTCTCCTTGAAATGGTGGTTTCCCTATATACAAAGAATTCTCTTGTATGAAGGAACATCCAATCATCTGAGCAAGTTGATGTGGTTTAGCCCAGATACAATTTTACTTTACCAGCTGGGATTAGGCTTTTGACTACTCTGTCACCCCCTTTTAAAATCAGCCTTCTCCAACCTGGTGCCCTCTGGGTATTGTTTGACTACAACTTCCAACATCCCTGACTGTTTGCATTCTGGCTGGGGTTGATGTGAGTAGTCCAAAGTACCAGGAGGGCACCAGGTTGGGGAAGCCTGCTGCAGTGGGGAGGGCATCCTAATATTTCCTAATATCTTATATGTTTATTCCTTTCCTTCTGTTGCCTTCTTCTGGCAGATGAACCGGAAAGTCACAGAACTGCCTGAGAGGCGCTCCCAGCAGACACACACTGAACTTTCTAGCATCCTGATCATCCAAAATGTGAGCCTACAAGACCTGGGAAAATATACATGCAAGGCTAGCAATGGGGAGCAAGACTTGAAGGAGAGCATAGATGTCATCGTACATGGTAAAAACCATTAACTCAGGATAAGAAAACCTTGTAGGTGCTTCTGGTGTGTTAGCATGGTGGCAAACAGTTTAAAGGCAGCTGGTGTCCTTTGTGAAACAGTGGAGAAGATCAGATAAGATAAAGGAAGCAGTGGAAAACTTCCTGTGAAGACTGACCTTTTGTCCTCTGTTCCCTGCCATATGAAAACATGTGTGTGTGTGTGTGTGTGTGTGTGTGTGTGTAAGTGTGTGTGTAAGTGTGTAAGAAAGAGAGAGATTATTATGTGACACACCATGTTCTCTAGGATTATGGCATGACAGGGCAAAGATCCAATGCTCCTGCTAAACAACAGCAAATGATATGTTCCCAGGAGTAAGCTGACATGATTCTGAGTTAAGTCATGGTGGTAACCAGTACTGATACCAAACTCCATATTATCACTGAGATGTCAGAACAGATGTTCCCTTTTTCTCTCTCTAAGGACTGCCTTTTTTATAGCAGCTGAAACTGTCCACTTGCCCTCCTTATGCCTATGTCATTCTATAGGTAGTAACTATAAACTAACCACCACCCATACAAAGAAAACTTTTACTTGAGCTGAAAAGTTCTGGCAAAAGTAGCGGTAAGTGTTAGTTAAAATCTCCATCCAATGCAAGGTTATTTGCAGGATAAGGCATGGTAGCATTGTCAACATTTAAGAAAGACAGGTCCCTGTACCTTCACGGAGCAAACTGTGAATCAGTGTGAACAACTGTTCTCATGTCTGCACAAATTCAGGGATACACAGATTCAGTATCTAATGGGCATCTGTGCATACGTGATGTTTATTTCCAAGCAGTGCATACTTCTACAATGTGTATGGATTAATGCTATCTAATCTCTGCTGTAGCTCCAGCATGATCATCTCACAGCTTTCACCCTGCTTTCTTCTTCTTCTCTCTTATCTATCTGGTTTTCACAGAGAAACCCTTCATCAATGTGGAGTGGAGGAAGGGTCCAGTGATTGAAGCAACAGCAGGAGATGAAATGGCGAAGCTGCCGGTGAAAGTGGTTGCCTACCCCCAGCCTGAGTTCCAGTGGTAATGCACTCCCCCTCTTAGCATATAGGCTTAGCAGTCTTCAGGGTTGACCTTTGTAGAGAAGGGGAAAAGAGGAGGAGAAAGGCCCCTGTCTTGCTGAAATCGATTTTGTGAGAGGAGTGACACTGCCCTCCCACACGGCTTGAGGGTTCTGATTTGGAGGTCTGTTTCAAAACCTGAGCGATTCTTCTTGACTTCTGTGATTCTTAAGCTTGACTCATTACCCAGCATTTTAACATTGTATAGCAAAGCAGGCTATTCTTTTCACTGGAGACATAAAAATTCTTCCTCGTCTTTTCTCCAGAGTTCTGGCAGACGTTAGAGGCAGGGAGAAACAATCTTTCTCATCATTCGCTTTGTTGGCAAACGCACGCCACACAAACACACAAATGTTCTCCACCCACACTCAAGTGCTGTCTCACATTCCCTGTGGCTATGTAAACACCTGTTAACACTTTCAGAAAGCCGAGGCCCTTCTGACTAAGGGAAAGTCATGGAATCTGGTACTGAGGTGGCAAGTGTTTGGGTCTAGACTTGCACCTCAGTCCCAGTCAGAGGGGATGATAGCTGAGCTCCCTGGGGGTGCCACATATATCCTGATCTCATTCTGATCAGCCAGCTGGTGACACGATAGCAAGGAAAGCGGAGTTAGGGAAGTGGATTTCATCTCTCACTTCATTCTGTCATATCAGCTTGTGCTGTGTGTAAAATTATAAGTAGTATAAGCCCTTCACTTCAGCCCCTTGCTCAGCTATGTAGCAATGACTTGCCATAAATGGCACTTTTGCAAGATGCCACAAGGCAGTGAAGTGTCACTTCATAAGGGCAGGACACGCCTGTCATTTTAAATTTCTCTCCTCCCCCCCCCTTTTTTCCAATCTCACAGTCAGTTCTCCATACTTCCATTTCAGTTTACAATTTAAAAAAAAATTCTCATGAAAATTTATCAGAATTTTAGTATGCACTTCTCATATGTACATTTTTGTATGCAATTTTACCTATTAAACAGAATTTTGCAAGTGATTTTTGGTAACATTTTTGGATGTTATCTTCACTAACGTATGTATTTTTAAATGCACATATTTACCCTTGCATATACATTTTAAAAAAACATTCTTTGGTTTGATAATGCATTGCAAAATTTGGAGAAGTGTGGATTTTGAGGAAAAGCTGTGTTTTGGGATCTTGTATTGTTTTGAGAAATGCAAATTAAGTAATTTGACATTACATTGCAAACCTAATTTCCCCTGCATTTTATACATCTGAATTTTGCCTTGGGTGGTTGTCAGTGTTTTCCCTTTGGCTAGAAAACGCAGCAAGCAGAAGGGGAGGAATTCGTGAGAGGTCTCCCTTTGAGGAAGTGCCTCCTGCCATGGACTGAAGCCCTGTGACTGCCTTTTGGGAGGAACGTGCTAATCCACACACACATACACCTCTCTCTTTCTCTCTCTGCTTCTGCCCAGGTTTAAGGATGGAAGGTTAATTTCCAACAGGCAGTCTCAATATTCCCTGCAGATCAAGGATGTGGCAGAGCAGAACTCTGGCTCCTACACGTTGGTTCTGAAGAACGGGCCGGCTGGACTGGAGAAGAGCATTAGTCTCCAGCTGGTGGTCAATGGTAAGGAGGTTGGACTAATGGGAGAGGAATGTCCTGAAACCCTGTGCAGTTCGACAGATGTTTGTACCTGATGTCATTTGGCCTTGTGTGGCTGTTTATTTTAACAAGTCCGTGCTATAGAGGATGAAGTCCTCTTCATCCTTTGCCCCCCCCCCCGCCCCAGTCCAAATTGGCCCCATGTGCATCCTATTCACAATGGGAGGGGAGCTGTCATTGGCAAGAGGGGAGCTGGCTCTGTCTGGGAACATGGCAAGGGCAAAAGGGCTGGAACCCTTCTTCTCCCCACACAAGGCTGAACAATGAGGATGACATTGCATCTAGAATGACTCCTTATCGGTTTGTGTTATCCTTCCCCCTCTGGGACTTCTCTGTCCTTTCAGATCAGAAAGTTATAAAATGAATGCCTCTGGGTCAATTTTTTTTAATAAAAAAATAAAATATAATATGATGAGTAGGGCAAGGAAAGAGTGTCAGGTTTGGAATGGGGGGACCCTCTGTTCAATTACCGTTTCCGACTGCACATAATGGCAGCAGATCCATGTATTAGGATTTAATTGCCACAAAAATCCCTATATAAAAAGGTTTAGTGCAGGCAGGTGGGAGAAACTGAAATCTTCTCCCACCCCCATCTTCCCACCCCCACTGACACTGCATTCTAAACAAAGTTCTCTTTCATTGGGGCTATGTTACCATTGCCAAGGAAAGGCTAAAAGGTAATTTGGAGGTGGGAAAAACAATTTCACTTCTCTCCCCCCCCCCCATCCTGCACATTAAATCCCCCCTCCCCACCCTTCTCTGCTTTGTATGGATTCAGCACCACTAGTCTGGGTCACATTGTATTTGGCCAGGGGTAGGCAACCTAAGGCCTGGGGGCCGGATGCGGCCCAATTGCCTTCTCAATCCGGCGCGCGGATGGTCCGGGAATCAGCGTGTTTTTACACGAGTAGAATGTGTCCTTTTATTTAAAATTTATCTCTGGGTTATTTGTGGGGCATGGGAATTCGTTCATTTTTTAAAATCAAAATATAGTCCAGCCCACCACATGGTCTGAGGGACGGTGGACTGGCCCACGGCTGAAAAAGGTTACTGACCCCTGTATTTGGCCCTCAATAGCAGCACATAGAAGAGTGAAATGTGGGAGGGGTATGAGGAGTAAAATTGGGGGGGGGGGTCTCATTCAGGCTACCAAAGGATCTGCAGTCTTCTGACTCCATGATGTCAATGCAGAAGAACGAATTGCAATAAGTGAGTTTTCCTGGAGCTAATCCAGCATCCCTAACACGCCTGGCAGTCACATCACTGTAGTGTTTATAGAGGAAGAAAATAACTTCCCAGTGTTTTAAAATAGGATTGGGCAGAAGGTAGATTGGGATCTAATGGCAGACCTTTGGATGATTTGCAGTAGATCAGCAAGGGCTTCTGATTCCCAGCTGTCTAACAATAGCAACAGTTTAAACTCTGCACACCCTCACCCCCATGCACCAAATTAGGTAAAAAAGAACACCAGGAGCACGATTCTCCTAACAATCCCTGTCAGCAGAAGCCCTGAACAAGGACTTTTGCCTGTGCAATGGGACTTCCCCACCTCTCCTCCCACCCACCATGAACTTGGTTCAGAGGGGGCTGGAGAACTCCAAGAACAGCACACTGAGGGAGAAGAGGGGGGTCATTCGGCAAGCTGAAATGCTTGCACATTTGGAAGTCTATAATAGTGCAGTATTGAATTCCACCCAATGAATGGGTGTTTTGTGTGAAGGACTTGTGAGCTTGGTTATGGGAACTGCTCATTCATTCCTAGACTGAGCATGTGCTCAGAGGCTTCTTGTTTCTTAATTCTGAACTTACATCCACCTACCTGATCCACTAATTTGCACCTGGTTCTGGTTGGTGGTCCGTGAAGTTGTAGTAGAAAACAAAGTAGATCTCGCAAGCCTGACGCCCACCCAGCCGTACTCTAAATGCACCTATAACTTAAGCTCAGGTCATTTTATCCATTGCATTTAGTAGATAATTTCTTAAATGAGAGGTGTGCCAGGTAATTGTACATTACCTGCTGGTAGTTCAGCATTTGCTTGCTCTCCTGTAACAGTTGCCCTCAAGCAATGATGTGTCATTCTCTTCCTCAAAACAATGACTTCCAACAGGGGCAGGGAAAGACCAACGTACACTGCCTCCATAGTGCTATCCTGCTTAATAGAAGGCAGCACCAGCATTGGCCTGTGGGGTGGGGTGGAGCCACAGATCCACCCTCACAATGCCAGCATCACTTACATTGCACCTTACCTGTATGGAACCTCCCCACCCCTTCTCCACTCTCACCTGGTAAGCAGCAACAACCTTGCTGCTGGGAAGCTAGTGTTGCAACTCCACTCCATTGGGTGAGGCACTTTTGGACAGAACATGGCACTGGTGAGGTTGAGGCTGTACAGGAGCACCAGCTGAGCCAATCAGGTGATCCCACCCTGACATTGCTACCCCACTCCAGCCCTGCCCAGGTAAGCTGCAGTGACATCAGTGCTGCTGGGACCTAGAGCAATTCTAAGGGAGAGGAAGGAGTATAATTACTACTACTACACAGCAGCAACACGAGGTTGGGAGGGGAGGGAGAAGATTGAGGGAGATAGTGTGGGTGAGGATTGGCAGAGAGAGCAGCAGAGGCAACCTTCCCAGAACAGTTATTATTTACAAGGCTGATACATCAACATTCTTCTTATTTCAGTTCCTCCACAAATCCATGAGAAAGAAGCAACTTCATCCAACATCTATTCCCGTAAAAGCCGACAGGTGCTCACCTGCACTGTGTATGGCATCCCAGCACCAGAGAAGATCCAGTGGCAGTGGAGGCCTTGGACACCCTGCCCAATGTTCTCCCGTCACAATCTGTAAGTAACTGGCCTCCTTTGATCTTTGCCGTCTTCTTAAGGCTGCAGCAAGGGAGGAAGACCTTGGCATGCTTCTTCATGCAAATGCATATGAGATGGTCACCGCAAGAGGGTCACTAGGGATGTGCATCGGATGAATGCCAAAGCGGGCTGCTTTGGACAGATTTCAGGCATCTCCGAGCTAAAGTGGCATCTCTTCAGTATGCCCCAAACCGAAGTGGGATTTGGGGCACTTCAGTTATTTGGATATTTAAAATGTTGCTGGTTATGTTGTAGAGGTGTCCCTAGGAAAGTATGCCATTTTCATAATAAAATAGTTGCCCACAAAACCAGAGGGAGAGAAGCAAATCCCTTTTAGTTCTCCCCATCCTCAAAAAGCACCCAGCACAAAAAACATTTTGTATTTTGGCAGGTTTCTTACAAAGAGGGGGCTGTCTAGTGGATGCTATTTTGTATGCTATTTTGCATACAAAATAAGAGGGGAGCTTAAGTGATTTGTTTTTTGACCATCCTAAAATGGAAAAGCCTGCCCTTGCAGGAAAACCACTATGGCTAGATTAAAAGTGCCAGAGTGCATCCTCTCAGAAAAGGCAAACAAGAGAGCAAATTTCATACACTTCTGCCAAAAGGTAAAATAATTGTAGACAATTCTGGTTTTGTTTTTAAAGGTGCCTAGTACAAAAACTAATGGAACTATTTCTCTGTAATTTGGCAGGCTTTATCCACTAAGCCTTGAAATTTAATGCAAGTCCATTAAAAATGAAACTGTTTTTTGTTTTCCTATTTGTTCCTTGCAAATTTGGATTTGGACCCAAACCAAAATGGGTAGCCTCTGTGTTGCTGTTGCTGTTGCTAGCTGTTACTTGTTGTTGCTGCTGCTGTTACTTACCTGCCCTTCACTTTAAGGTGCCGGGACAGGCTACAACAATTAAAACACAATGTTAAAAATGGATTAAAACAACATACAGTAACAGAAATGAAGCCACTTGTGTGGAGTGGCTTCTTGCACTTACAGGACAATATTTCTCCACACTGCCTTTTGGAGAACATTTGTAGTGGCATGGAGAGTGGTGTGAGTACCTGTCCATTTGAAGGGCATGCCATAAATAATGTTAGCCAGGAGCTAAATGCAGCCTGTTCCTTCACTTTAAAACCTATGAATAAGACCTAATTCAAATGTCATGATAAGCTGGTATTATCACCTTGATCTCAGAGAGGTAGTGTTGTCCAACATTTGTAGGTGAAAGTATAAATGGTGGTCCTTGTGCAAGAGCATCAGTTTTTTATTCATATGAGTGGAGTAGACAATGAGGTTTACCCTCCTGCCTGCATCTTCTAGTCCCAAGAGAGGGGGCTATTCATTTGGCCCACAAAATGCTCCCTCCTTATGGGTGTGACTGGAGTGGCATGAAACCTGACTACTGGAAAAGAGATTCCATGCTTCTCTAGCAACTAATTGTGCCATGGGGGTGCATTTTAGATTTCTCATGGAGCAACACGAAGGAGCAGGGTTAAGAGCAGGGGTTTAGGCAGGTTTTTCTTCTGGTGTTGAATATGTAAAAAAGTTGCTGATTACTCCTGCATAGAATTATCCTGCTAGTGCTTTTTCTTTGATTTCTCTGGCCACTGAGGGCTGAACTATTGGCTTAAGTCCAAACTAGGCATGATGTGGGAGATTCAAGAACTGGATGTCTCATTTTTCCAAAGAAAGACAAGCAGCTACAGAGGGCTCATATTTGGATTGAAACTGCTGTGTTTGGGAAGGGAGAACATAGCAGTACTGTATGGGTAGATGTACATTTTTGCCCTCAGAGTTGATTTAAATCAGGGAAATGTAATGTAGGCACAGGGGTGTTAAAAAGCAAAACAAATAATTTCCCCACAACATGGCAGTGACAATCTGAATGAGGGACCCTGTGGCTACTTCTAAACATTTTTAAAAGCTGGGGAACCTGAGCCCATAACTCCTGCATCAGTTTCAAGTTTGGCCCTTGGTGTCTGAAAACTGGTTAGGATCTAGGCCCAGTTTAAAGTGGAGCTGAGAAGCAATCGTTCACAAACATGAACAGGCCAGCAGCTGCATGAAAAGGCAATTTGTAAAGTGGACTCAACTCAGCCATTTGACAGAAAAAGAACAAGAAATGCAGTGGTCTAACATGAAGAATCGCCTATAAATAAGTGGCTCTTCAGTCTTCACAGACATCTATCAAACCAAAGGCTGCTTTGCCTGGTGTAGTTTGCACCATCTTAGGAAGCTGTAGAGATTTGTTACCCTCTTCAAGAGATTTGTTTCTGAGCATGCTAGTGGCAGAACTCAAAACTTGCCTGCTGCTTGTCTGCAGGGACAATGCAGGCAGAAATTATTACATTGGCAGAGTTGTGAGGTTTTCAATGTGTGTGGGTTTTTCCTGCAGAAAATTTATGTAGCTGCCAGAAAATGTCTAGGTAGGAAGTGGCATCTAAGGCGTTTAACACTCTGTTTAACAGAAACAGACTTAGAAAGATCGATGGGAGTCTGATACAAAGTTTTACAAAGATGTGTTTCAATGCCCTTGTTGCTTACCAGAACAATATCTCAGAAAAACAAATCTATATGAGTACTGCTGTATACCGTAATTCATCCACCTCAGAAGGTTCTAGTAGTGCTAATAGATAAAGGGTTTTTTTTAATAGTCAGAATGCAGAGTGAGATGATCCAGTGGTTGTTGAAAATAAAACTAGATAAGAATATCTTTGTTGGTGCAAGTGTTGGTGCAATGAAAAAAGGGGTATACTGTATAAAGAATTCCCTAGATGCCAAAATCCAGGTTTGGGGCAAGTACAGAAAAAGTTGCCCAGGCAGTAAAGCCTGGATTAGTTACAGTGGTGAAAGTTCCCAAATTATTGGTATAGGAACTCAATAATTGTTAGAGCCATGCGGCTTGTTACAGCCATGTGGCTAAGTTGGAGCAACCAGCTTAGCCTCTTCACATGCTGAGCTTCTCCCACAGACTAGGAAGAAACGACAGGCTTGATTACCTAGTTCCTCCCAAGGTGAGGGGAAGTGGACATAACTAAGCGTGGCAATAAAGCTTACTCTATGGTATTAACCCCTTCATGTGTTAATTAGACTTAAGCAAGTTGGTTATATGAGGCTGGTTATCCCACACAAAGAACTTATGTTACTTCAGTAAATTCCACAAAGACCTTGGCAGAAGCTTGAAATAGCAAATCTGTCAAAGTAAAGTGTGAAAGCCTGCAAAAGTGACTGAATAGTATGTGACCCCAGCAGTGGAATGTACGCTCCTGCCACCTAAATTGGGTGCATAGGGCATGCCCTAAGGGGGCAGGGGTGGTGGGAGCCTGCTGTGCCCGGCCAGGCACGAGAATGCTGCCTTGGCGGCACCCCCACACAACACTGCCCAGCCGAGGAGAGGGGCAGCAACACTGCTGCTGTGACTATCCTCCTCCTCTCCGCCTCCCAGGTCAGACCTGGCCCAGGAGCCAGAGCCAGGCCCAATGAGGGAGTCTGGGAGGGGCACCTAGTCATGCCCCTCTCAAAACTGTGCCCAGGGCCATGCTCCCCACACACTACACCTCTGTGTGACCCCAAGATCATATTTGATTCAAAGTGGCAATGAAGCTTCAGTAAAAGCTGAGTGAATGTAGAAGTAGCAGATACGAGCAAATTAAAGTCATAAGGCAGAATGTATGGAGCTGTTGTAATACATAGTGATAGGGAGACTCATAAAAAGTTTTGGACTCCAAGATGCCTGTGACTACATCAAGAAGCAGAGAGATAAAAAAAAGCCCATTTAGATTGGGAGAAGAAGAATGTGTGAGAGAAAGAGAGAACAAGAATATAAAAGTGGTCCACTTTGTTTCCACTGTGAGGTGGGAAACAGTTTTTGGAAACATTAACACACAATTGAAACATAGGGCAGCGCCCATTTAATAAATGAGAATTTTACTGGCCTTCAGCATTTTACCTCCAAAACAAATCCCTTAGTGCAACGGTTCTGAGAATGTGAAGTAGGCCTGTCTCCAAGGAAACTTGGGCAGCTTGCTAAGAAAGGCTTGAACTGCTTGTTTTCTCCCAGACTGTTTAGTATCTGTGCTTCAACTGGGTGAGAAGCAGGGTTCTTATTTTCCCTGTCCCAAGCAATGTAGCCCAAAGACCTGTGGAGGCTGCAAAAAAGGTAAAGGACCCCTGACAGTTAAGTCCAGTTGCAAACGACTCTGGGGTTGGGGCGCTCATCTTGCTTTACTGGCCGAGGGAGCCGATTTTTGTCCACAGACAGTTTTTCCGGGTCATGTGGCCAGAGCAGCACACGGAAACGCCATTTACCTTCCCACTGGAGCGGTACCTATTTATCTACTTGCACTTTGACACGCTTTTGAACTGCTAGGTTGGCAGGAGCTGGGACTGAGCAACGGGAGCTCACCCCATCGCAGGGATTTGAACAGCTGATCTTCCGAGCTGCAAGTCCTAGGCTCTGTGGTTTAGACCACAGCGCCACCTGCATCCCTTGTGGGTGCCCCATAATTTTCCTTTTTCTCTTGCTGGTTGACTGGAGAAGCTTATGGTGATTTGCAGTGGCATTCAGCATGTACCAGTTTGGAAGAGGCAGTAGTTCTAGAGGTTCTTTTCCTCATGGAGGCCCTGTTTGACCAGGTGTGATAGGCTCTGGATGTGGTGAAAGTAGTTGTGGAACTGCCCTTAGAAACAAGGACAATTTATATGACCTCTATCTCTGTCTGAATGGTTATTGTGCAGGAGACAAGCTGCCTGTTCCTTTGGGTACTGCTGGCAGGACATTTTACAGCAAAGGTCTATTATTATTGAGAAAGAAAGATTGAAAGAGGCCTCTAAGATAGAGAGGAATGTGACAGGGAAGCATTATTGACCCAGGAGGAAGTGGGGCATCTATAAAAATACTGATGCCGTAAATGTACTGTTTGACTGGCTGAGGAAACAAGGGCATTTCCAGTCCCATCAAAATGCTTTGTGGCCTTGTCAGGAAGGAGAGGAGTTGTTGAATTATTAGCACTGTCTCCCAAGGCCACAATCTTTATGCTTATCCCAGCTTCAGAGGATGCATCATGATTTCCTGTTGTTTAAACAGATTCTCACTCTTGTTATGGTACACTAAGTGTGCTAAACATCTGTCCCCTCATCTTCTCTAATGAAGGCATGTTGTTTGGGTGGAGGAGCACACTATCTGCCAGATGTTAATTTGGGTGCCAGAACTATCCAACACTCTCAGATATGTTTTGGGCCACCAGTTGTCTATACCTGGTCTACTGCATACACAGCAGTGCAGACACTTTATCCAGGTACCACATTGCATTACATTTGAACCCAACTTTCCAGCAGACACCTTCTGACACATGTTGCAGGATGCCACACCCTGTAGCATACTCTCTTAACTCTCAGTCAATGTCCCTTAGATGCATATCAATCCCCTGACCTCCCACATTAAAAACTCTTTCAGGTTGCGTGCACACCATATATTTAACATGCGCATCCACACAGCACGGCATGAAGGCTATATTCTTCTCCTGCTTTTGCTCCCCAGACACTGGCACCCCATAAAGTCAGGGTTCCAGGCAGCGGGAAGGGCAAGGTACAGGGAGCTTAACAGTGCAGGCATGGCAAAGGAGCCAGTCCAATGCTCTTGCCACACCATCACCCTGCCTGCACCACCTTGAGCTTTCTGCACCTTACCACCCCACCAACTGCTGCTGGCTCCATATAACAATCTGATAGTTGTGGGTATATGAAATATCCTTGCATTTTTTACCCCTTTTTAAAGCAATCTAAGCTAGTGGTTATCACCACATGAAATGGAGCGAATTGTTCACTACATGAAGAGAAAGTGCTTATAATATTCCATCTCTTCTGACTCTCTTGCTATCACTGGCGATCCTTGATTTCTCATACTGTGGGAGAGGGAGAACATTTTCTCTTTATCTGTTTTCTCTGTACCATCTAAAGTTTTATAAGGCCATCTCGTGCTCCCCCTTAGCCATTTTCCCTCTCCTCCTAATTATATTATAGGCAGCATTGTATGTTAATGCCCTGTAATCTTCCCAATAACTTCTTTTATTGGCAAACCAAATCTCCTGTTTCTCTCTGTCTCTTCTTCTTTCATGGCTTCTGGATAAATAGGAGTAGGAGGAGGACTGTCCGGCGCCATCAGCGAGACCGGATGCCCGAGTGTAAGGACTGGAAGGATGTGTCGCAGCTGGATGCTGTGAATGCCATTGAAAGCATTGACACCTGGACAGAGTTTGTGGAAGGAAGGAACAAGGTGAGGACACATGTTTCTCTTTGTCCTTTCTGCGTTGGAAAGAGGTAGAAGCACCTCGAGCTCATGAGACGGAGCCTTCTCAGGCCAAAACGTTTTAGCTGATTTTGCAACATGAAGCCAAACTGTGAGTTGACTTCCATCATGTGGTCAGTTAGTTATGCAGGTAAATGATTACACATTTAGTAATCAGTTTTTGTCTTATCTATACGTTTATATGAAAAACCAAAGCCAGTTTTGGATAACCTGTTAAGATCCTTACTACCAATTATGATACTAGAGAGAAAAATGAGGTATAAAATGTGAAGACTGACATTACTGAATACATTCACATGAAATAAAAAATACTTCACAATGCAGGGGGGGGGAGGACTCATGTACTCCTAATATGGCTGACGTTACTCAAAGGTTAAGAATGCACTAGATTTATGTGAATGGCACTGGCAAATTTGGGGACAAATGTTGTATGAATGTGCAAAGGAAGGAATACTAGAGACAGTGATAATAATGATCTAAATTTGCATTGCTTTCAGTGAATTCAGTACTGAATGTATGCTTATTAAATAGAGTGATTTAAAAGGTGAACATTAAATTAGAAGGTATTGTCCACTGTGGTTGTTTAAAGACAGTTCCATGAGTCAGAGCATGGCTTTCTTCATAGAGGAATGAGATCATCTATGAGCAAGCTGAATGGAAGGCAGAGTGCAGTGGAATATTCTAATGCAATGAATGTACAGCAATCTTCATTCTTCAAAATAAATTCACTGCTGACATCCTATAAATGGCTGAGGAAATACATGAATTTTGAGTTAGTGCCAAAAAGACAAAAGACATTCCATAACTGGGGTGCCACCACAGAAGATGCCCTACAATATTCATTCCCAACTCCATTCCATAAGAATATATATCACAACTGTTTTTATGACTCAGGTCAGCATTCTGATTATTAAGCTACACTTTGTCCCACGTTAAGCTATATTCAGTGAAACTGCTGGAAATTTAATTTGATGTCGCAGTGGCAGAACCACCTTGGTACTGCTAAATATAAGGGGTGGGTGGGAATTGGAATTGAGAACTTGAGGTGGAATGGCAAGGAGAACCCTTTTCCTATCCTTATTTTTTGCTCCCAAACTACTGTGCTTCAGCCATTTTTCTCCTGGTGGAAATTTCATAATGCCACTCAGAGATGGTGGGACAGCTGAGCTAGGACATTTAAGGGGCAAAAAACATAGGCAACAAGAGTCCAACTCTTCCTTCTTGCTCATGCTGTGCTTTCAGTCGCCCTACTCACCTGCCCCCTACTTTCTCTCAATTCAGCTACCAGACTCAGTGGGCCATTATGAACAGTTTGGCCCTGTACACTATTCCAGTACAAATATGTGAATCCAAATGTATGAAGTGTTGCTTTGAAGTGTGAGAGGTTCCATTGGATATTACACTATATTTCCTTTCTGGAATGTTTTTTTTTCTTTCTCTCCTGTCCTGATGCATGACTAGCTGGCATTTAAAGGCTGTTTCTTTCCATCCCCCCTGTATAAATGCCAGAGTCATGTGTGCTTTTCTATGACTAGTTTCCTGTTCTAGGTGACAATGTCAGTTACCAAACACGCGTGCATAATAGTGATGCAGGCTAAAGAACAAACAAATGGTTCCCAGTTTCCTGAAGTCACTTCCTGTTTTCATACACCCCTCCAAAATCACTTCCTGTTCCAATTTCAGTCAGGAGTTGGAAAGCAACAGAAAGGATGATGGGAAGGAGAGAGGCATGTTTCGTGCTCTGATTCAGGCTGTGTTAATGGCTTATACCAAGAGACAGTCTGTTTTCTGAACCTATCCTAATAATAGACAAGTCATATTTGGTGATATTATTTGTGATAGTAATTTAACATATATTACATTCACTTCTTTTACTTTCCTTTCTCTCCTTTAACCCATTTCACCCCTGCTTTGTCCTTTATAGGATCCATTGCCATATATATTTCTTTATTCCCCCCCCCCCCCCAGTTACTAGAAGGGAAAGAAGCATGAATAGAAAACATTTGTAAATAACTTCCAATTCTGACTCAGCCTGTCAGCCCCTCAAATGTTTGGGTTCTGGAAAAGAGAGCCATAACACTCCTGGAGTGGTGTCTCCAAAAGCTGTCTCGCATTTCCATTATGTGATGGCATTTTTGCATTTGTTTATTTTATTGTTGTTAGCTACCTAAATCATATTCGGTGGAAAGGTGGGCTATATGTTTCATAATATAAGTATGCCATTATAAGAAAATAGCTAGTCTTTTGGCCTTCAAAACTTTTGCTAATGGAATTGATACTCATTTTCCAGAACATTAGGAAAGTCTCCTGTCTGTGAACAGGTCACTAGATGCAGCTCTGGGTACCGCTATTTAAATTTGTTTGTTTCATTTGATACCAATTCAAGTAGAGGAAGAACCCAAAGTTGCTGGTTTTTCCACTGAGCGACAGAGTGGCTCTGCTTCCTTTCTTCTTCCTCTGTGACAGTCTGATGGAATGGCTGCTACTAAATGACCGCTGATGCGGGGAGAAACCTGATGGAGCTGGTTTCTCAGCAGAGCTAATAGAATGGCCCTGCTTCCCTCCTTCATTGCAACCTGATGGAATGTCTGTTACAAGACAACAAATGAGGAATAAACTTGCCAGGGTTAATTGATTTCATTTGATGAATGAATTTCTAACCAGCTTTTCAGTTTACAAAAAGGATTCCCTAGAGCACAGACTGAAAGCCTCTGCTGTGTAGTTTCTGAAATAGAAGAAAGCAGGTCTATGTGGATAGGTGGAATAGGCTTATAACACCAGAATAGTTAATTTCCAAGCATAGATTATAAGACAAATTGGAGGCAATAGGAATTAAATCTAGATGATGGATGTTGTGCATACCCTGCATGGTTTTGTACTGTAGAATTTGTTAAATATTATATTGGTTTAATTGCACTAGCCAGCAGCTGTGTTGACATTTTATGGACCACTGCATATATCATTAAAGGAACTGGAGCTATCTTTCCACAGATGATCTGCAAAGGTCAGCAGAGCAGATCCATCTTAGAGTGGGCTTGTCCACGTTTGAGCATTACTTCGCTCTTAATCTACCCCCCCCCCATTCAAATTAGGCTGGAGTAGTCTTTCCCATTCATACTAGCAGGCATTCTCTTTTGCGTTTGTTGTAGCCTTCTAATTTCTTGATTCTATTATGCCAGTTAAGCACTGACAGGACACGCATGCAGGTAGCTGTATGTGCACCTTGGTTTTTTTTGTTGCTTCTTAACATCTTTGCCCAAGAAGTGTGCAAAAACACACTGTCAGGCAATCATAAATTTGCTTGTGCAATTTTCTAGTTCTGTGCAAATCTGAGGGATCAAAAGAATATATATATATATATATATATATATATATATATATATATATGTAGAGAGAGAGAGAGACTAAGCTCCTGACTCACTATTACTAGGATGCTGGAAAAGAAATGAAATCAATTGTAAAATTTCAGCATCCACTTTTCAGATGGCTGCCCGATGTAATTGGTGTAGAAATTTTTCATGTGTTTTGTGTAATTTTCTGGTTTAGTGCAAATCTATGGGATCAAAGGCTGGGGGTGGGTGGGGGAATCCTGCATTCAGGAGTGCACCAAAAACAGTTACGGGCACAGCTGGAAAAGCAATGAAAGCACTGAGGAAGTAGCAGGCATGGAAAGGGCAGTGGCAGAAAGTGACAATTGATTTACCCATCCAAAACACACCAAAACAAATGATCTGCAACCCTGGATGAAGTGGTTTGCAGCCAAATTTTCCCCAGTTTATCAAAGTATCCCCGTATTGCGTAAACCTAAATTTACAGGGGGAAAGCCCTGAGATTGGTGTTGTTTGAAGGTGACATCATGTGGACTAAGCAAATTAAATGGGGATGCAAACAGTTGCAAACACACTGAACTGTAGTGTGGACATGCCTAGTGGTCCCACCCATACATTTCTCATCTGTTGCTTTTCCTATAGTTTGCACTACATCTGCAATCCTCTCTTTAAACAGGGACAAAAGATGGCATTTGTCTGGTGTACATCTCTTTGTTCCTGTCCTCGGCTTCTCCAAAATTCTGTGTCAGGTCATTATGCACCATCTGTTTGTGTATGGCTACTAACCCCCTTTCAACCTACTTCCCTGTAAGCAGAATGGCAGCACATAAATGAAGTTTGCTGCCCCTGATTTAACCCTTTTTATTGAGGGGAGTGTCTCAGTGCAACAGCAGCATTTCAGTAGGGGAAGTGGTGAATGGAGATCACAGGACAATGCTGAATGATAAGCAAACTATCAGTGGAAACAAAATGCAGAGATAGGAGAAACTCGACAAAAATTGAATGGGTGGTGCAAACATACCCTTAAATATTTCATCGTGCAATTCCCCAGAGCATAAGAATGAAGCTAGAGCATCCTCTTCCTTCCTGGAAGGTTAGTAAGAAGCTGAGAAGTCTTGCGTTTCCACATCTTAAATGTCATTCATGTTGCCCATTCTGTTTCTTTACCAGACGGTCAGCAAACTTATCATCCAAGAAGCCAACGTTTCTGTCATGTACAAGTGTGCAGCCTCTAACAAAGTTGGCCGTGATGAACGGCTCATCTATTTCTATGTAACTAGTGAGTATCATAAAGCATGTGGGAGGGGTGTCAATCCTTTGTCTTTCCTTCTGACCTTCGCTCACAGACCATTTGAATGGTTCATGAGTGTTTTTAAAAGCATTACTGCCATGATGTGCTCACAATCAGACAGCACTGTGTGTGTGTGTGTGTGTGTGTTTATATGGCCTCCTCAGGGACCGAAGATACAGATCACTGGAAGACATGGACCTTTTAATAAGGGCTAGTGGTGAATTAATTTTTTTTCTCAGATTTCAAAATCTGTACAGTTTCAGATTATCAGATTTTTAATAATATAGGAGTTCCCTCAAACTTTGTCAAAACGTTGAGTTTGAGGGTAAATCTCTAACTTTGGTTCTTATAGTTTAGTCAGTAGAGCCACACATTTGCCACCTCAATTTGTCTTTCATCATCATGATCAGAATTTGAGCTTTGTAGCTGAAAGATGAGTTTTCAAATTGGGATTTCACAGAATCATAGAATTGTAGAGTTGGAAGGAAACCCCGAGGGTCATCTAGTCCAACCCCCCGCAATGCAGGTGTCTCAACTAAAGCATCCTTAACAGATAGCCATCCAACCTCTGCTTTAAAACTTCCAAGGAAGAAGAATCCACTGTCTGTCGAAGGAGACTGTTCCACTGTCAAACAGCTCTTACTGTCATAAAGTTCTTCCAGACGCTTAGTTGGAATCTCCTTTCTTATAACATGAAGCCATTTCTTTGGGTCCTAACCTGGAGGAGGATAAAACAATCATGCTCCGTCTTCCAAGTGACAGCCCTTTAGATGTTTGAAGATGGCTATCATATCTCCTCTCACTGTCATCTTTTCAAAGCTAAGCATACCCAACTCCCTCAACTGTTCATCGTAAGGCTTGGTTTCCAGGCCCTTTTGAAAAATTCACTTTGCAGATGTTTATATTTGAGCATTCATCGTTTCATTTGCGATTTCATTTTTTCAAACTGGCTTCATCTGTAACAAAAACATGGGCCTCCACCTCCTTAGTACAGTCTGCATCCAGAATAAAAAATATCCACTATAAGATGTTAAAAAGCCAGGCTGGTTTCCACTGCAAATAAGAGTATGCAAGAGATGTCCTGGAGCTAGAAAAGAGAAAATACAAACTCAGTTCCTCTCTCATGCTTCCTGTGAGCAGATATTTGCTAGTGAAGAGATCAAAGCTCTCTTCCACGAAAATGCTGGAGCATGCATTTCCCAAGTGTTCCTGGTGCAGTAGCACCCCCTAGTGCCCTGTCGCTGAATAGACTCTCTGTGCTGTCCCAGTTTCATTACATATTTAGGAAGTTGGGTTTTTGTCTCTTTAACAGATTTCTTCAACCAAGTTTGGGACTACAACTGCCAAGTTTGGGACTACAACTCCCAGCAGCACCCAGTGGACTGTGCTATGGAGTCAGCCTCCTGACACTGGTGTCACTTCCACTTCCCAGAGTAGAGCAGCACAGTGGCAAGGTTGGGGCTGCATGATCGCACCGGTGGGAGCTCCAGAGTGGCTCTGCTGGTGTGCCAACACAGCCCTGACCTTGCCACTCATAGTATAATAGTAAATCATAGTATAATAGTAAATCATATTATACTAAGTCATAGTATAATAGTAGTGATTTCTTCTTATCAGTGTTTGGATTGTAGCTTTATTCACTGGTGGCTTTTTCCATTCTTCTCTGTGTGTGGACAAAGCCAAACATTTCATTCAGCATATTTGAAGCGACCATTGTGCATGCATTTAAATAAACACATACAAGTAAGTGGTTTCTCCCATTCCTTAACCATACAGCATTGAGCACATAGAATAGAATTCCATAAGCATAGCCTGAGACTGGTATTTCAGCTTTTGCAATTCCGTCACACATCTGTTTCCTTGTCTTGTTTTCCTGACAGCCATCCCAAATGGGTTTGAAATTGAATCGCAGCCTTCAGAAGAGCCCATTGAGGGGCAAGACCTGAGACTAAGCTGCAATGCTGACAATTACACCTATGAGAACCTGCAGTGGTACCGACTCAACCTTTCGACGCTGCATGGTGAAGAGGGCAACCCGCTGGTCTTGGACTGCAAGAATGTCCACCACTATGCGACAAAGATGCAAGGAGAGCTGCATTTCAAACCCAACTCCAATTACGCTGCTTTGACACTCACCATTCCAAGTATCTCACTAGAGGACGAAGGGGACTATGTGTGCGAAGTGCAAAACAGGGAGAACAGTGAAAAGCACTGCCACAAAAGATACATCTCTGTGCATGGTAAGGACCACTCTGAAAGTACTAGTCAGGTTAGTTGGCAGGACTTCATGATGCTGAAAGATGTACAGTGGTGCCTCGCAAGATGAAATTAATCCGTTCAGCGAGTGTCTTCGTCTAGCGGTTTTTTCGTCTTGCGAAGCAACCCTATTAGCGGATTAGCGCTATTAGCGGTTTAGCGGCTATTAAAGGCTTAGCGGCTTAGCGGCTTAGCTGCTAAAAGGCTATTAGCGGCTTAGCGGCTTAGAAAAAGGGGGGGGAAGCGAAAAAAAATCTCAAGACTCGCAAGACATTTTCGTCTTGCGAAGCAAGCCCATAGGGAAATTCGTCCTGCGAAGCAACTCAAAAACGGAAAACCCTTTCGTCTAGCGGGTTTTCCGTCTTGCGAGGCATTCGTCTTGCGGGGCACCACTGTATGGAAAAGAGAATGTGGTGGCAATGGCTATAGGGAATTGCAGCCACTAGGCTGCAGCCTAGATTGAGATATAATCTTTGGGCCACAGATTGATCCAGAAGGCACTTCTTTTTTGGATCATATATTCTTATTAGAATCCTGAGACAACATAGTTTGCAACAAAAGAAATAACAAGGGCAGGTGCTAGCCCGAATAGCTGGAGAAACATCAAGAAAAGGAGAAACTTAGACTAGGCGAAAGTAATAATTCCAATGCCAAATAAAATTATGTCCATTCATATGTCTGGTTTATTATTTCTGTATTTTTATGAGGCTGACTCATGATTTAAAATATCCAGTTTTACAATAATAGGGTTCATAGTGGTCCTGAACACTCCAGGAGTCTCATACTGGCAACAGCCGGAATCTTGTTAAACTTCTTACTAAAATTTCAAATACTTTTTCATGATTAACAAAATGTCCCCTGTCACAGCTGTAGTCCAGCTATATCAGAATGACCAAATGTTTCTCACCCCTGCTATAGAGTGTTTCTTCTTTACTGTTCTGCCAAACTGTTTTTTTGTGGTTGATCACCTTCATTTACCATAACGTCCCTCTTTTAGCTCTAGAGGTCCCCAGGTTGAAGCAGAACCTGTCAAACATCTTGGTGAATGTGAGTGATTCCATAGAGATGCGCTGTAAAGTGGATGGCACACATATTCCAAACATCAGCTGGTATAAGGATGAGAAGCTTGTAGAAGAGGTCTCAGGTATGGCTGGTTGAAGATATCTGTTGGGGAGGGAATGAGTGGCATATGAATTTTCCTGCTTCCTAGTGGAGCCTTGCAAGGCTCTGGGTTGGGATATTCAAATTAAAATTCAGGCTGGGTTGTATGCCCAGGCAACAGTGTGTTGATGCATTCAGTTCAATAACATTCCAGGTGCCATACCAACACAAGTACATTGGTGTAGCCAGTGTGATGTTGTGAACAGAGTGTTAGATTTGTACAAGGAAATCCCACCCAGCCATCAAGCTCTTTGGAAGATTTTGGATCAGTTGCTTTCTCTCAGCTTACCCTTCCTCACAGGGTTGTTTTGATGATAAAATGAGAGTGGAGAACAACTCATGTGTGCCAGCACAAGCCTACTAGAGCAAGGGTGTAATTAATTAATAAAGACTTTCCATACTTCCTGCTTTGCTTCCTCTGTGTGCATGTATCTGCAAACCTATACCAAGAGGCATTATCAGTTATAGCTGTGATTACTGCACAGGAGCAGAGCAATTATAAAAGTTTATGCTACTGTAAGATGTTTCCAAAGAACAAGTAGGCAACACAGATGTTATTCCTGCAGTTTGATTTAAGCCTCCTCTTCCCCACTAAAATAATTACTTGCATCTTCATTTTAAACTTAAATTGAATTACATTTATATGAATTACATTTATATCCTACCTTTCTTCTGTTGTGGAACCCCGGGCAGCATACATGTGGAATTATTGTGGTCACCCATCCAGGTACTGACCATACCCAGACCTGCTTAGCTTCAGCGTCATGTGGCCTCATATACCTTCAGCCCATCCCTTGGGAAATATGGGCAGCAATCCCAAGGAACTACTTGCATGCATGTAAAGGAACCACAGACAATGCTTGAGCAGTCACTTCTGTTTTTGCTACTGAAATTCTGATAACTATGGGGTAGGATAAGATTAAACAGCTTACCTCATCAGTTGTGTGCTTAAAAGCTACAGGAAAATATTTGACTACATGGGCAGTTCCCATTCACCAAAGTAAATGGTGCATTTGGATCCCAGGTTCATTCTACTAACCTGCAGTGGCAAACCGATCAATTTCAAAATCTCTCTTAGAAAAGATTTATGCCAAAAAGATCATGGAGAAAAAAATTTGTTCTATGGTTTGTTACTTTACCATTAATGTGTGTCATGTTATACTCTTTGACCACTGAAAACCTCCACAAGCTTTTTCTACCTGTATAGCCTTCAGGAGCTATCTAACTCATTATTCATAATGAGGTGGGCTAAAATAAATTCCAAAAGAAAATTGGGAATTGTAAGAGCTGCAAAAATTAAGAGTTGCAGAACTGTGAATTGTAAGCCACAACCTGGGATTTGTTTATATCTCCGTACTGGCACACTGCATTTTGTGAAAACTACGTACTGCATCTGGGGGCTACTCTTTCACAAATATTACTTCATTGCTGGGGGATGAGGCATATGAAAGTGACCAAGTGCTGATTACAACAGCATGTGGCGAGCAGTGGTGAAAAGGACTGGTCCCAGTTTGATTTCCATGCTCTAATTTTAGTCCAGGCTTCTGCTTTGAACTAGGCCAAAGGCCTGAGGATCCCAGCCCTCCCTAGACGCCACTAGTTCACACCTGAAAGCCCTTCCCCTTCTGCCTGTTTCAGGAATTGACCTGGCAGATTCCAATCAGAGGCTGAGTATCCAGAGGGTGAGAGAAGAGGATGCTGGCCTTTACCTGTGCAGTGTCTGCAATGCCAAGGGTTGTGTGAATTCCTCCGCCAGTGTCTCTGTAGAAGGTACTATTACTAACTTCAACCCCCTAAGCCTGTAGAGGGAAATGTTATTTGGAAAGAAAGCAAAAGAAAGAAAGAGGGATCCCACCAGAATAAAGACCATGCTGAGACAACAGTACAAGATTCATCTTCCTTAACCCAAACTATTAAAAAGAAATCATATTCTCCTATATTTATCCCAGCTGGAAGGAAATCTAGAATATTCTCAACAATGTTTCCTCTGCTGTCTCTTGAAAATGCCCTTGATTTTGTCATGTGCCTGCTTTAAACTTTATTCACTTGCTAATTCTTATGTGGTTCTTTCTGACCTGTAGGCTCGGATGACAGGACCAATGTGGAGATTGTGATCTTAATTGGGACAGGTGTCATTGCCATCTTCTTTTGGATTCTCTTAATCCTCATCTTCTGTAACATCAAGCGAGTAAGTCTCCTGTGATCCTTCCAACAGAGCCTGATTTGGTGAACAGCAAACAGAATCATGAACAAGAGATGATCCCATAGATCCTATAGAACCTCAGGCCTGGGGCCCAAATGTGGCCTTCAATGACTCTCTATCTTGCCCTCTCTGCAGGCCACACCTCTTCACTGGCCAGTCTTCATGCTTCAAGTGGTTTTGCTTGGCTGGAAAGTGTCCTTGAACTCTGATGGTGCCTTTTGCTAGCCTTAATGGACGAGAGAGCGAGCTGTACAAGTTTATGTAGAAATCCACCTCCACCCACTACTAGCATGTGGCCCTTGAAATGTTGCCCAGAAGGGAATGTGGCCCTCGGGATGAAAAAGGTTCCCTGTCCCTGCCATAGGATGGCTTTGTCTCCCTCCTCTACATTCCCACTGCCTTATGTTTGCAGATCGCCCCATTCACCTTAGGTAGAGAAGTATCTAGTTTTCAGCAGGATGAGAAATCACCTTGGTAACCACCGCTGAATACAGATTGCATTGCCACGGGAGGGTGACCAAGGATAAGCCGTCTTGGATGCCTTGGCAGAAAAGCGGTATATAAATGTAAAAAATAAATTAGGGCTCTCCTTTTTTAAATAACTGCAGACCCATAGAATCATAGAATTGTAGAGTTAGTTTCCTTTGTTTCAACGGTCTGGTTAGTTTAGCTGAAGGATGAACCCTTGTTGTGTACAATTTCTTGTGAAGGAAATGATTTAGAGGGAATTGGATAAAATTGCAATATATCCTGAGCTAATAGTAACAGTTTTGTTTCAAACATGGGCCCCTTTCTATTGGGATGGGGGACTGAGACATGGATGTTGAAATGTCAGACCATCTACTTCCCCCTTTTGCTTTGTCAAGCAAAGCCCAATGTATAGGTTCAAGACATGAGGAAAATTGCACAGTAATAGGGGCCCGTTGCAAAACAACAGATTTACCAGCATCTCTCCCTCCCCGCAGCCTGCTCATGCAGATATCAAGACGGGCTACCTTTCTATTATCATGGACCCAGGTGAAGTTCCCTTGGATGAGCAATGTGAATACCTGCCCTACGATTCCAGCAAATGGGAATTCCCTCGGGAGCGACTTCGACTCAGTAAGGTTCAGCATGTTGTTTGCTGCTAAGTAAAGAATATGTTTAGTTCTTTTTTTCTCTCCTTTCCAGCTTGCCATTGCAAATCCAATTGCCATTTATGAAAGTTGGTTTGCACCACAAAATAACTACAGAAGCCATTGTCTATTCAGTCTCAGAACGCAGCACTTTCTAGAACAGCCCATGCACCCAGCCTCTGTAGGGCTGCCAGAAATGCAGGCATTGATGGAACGATTATGAAGTTCTCATACCTATGCAGTATAGCCTCACCTTTCCCATGCGCTCTGGTCAACAGCAGCAAAAACGACACCTCATTTTCAGCTATCTGTTTCCTTCCTCTGCTTTGTTGACTCTGCGTCTGTCTCACTTCCTCCCCTCTCTCTAAAAATACAGCCACCTGGAGATGGTGAAAATGCCATTCTTTCCTCTTCCTTTTTTCACACCTTTTCTTCTTTTTTGTCCCAGTTTCCTGTTTTGTTTTGATCCCATTCAATGACTGTTACAGCCATTACATGAAATGAGTTCATCTAACTGCACCCTGGCCATATTTTTTTTTAAACGCTGTCTCTCTTCTCCCCCCCCCCCCAAAAAAAACTTTCTTTTTTCAGGTAAAGTCCTGGGCCATGGAGCCTTTGGGAAAGTGATGGAAGCCTCTGCATTTGGAATTAATAAGAGTAACAGCTGTGAGACAGTGGCAGTAAAAATGCTCAAAGGTAGGTGTAATAAATGACATCTAAGTATTACTTGTCTGTCTAAAAACATTCACTTGGTTAGTTTTTTCTTTCTGGAAGTCCATTTCCCTATGATTTAAGCAAATCCCTCATCATCTCCCAACCCTAACCCCCAATATGTTCTGCCAGCAGGATCCACTAAGCTGATCTTCCTCTGTAGAAGTAATTAGCTATAGCCTTTTCTGAATCTTCAGTTTCTTTGCCTTTGACTGTTTGTCAGTCAGTAACTGCTAAACAGTGTCCCATTCCTGCCAATACAGCTGGGCAGGGAGTGAGGGGAAGGTGGCCTTTAAACAGAGCTGACCTACAGAGGCTCTAAACGTCAGATCAACATCAGATCCAATAAAATGAGGGCAGAGAGGATTCTCCATAACCGGTTAATATAGATGACCCAAGTGATAACTTGGGACCCATGGAACCAGTTGGTGAGCCAGCTGTTTATATTGGTAAAAACCATTTTGTTATTGGATTATCAGATGGGTACTCAATACCATGGTAAGTTACCACTAGGCAAATTGTCATCTCTGTTCTCCCAGTGAGCCAATGAGTCTCAGAACAAAATGTTACAGTGCCCAAAGATTAATTACAGGAGAGAAAAAGATCTGCTGAGATAATGTAGATGATAACAAGGAGGAAACAGATGTAAGTGACATACTCTAATGGAACAACAGTAGAATAGTTATCTCAGTAGACAAGAATAGCGTTGCTCAGATTCTCCAGGTAGGAACCTTCATATAGCAGCTGTTCAGGGAAACCTCTGGGTATACCTTGCGCTGTTTGTCAGAATTAACCACGGTGCTGCAGTCAGGCATTAAGCTGTGGTTCCATCTGTTACAATCAGAACCAAAAAGAATCCAAGCCCCTTGAAATTAGAGCTTTCCATAAATGTTTGTAGTCATAATTTCAAATGGCCAAGAGCAATTCAGGTAGGGATTTCTGCAAAGGCCACCCAATGTTCCTGTTCCATCTCCAGGGCTTGTGGACATCCACACTTGGCTTAGGGGACATGGGGGTGGGGGTGGGAAGTCTGGCTGCATGAGTAGAACTTAGCACTGCACTGAATTCCACCCCATATTTATAATTATTTTTCTTAAGCTTTCTTAAGTTTCACTTATATAATAGCAGAGCATGACACATTTTAATGTACTGGCACTGCCGTACAGGCCCAGTGAATGTATGATGGTGGCTGCATTGTATGGCATTCTTAAAGTTCAAGCCTATGCATGTTTTCTTAGAAGCAAGTCCCATTGAGTTTAGTGTGAGTACATTTACTCCCAATGTACTGAGATGAAAGAGGCAGATGTTTGAATAACAAAGCCTTTGCTGCACTGGTGTCAACAAACAAAAAAGAATTTACTGTCAAGAGAAGTTGTCCATGCTATGTAGTTGCAAAGACTACGCTTTCCTCTCGTCTCTCTTAGAAGATGGGATGCTGAATGAAGAAATTAATATATTGCTTTGGATGAATCATATCAAGCTTTGCAATGTAAGATTTGCAAACAATTTCTTAAAGCAAGCTATATCTATCTATCTATCTATCTATCTATCTATCTCAGGAATGGTTTTGGGTGACAAACATAGATATGAGCTATCTGGATGCTAGAAGTGGCAATTAAGGGATAATTGTAACATTGTTTTCAGAGGGAGCTACTGCAAGTGAACACAAAGCGCTTATGTCAGAGCTGAAGATCCTCATCCATATTGGAAACCATCTGAATGTGGTTAACCTGCTGGGTGCCTGCACCAAACCTAACGGTAAATATTGGTAAATATTGCAGCCAAAGCCGGGGAGGAGGGGATTTACAGTGTGAATGTGGTTAGAAAGACATGACACCAGCTTGGGATAGAAATAGCCACAACTCTATTGGCACAGGCATTGGGCATGGATCCTGAATCAGCTAACCCAACTGCTGACTGATATCGCCATCAGAGTCAGACAAGGTGAAAGGATAGCCTCCACTGATGCAAATCTAACAAGGAAATCCCACCAGGATGCCATTCAGGTTTTTGGACAGAACCCTACCCCCTTTACCAGATTACCTTGAGTTTTGCCTGATATTTGGGGGCCCAAGCTTTTGTCTAAGGAGCCAACCCAAAAGTGACAATTGCTATGAGGAAGGCAAAAAACCCCAAACTAACCCGATACATCTTCAGGCAAATTCCTTCCTGCTCATGAATATGACGACTGAGAAATTCAACAGCAGGGTCCTGTACATGCGCTGCCCTTTTCCCATTGGGCAAAGCCACAAAATACAGAGAGGGTGGGTGGAATATCCGTTCCGGACTGTTCTGCTGGATAGTAAGGCAGTCGACTTTTATGCCTCGCTGACATCAGCTAGATGTGTGGGGTGATGACCTCCCACCCTTGGTCTCCCTAGTGCTGCCCCAGGCCACAACTGCTGCCACTGTCTTGATCACCTTGCATGTAAAAGAAAAAATGGTACAAGAGCCATCCCACATTGTCCCTGTACAGCAGGATAGGGAACCTCAGGCACAAGGTCAAATATGGCCCTGCAGGCCTCTCTGTCTGTCCCTTGAGACACTCCTGACGCCACATTGCCCCAGCTCTGCTTCTTCCTTGAATGCTTTTACCAGGCTATAATGTATATTTGAATTCTGATCATGCTTCTTGCTCACCCTGATGGGGCGTGTGTCAATAAATTAACATTTGTTGCTCCACCCACCACTCCCTGTGGCCTTCAGAAGCTTGTCTAGAGCGGAACGCAGCTAGAAGAATGTCTTGCACAGGGTATATACCATGTGGGTAGTATGGTGTGAAAGACAAGGCAATCCAAATTTCTTACACTTAAGCCTGCCTGAAAGAAACACACTTTCTTATTGACTTCTCTACTGCAGGTCCCCTCATGGTTATTGTTGAATTCTGTAAATATGGAAACCTCTCCAATTATCTGCGGACCAAACGGGAAGGATTCAGTCCTTATAGGGTATGTGACTGACATTATCTTGGCAATAATTCTAACTCTGTTTTCATAGGATAGTCTGAACATCATCATCATCATCACAGTATTATTGAAGAAAAATCACTTTCTTAAGCATGTTTCAGTCCCTCTGAACACTATGGCTTGGTGTGTAAATAAAAAGTGGCAGAAACAATCTAAAGTAGAGGAGGAGGAGCTGGAAAACTGCTGCTGCTTCCCCTGCCCTTGCCCACAGGTTTTGCCTCCTTTACTGTGTCCCCCAATTACTTTTTTCCTCGCTAGGCCCACATTCAGTCTAGGGGCTTGCACTGGAGAAAGGAGATGAAGGGGGTTGTGGTGTTAAGAGCAACAGGACAAACCAGGATCCAGCATCCTTCTTCACCTGCTCTGCTCTTTCTGCTTCACGCTTTCCCCTGCCAGGAGGCCCATAGGCAGCATACCTCCAAATGTCAGTTCCAGGAGAACAACAGTGGTAGAGGACTGCTGCTCACATGCCCTGTTTTTGCAGTCTTCCCAGGGGCATCTGGTAGGCTGCTGGAATAGATGGACATTTGTTCAGGGCTCTCCTGATGTTCACCATAATACTTTACAGCTCAGTAACAAATGAGCCTTCTGACAGCTGGGTCTGCTTCTCCGCTTCTAGTCAGTCGCTCAAAAGTGGAGGTTAGAGCTTCTGGGCTGCTTAACCTGAGCTGAGATTGAATCACTGCAGCATAAGCATGAAGGCTTTTCCACACTTCCACTTGTGCCATGCCTAAAAAGTATGGATTCAAGCAGTTTCCCCCGGTCCCGCTCCTTTCCAAGGGAAAACCCAGTGTTTAGCGATAGATGGGAACAAATGGCAATCTGGGGGAAACCCAAATCGCTGTTTGCTCAGATTGAGCACTGAAGAGAGGTTTTCCCTGGGGGAAAGCAGGGGGACAAGGGAAGGTGTAGATAAGCCCATAGTCTGCCTCATGGTAATCCTTGTGATGGGGTGTGCTTCCTAGGAAAAATCTCCCCGACTACGCGTCCAAGTTCGTTCTATCGTGGAAGCTGTGAGAGCAGACAGAAGGAGTCGGTCTGGTACCACTGACAGTGCAATTCTTAATAGACTTCTGATGAACAAGAGCCAGGCAGCACCGCCACCGCCACTCATACAAGAAGGTAAAGAACTCATTGAATCTTCATGGGCGGAGGGGAGCAAGGAATTTAGGGAACTTGAAAGAAAGTGTGCAGGATTTCTTTAAGCACACACGAAGGTTGGGCCAGTGGCAGAGTGGATAATGTTCCCTTTTAGAGACCTGGAAGCAGATGGAAAGGGAGGGAGCCAGACTTTATGGGTATTCATCACAGTTCACATGCAAGGTGGGAAGAACTCAAGGAACCAAAAAGAATGCACTGAAGAGGAAGCTGGGGGCATTGGTCCTTAGTGACCCTAGTCTGTGTAACAAGTGCAGAGGAGTACAGCCTGCACAAAAGCCTACACTGAGTTTATTGAAAGGTACAAAGGGTAAGATTCCACTCTGTTCCTTGACCATAAAAATGTAGGTTAGAGAATATGGAACAAAGTCATGGAGGGCCCTGGACCTTCCCTTGGAGGCCTGATGCTCCCTTCAGCCGGCAGTCAGATGACCATATATCATGTGCAACTTAAATGTGTGCCCTGTATAGAAATTTTGAGGGCATTAAAAAACATTGAATACTAACAATATTTGTAAAAATTAAAGAGCTTTATACAGCTTTACAACTGCACAAACATAAATAGTAATTGTTCTAAGCACTGCATGAGGACAGTAACAAATTCAATCACAGTCATACAAAATACATGTGCTTAATGTTGATTAGTAAATATAGATCCAATTCTCAGACCTTTCCTGTTTCTCTGTTAATCTCCCAAAGCTTTTGTAGGAGCAAAGGAATCCCTTCTAAAGAGAATGATTCCTAGGCTTTCCTAGTACAGTAAACCACTGTTCTTACCCCATGAATATATATAACTTTCCGCAATAAGCCACAGGACTATCTAAAGATGATTAGCCCCTGGTCAAATGGCAAGTTTATAAATCTACAAAGGCCAGCAATCTGCAATGTCTTAATCAGGCAATACCTCAGCCAAGTAAAATGATTTTCCTGGAGGCAGGCAGTTTTCCTATCTGTCTGGCACTGAAATACAGTTTTCTTCATCGGGAAAATACTAAGCCCTGTCTTTATTCTCAGCTATAGGCCTCACATCTGCTTGAAGTGTCTCTCATAATTAAATTAATATATCTGTAGGTGTCAGTACCACCTTTCCATTGCAGAAACAATGTCCCTAGTGCAGAGTCCTCATCAATTGTATAAAGTCAGGCTGTGCTTTCAGCAACACAAATGGTTAATGATAATTATTTTTAATATCAGGCATACAGCTACACAGGCTTAAGTTCTGTTAAGCCTTGTACTTAACCATGCATAGCTTTGTCTTTGATTGCCATCACTGATCCCAGTTGTCTGGATTAGACTAGCAAGCAAGTCTAAGATTTCTCTAGGACACTCTGAAGAAAATCACTATAGTCTAGGCAAAAGCTGGTTGACCTGGAGATTTTTCACTGCCACAAACCTTCAGAATGTAACTTCCTTTCTTGCACATTTGTACAGTGGATGATTTGTGGCAGAGCCCTCTGACAATGGAAGATCTGATCTGCTACAGTTTCCAGGTGGCACGTGGTATGGAGTTTTTAGCTTCCAGAAAGGTAAGCACTCCACATACTTACTCTGACTCACCCACCCCCCCGTTGGTTGGTTGGTTGGTTGGTTGGTTGGTTTTGTTGTTTTTTGTTTTGTTTTTTTTGTCTACAATCTTAACAGAGGGGATATAATAAGAGATTTATAAAACAATGTGTGGTGTGAAGAAAATGGGCAGAGAGAAGCCTTTCTCCTTCTCTTGTACTAGAACTTTGAGTCATCCAGTGAAGTGGACTGACAGTAGATTCAGGACAAGTAAAAGACGGTACCACTTCACAAACTGCATAATTTGTGCTGCCACAAGGTGTGCTGATGGCCATGTACACACTTTATACACATTCAAGAAGGAGCAGTCTAACCATGTTTTTAAAGCCATGGTGGATGATATTAAGTACATCCAATTTGAGAGACAGTACCCTGTATGCTAATTGTGATCTTGTTCTCCGAGTGTGTAGTAAAAAAATGCACCATCCACAAACAAGGGGAAGGTAGTGGCATGCTTGGACAGTCACAAGGCATGCAGAAGTACAAAAAAATAATTTGAAAAAAATCCATAAAGGGAGGGGGTGGATCCCAAAACAGTCCAATGAAGGCTGAGTATGGTCAGTGGAGACAACAGGATGCAGACAGATTTTTGGGGAAGAGGAACAGAAAATGAAGGAGGGGGTGGAATGGAGTATCCTGGATAAGGGCATGGCTGACTGGAAAATTGATCCACACTGCCATTGTGTGATTGTATAGAGGGCTGTTGCTTTCAAGCCCGGCCTGATCACATTGGGTGACTTGTGAGCACTCCCCAAAGGAGCTATTACTTGTCCTGAACACAGGGATTACTAGAATATCTTCATAGGATCAATGATCTGCTTTTGACTTACTTTGAGAGAAAAGCCCTGAGACTTCTGTGCTTGTTCATAGTTTCTGATATCCCATCAGTCATTTCCACACTAGAATCTATATTCCTGATGCCGTCTCCCCTTTTTTTCTTTTCCTTTAGTGCATCCATAGAGACTTGGCAGCACGCAACATCTTGCTATCAGAAAACAATGTGGTGAAGATCTGTGACTTTGGTCTGGCTCGGGACATCTATAAGGATCCTGACTATGTCAGGAAGGGCAGCGTGAGTTGTGGGTCATGGATATGGGGAACTGGAATCGGCTTTAAAAGTTTATAGTCAGTGCCTTCAGTATATGTTTGCTTATGACCAGTTCTTACTGAAATACAGAGAGGATGTTTATTGTCTGTTCTTATAGTTGATACGAAGAGGAATGGAGTAGAGAAATAAAATGGTTAAGAGGCTTTGTCTAATGCACTTCCTTGGCACAAAATATGCATTTTGTTCCGTGTAAGAGAAAGACAGTATAGAGGGTAGCACTTAGCCTTGCCATCTGTAGTGTAGGGCTACTTGATTTCACCTGTCATCTGCAATAAACATCATGCTTCCCTCACCTGAAAGATGTTCATATGTTTTCTGCTTAGCTGTGCATCCCCAACTGAATTAAAGCCTAGGTCCCTATAACTGCTTTTGCTCACAATTCTTTATTGCTACACTTTGTATACAGTATTTTGAAACGTGTGTGCAAAACATCAGCTTTCTATCTGTTGTGGAAGTATTCATAACCTCATTGAGTTAGTGAATGAAGCCCAAGCATCTAAGGATTGCAGCTCCCATGATTCCTGACTATTGGCCTGGGGTTGATGGCCAGCAACATCTGGATGGCCACAGATTAATCACCTCTGATCTAGGTAGATAATATCAGGCTACAGCTTCCTAATCTGCACCTAAATAGATATTCACTTGATTTGGTGCCTGTCTGCATGAGCCACTATAGGATGTTCAGAGATTTTTCTGTGGGTTTTCTTATTTAGTTGCTATTAACCTTTTTCTGAGCTGTAATAGCCATTCACATTTATTTCTCTTCCATAGGCTCGTCTCCCACTAAAGTGGATGGCTCCAGAAAGCATCTTTGACAAAGTCTACACCACCCAGAGTGATGTCTGGTCATTTGGAGTCCTCCTATGGGAGATCTTCTCACTAGGTGAGCACTGATGAATAGTTGAACTCTCCCCTGAGCCACCCATACTCTTAGATGCATGTGACTTTGAAGGTAGGTTGCTGGAAGGGCCCCCTAAATCTCCTTATTTTACCTACCTTCCCACTCCAGTTGCATCTATTCTGCTAATTACTTTGGGTTGTCATTCTTGTGCAAGGATTTCCACCTAAGGAATAGGACTCTTTCTCTCCGCATGAACCCCAACCTCCCCAGATCTGTTCTGCGGGGGGTCCTCTAACCATCCAGAGTAAATTGGGAGGGAGCTTGGGGGGAGGTAGAGACAGGAAAAAGAGAGGAAGTCCCGTTGATCAGGTAGATGCAACACGTTGCTACATGTGACCTGCAGCACACCTTCTTTGGGCATTACAAAGCCTACTTTTGGATCTTAACACCCCTGAATGCATATCCCAGAAACCTCCTGTCTCAAATTTATCAACTAGGTTTCAATTCTGTAGAATTTCTTTACAGAAAGTTAGCCTTTCCTTTTTCTGCATAATTTCCAGTTTTATAAAGGCCTGAACCAATATTGACTAGTTCTTGAGCAACATTTTGATTCCAGTACTTGTAGCTTTGGCCCTGTCTAAGTAGGCTACTTCAGATTCCTAAAGTGAGTGTAAAATAACAGGTGAGACAGAGGAGCACTCACACAATATAAGAAAAACAGGGATATCTCTGTGAGTTCTCTCACAGTGTAAAAGAACAGATGGGGCATTTTTGCAGATGCAATTGTGCCTTCTTCTCTTTCATCTTTCCTTCATGCCCCTGCCTGACAATCTGTGGATTATCTTCTTCAGGTGCCTCCCCATACCCTGGAGTCCAGATCAATGAAGAATTTTGCCAGAGACTGAAAGATGGCACCAGGATGAGAGCTCCAGAATATGCCACTGCAGAAATGTGAGTCAGAGCACTTGAAAACATGGCCAGCAGCAAAAAAAAATAAAATACTGTAGTCCACAGAATATAGATCCATAGAGGTTCCCAAGATCTGAAGCATATTTTCTTCCTCTGCTTTGGCTAGTGTGCTAAAGGCTCAACATGATATAGCCATTTAAACTCTTCCATTTGCTTCTGTAGTAACACTGCTGGTGCTCAACTCCAGCATTTACCTTAAGGAGAGGCTTTCCCTTTGCAGCAGTTTCCAAATTCTAGCTTTGTATTTGATTGACAGTTATAGGATGAAGAGATTGATCAGCTTCATGCAAAGGCTTGTTCTGTTTTTCTCTGCAGTTACCGTATAATGCTAAGCTGTTGGTATGGTGATCCCAAGGAAAGACCAACATTCTCGGACTTGGTGGAGATCCTGGGGAACCTTCTTCAGGAGAATGTCCAGCATGTAAGTTCTCATTTGTAATCATAGCTCAGAAACCAGCTGCAAAAGCCAGCTAGGTGCAAGGAGTTATTTCTTTGGTGAGCTGCTGAGTAAACATTTAGATACAGTGGAGATGGGGAGCCTCTTTGTCTGGCAGCCCAACTTTGACAGCTGAATGTGATTAAGATTAGAAGACTAGCGTCAAATCTCTTTCCTTCTCTTTCTCTCTCTTCAGAGAGGTTTTTCAACACACGTGCTGCCCTCTTTTACCTTAGTGTCTTTCTAATAGTGCTTGGGGGAAAGCTTAAAACCAGAAATTGTTTCAGAAATATACATCCTTACTTATCTTGTAACCCTTGCCTGTCTTGTATCCCAGGACATTTGGTACAATCGGACTGTGGAGTTGATGCCACCAGCAAATTGTTAAACGGGTTGGATGACAGAAGTGGGTGTCCTTACCTTTTATTTGCAAGTCAGGAGATGGGGAGATGAAAGCATTGTTTCACTTTCCGATATAAAACAGTTTGATCTATTTGCTTTTCTTATGAAATTCATCTACCCATTATTCCTCAGAAGTATGTGTCTGCACAGGCGTTAACGGCTATCCTCTTTTTTCCTGGAGGAGAAAATGGGAGCAGGGGGAGAACTACCGTTTCTTCACTCTCATTGTTGCTGCTTCTGGCAAATTCTTCAATTTTCCTGGCACATAACTACTTATTTAAATTCCCATTAGGAAGGGAAGGATTATATCCCACTTAATGACTCTCAGAGTTCTGAAGATGATGGCTTCTCCCAGGTAGCTTCCTCCATCCAGCAGAATTCTGATGAAGAGGAATTTGACTTGAGGATGCACTGTCACAATATAGCAGCAAGGTAAGTCCCTGCTGAATCCTGGAAGAGTCAAGCTGAGAGCTGGCCAAACTAAGAACAAAGCCTTTTAGAAAGGCAGTATTATCTCCCATCAAACATTTTTATATCATTAGGCTACGAACAATATTTTCAGCCATAACTACTTCTCATGGATGTTACGCATTTGACCTGGACCCCTGCCCTCCCCAAAATACAGTTTATCTGTTGCTTGCTAATAAAACAGCTAGATTTGCTCTATACATGTCCAGATAATATACATGTGGGACAATAAATACTTTTTGCTAGACTGGAAAAGGTGGGTACCCCAAGCACTAAAAAATGGAAGGCCATTGATGCACAATATTTGTCTTCATCTTGGAGATGCAAAGTGACAGTAGCTATGGGGGTGGCATAGGAAGAGAGACATGTCATTTCCACCCAAAGCATCAACATCCCCAGTGACAGCTGGTGAATCCTGCTTCATGTTGCTACATTTAAATCACTGCTGTACTTACCAAGGTTATTCTAAGGGCTAAACCAGGCACTCTATGCAATATATGTGTAGCAGTGGAAGAATGGCAGGGGGAGGGGGATTCTTAAAATTTCCCTGCCATCCATATTCCTGTTCAAAACCAGTCCTCAACCTGCTTTTCATCCTTGAGGACTGGGAAAAGTGGCTTCTCCCAGGCTACTTTTCCTTTCCTGAAGCTACAGAAATATGTGTGCAATGTCTACTTAGGCCTTAAACATACTTTCTGAGGAGCAAGGGGAAAGGGTAATAACACATTCAGACTGTGCTACTTTTTTTCTGCAGAATTTTATGTCTTAACTGACCCAGTATTGCTGACCAGAAGAGCACAAAGTGAAGATTTCCTTATTTAATGTGCATGTTCCACCAGTATCTTTTCTGATTCACCCTTTACTTTATGTCCTTTCCCAGATATTATAACTGTGTGTCTTTCCCTGGCTGTTTAACTGGTGGGAATCAGATAAGGTGTCCATCCAGAATAAAGACTTTTGAAGAATTTCCTATGACACAAACCATGTATAAAGCACATCCGGTGAGTGGAGCAAAGTGGTAGAGACAGAAGGAAAAATTGAAAAATAAACAGTTCAATGTATATTTGTCCATTACTGCGGTCTAAAGACCAGTTAAACAGTGTTTTCTGCCACACTTCAATATTCACACAAATTGCTAACACCATGATTTACAGTTGGCATGAAAGCTAGATGTGTATTGAGGAAACTCTTCTAAAAATAGAATATAGGGACTACCCATCCTCATTATATTTAGGCAACTACATCCCAGATAAAGGTATTTACTGTATTAATGGTGGTGGGGTGTGTTAATTCAAATCTGCTATTATTTTTGTGATTGGACAACATTTGGGTTGGTAAGTCTACTTCTGATGAAGAAGCACATACACTGCTTTCAGATAACCAAAGAATTTAAATTTTACCTTCTGAAAATCTCAGGTAATGCAACATAACAAGAACAAAACAACAACAACTAATACAGTGGTACCTCGGGTTAAGTACTTAATTCGTTCTGGAGGTCCGTACTTAACCTGAAACTGTTCTTAACCTGAAGCACCACTTTAGTTAATGGGGCCTCCTGCTGCCACCGCGCCACCAGAGCACGATTTCTGTTCTCATCCTGAAGCAAAGTTCTTAACCTGAAGCACTATTTCTGGGTTAGTGGAGTCTGTAACCTGAAGCATATGTAACCCAAGGTACCACTGTAATAACTAATAATAATAAATACTAATATATAATATAACTACAAGTACTTGGCAATCATTTTTAATGATTTCTATGCAATTTTACTTATGAAGCAAAACTTAATTATATTAATTTAACCAAAAGATCTTTTGAATTCCGAAGTTGTGTTACAATTTTTTAGCACCCTTCATTTTTGAAAGTTGAAAAATTCAACATGCTCTATAACATGCTTATAAAAATTGGTACAGGCTTCTAAGTTTTACAGGCATATTTACAAGGCTGAGTTAAGCTCCACTCTTCTTGCTCATCATCTGCAGCTGTTCCCTGCCCTACATTTGCTTTTCAGTCTCCATCCAGCAGAGGAAAGGTTCCTGGTGAAAAAAATTCAGAATGCTTGCTCAACAAGGCTGGCACTTCTAACACTTTTTATTTTTTTCTGCTCCGTTGCAGGACAATCAGACAGACAGTGGGATGGTTTTGGCATCTGAGGAGTTTGAGAGGATAGAAAATAGACACAGAAAAGAAAGTGCATTCAGGTACTTGGTTATTTAGTTCTCCTCGCTATATCTCACAGCCCTCACTAACATACAATACCCAGCGGTGTCCTCTGCAGCAAACCTCACTGCAGCCTCCTGTAAATGTGCTGGGAGCACAGAAATGCAAGCGCATCCATTCTCCTGTAACCTGCTGCTGGCGGCAGCATTCCTGATGGCATTTGTAACAAAAAGGGTTGATTGAGCTTAATGGCTTTTGAGTGGAGTCAGTTGACTCTGTGCAAGGAAATAAAGAGAGGAAGCATATTACACGGGCATGAAATACAGCAAGAAATCAAGGAGCTTTCCAGACAATCAAGCAGCAAAGGTACAGTTCTTTCAAGGAAACACTTTTCTTGTGGAAATGTCACATATTCCCAATGCTCAAACTGCAATATAATGCCATTGGGAAAATGTGATTCTTTCCCCAGCTAGTGTGAAATGTTTCTGTAGTTGTTATGCATTTGACAGTGGATATGACATCAAATGGCAACTCAAACCATCAAGGAACTATTTTAAGGCTACTTTTAGAACATATAGAACAAAACTAGGCTAGGTTCCATTGATTTCAGGGAGAGAATTAATCTGTTTCTCCCATTGAAATAATTGAGACTTAGGCTGCTGCCAGATGGGGAGCTCCTAAGCTACAAGGGGAAGTCCAATTGACTTGCCATACTATCAGGAGTATTGCACTTGTTCTGTGTATACATCCTGTTATGTTTCATTAACCATAAAATTGACTGAAATAAACAAAAAATAGGGACAAACATGATATTCACTGTAATAATTATAATGAATATGTGCTGAGTTGCAATAGGTTCACTTTTCTGATATGTCACTGCCCATGTCAATACTCTACCCTTTTTAAAAAGATGTAAGAGCAGCACTAAAGGCATCTGTACCTGTGGAAATAGAACCACTACTGAGAAAAGTCAGACTTTCTGAAGTCTGACAAAGGAGGGAAGAATCACAGGGAAAATACAAGATTTATTAAAGCTCAAAGCGTAACTCAGCTGATATTCAAAACCATTGGTGATACTTAACTGGCCTATATGGTTCCTGGCTTTGTTCAAATCCTCCCATAGAAATGGTGGATAAGAACAATGAAATCCTTGGTGGTGAGCATGAGGTACATCGCTGGTAGGTCTAAAAGCAATAAGAAAATCAGTATACATAGATACATATTTTTTGGGGATTTTTAAAGGAAACTCCCTGCTTTGAAGAAGTGATATTACAGTGCAATCCTATAAACTCTATGGGGCTTACTCTCTAGTAAATCTGTTTAGGGATAATCTGCCAGTAGCTGAATCCAGTTTTCCTATATGAAATCAAGTTCCTGACAGCAATAAGGTTTACAAAAAAACTACATTCTTGCATCTCATTTCTGGTGCACCACCTTCACTTTCTCATTAGAAAGATGCTCTCTGCATTTATTTATTTATTTATTTATTTATTTATTTATTTATTTATTTATTCAGTCAGTCATACATACATACTGCCCTATACCCGGAGGTCTGAGGGCAGTTCACAGAAGTCCTCTGTCATGTAACTTCATACATCTTGTAGAATTACCAACCTGCTAAATGGCTAGCTGTGCTTGCCCTGAGCTTTCTGATGCTAAGAAGCTTTTTTTCCCCCTGGACAGTCAATTAGAATACTATCTCTTACTCAGAAGAACTGACTTCCTGTCTCTTGCTCTTTCTTTCTTCCCCCACCCCCAACAGCAGTAAAGGATCCAGTCGAAATGCAGAATCAATAGTGGATCAATCAGACCTGAGGGGTAGGTGTCGGCCATCGTACCAGTCCCAGCTCAGAGGCCAGACTTTTTACAACAGTGAATATGGGGAACTGTCAGAACAGTCGGAGGAAGGCAGCTGCACTCCACCCACTGAGGGAGCCAGTCCCTCCCTCCTCCATGCTTCATTCTTTTCAGACCAATACTGAAGGGAAGAACAGATTGTGGAGACACTCTGCTGAGAGACTACACTTCGCCCCTTATGCAGCACTACATTTGTTCAGTGGAGCCCACTTTCCCTTCATCCTTGAGGAATCCACAGTAGGGAACCCCTGTGGAACAGATGGCGAACTCCTTGGATGTGAAGATAGATGCCAAGCATTTTGATGCGGGATATAGTCCTTGCATTTGGCACTAGCACACTTCCTTGATCTGATTCTGTATTTGCCCCCCACCGCCCTGCCACCCTCAATTAGATATTGGATGCAGTTCCCTGGGTGAAACAGGACTGTTCTGCCACCAGATGGATGTGTGTAGAGAGCTGCAGCCTCTGCTCAGTATTCAGCCTCCATTCAAATACTTTGCCGTAATAAGCTTCATTTCAGGTCAGATAAAAATAGATGTGTCTTAGCTGAGTTTCTTCCTGATATGCAGCCTTGTTTGTTTCTGCTCTTGTTTCAACTCAGCTATCATGGGAGGGGGAAGAAGCAAATGAATGAATTTGGGCATTGGAGGAGTAGCAGTATTTCCAGACTTGGAGAGTCCTGCTTCGCTAGATATAGACATTCCCTATAGACACATCAGTACAGAACTATATATTACATACTTAATTCTTGTATGGTGTTACATATTTCATTTATGTTAGACACTAAACCTATTATAGATTCTATTCCATCACCATTCCCATGTCTGTGGTGGCATTATTGGCTGCTCCAGTACAAGCGGACCACTATATCTCTGCACAGTGGGGGATTTGGTGTTAACTAGTTCAAGGTGGAAATTAATTTCCTTCACTCTCTACTGACATATACAGACTTGGAACCCATTTATGTGTCCAGTCATCTCCTACCCCACCCCTGAATCCACGGCCAACTATAAAATGTTCTTTATTGGCAGCCATCATTTTCAAAAATTTAGTGTCCCTTATGATCCCACGGCAAAGTATAGAACTTTGTCTTTGTGGAACTGAATGCAACCTTATAATAATAGAGAATCTAATGAAATCCTTAACTGGTATTTTTAGCTCTGTCCCTCTACTTATTCTCCTCTAGCTCCCAATTCCTACATCCTTACTTCCCAAGATATCATATGTTAGAATAAATAGTACAAAGTAAATTTCTGCAAATGTATCTAATTTGCATTATTTATAATGGGAGGAATACAATGCAGGTCATTTTGTTAGTGCAAGCTGTTCTGCTTGCCTAATTAAACAATCTACCCTATCCTCTTGCTGTCCACGGTTCCAGGGGTTCTCCTGACACCTCATCCCTGAGCCAGTGGGGGAGGATATGGGGCACTGAAGGGAAGAAAGCCCCATTGCGCTAGCAGAAGTCCTTGTGTGGGCTTCCACTGGTGGAACTGGTTAGCTGAGCCCAGCCCTGAGTCTGGAATTTGAGGATAATTATTAAAACATATACACACATTTGCATTCTTCCCTGACACAGTCCTTAGCATAGTTTTCCATCTTCTAATTGTAAACCATTGCATCAATGAGGTTTTGTTTTTTACATAAATGAGGAATAAGTATAGAGTCAATCTGAACTTGTTTGTGTAGTTGTTCCCTTGCATAGCCTACGAGCCTTTCCCTCCCAGCTCTAATTCTGAAGGACGCTGCCATAGGAAAATGTCTGTGAAAGCCTTATGAAATGGCTTTTGACCAGCTTGTGAATTTCACTTTGTAATTCTGTACAGTGTCAGAGGCTCTCACTCTCAATTGTGTCTCCATGTGAAAGAATTTCTGCTTGCAGGCCAGGCTTCTGTTTATAGAACTGATAGTTTTGGTTTAGCTTATTTTATTTTTTTCATATTGGGCATATGTTTCCCCCCCCCTCCAGATTATATATATTCCTCCATAAGAGGGCTTTATGCATTTACACATTTGTAATTATCATTGTTCATGCCTTTTCTACATTCATTTGTATCTTTATGAATGCACTCAAAGTCTTGTCCCTTTTTTATTACATTTCCTATCTACATAAGTATACAGTTGTGGTTTAGTTATTATCAGGTGTGGAAGGGATGAAAGTTCTCTTGCCTCTGTGTGTGTATTACATATTCTGTAGAAAGGGGGAGGGGGACTCAAAGAGGTATATAAATGGTGTACAAATAGAAAACACAATTCTACACGGAAGATTTCCTTCCTTCTTTCTGTTAGCAGAATCCCATTGACCTGAACAGCTGAGAACTTCACAAACTGGACCCATTTCAGATGTACTTTTCGTGCACTGAATCACTACCCAGATGCAGATGAAGTCCCCCTGCCCTGAGCAACGTAGATACACACACAAAGCTGTAAATCTAATCTAATCAAGTGTTCCAGATTACAGGAAAGTTGAAAGATCATGTTGCAGCTGGCTTAGGACCAAAGAACCTGTTCATTGAGCATTCATTCTCATTTCTTTGCAGGAAGGTTAGATGACCTTGCATCAAAGCAAGTGTTATCCCACACTTCCTGGCACTTCCCTTACTGCAAAAAAGATGTGGGGGTGGGGTGGGAGAGCAGGTTGTTGCACAATACTTCAAAATCAGCTGTAATTCTGCAACCTGAATTTTCCAGTATGTGATTTAATTCTACTCAAAAACAGTGAGAGTCTGGAAGTGCCCTTAGTCTTAATACCTAGTTAAAAAAAGATAAGGGACAGTGTGGAACCATAACAAGTTTAGTGTTCTATGAGCATCAATATGTGACTTGCTCATCCTGTAGTATTGTTATAGGCATTGGTTGATCTTTAATGAGGGATAAACTCTCGATTAAGTCATTTTGGGGTGCAGCTACACAGCATCCAGGAATTGGAGCGTTTTGAAATGTGACATTGTTCCTGCAGTGTTTACATAAGAAAAACGCTGCTGGGTGATGCCAAAGGCCCATCTAGTCCAGCATCCTCCTCTCACAGTGGCCAATCATAGAGTGTATCTGGAGGGGTGTGTGCATCCACCTCTCACAGGATTAAAATGTCACAAGGAAAGCAGCCCTCGGTGTAAATGTGTGAAGAAGCCACATTCTAGATTCCACTTCCAGTTTTATTCTCTTGCAATACTAAACTAGCAGTAGTACTTCCGTTTCATTAAAATAACTTATTTTAAAAACTATCATCTTTTTTCTCTTTTCTATTTGGTCATATTCCTGTTTGCCCAGAGGTGTAATTAGGGGTTTGCGAAATCAGGGGCCCAGGTCAGGGGCAGGGGCCAAAAACCAGCTACCAAGCTATGGAGTGTATGACGTATATATATATATGGCAACACGAAACTGCTATTGCGGCAAGCTCAAATGCAGGAGAAGCTTCCTGTTTTTCTCACACCGCAACAGAAAGGCATGCATTTTTTTCACCCTTCTGCTTCACCTCACTCTCACTCCAGATGCTTTGGGTACTTGGTTGTGTAAAATGTAGGAATTTCTAATATGGTATTGTGGTAAAGTGATGGGGGGGGGTACCAATACAGCTTCCTTGCCAAGGGTTCAAGGGACCCTTGATACGCCTCTGTGTTTATCTGCTGAATTTTACATGGCTTCAATTGCTTAAATAAAGCATTTAAAGAAATGTTTACCAATATAGTAGCAAACTCTGTAAAGCGTTAAGCAAACTGCAATGGTAGAAGGCCATATCAATTCTACAGATGAAGGTATTATCCCATTAATGCACCAATAATTGTAAACTGGGGGGTTTTTTAATAGAAAAAAATGAAAACCAATTATAGATATCTCAGTGAGTATGGAGGGGCAATTTGCTCATGCTAGGTCAAATAATTAAGCGCCTCAGGACATGGTCAGTTCTTCCCTGTTATGAGATAGCAGTTTCTTTACGATTTCTTCAAGCTCACTGTAAAGAGTAGGCCATATAAACAGATTATCCCCAGAGAGGAATTCCCAAATAATTACACAATTTTGGGGAAGCAACTATTTGGAGCTCCTTGCTATCCTTGTTATTTTATCTTGTTCTGAGTACTTTCGCTACTACTTGCCTATTACTTTTAATATGTTACTTCTCCTGATGTTATTTGATGGGTAAAGTGATTAATGCACCCCAATTCACCATGGCCTTTTAATGGTACTGTTGTCTTCCTAAATTTGTAATTCAAAACATCCACACAGTGTGCAGATTTTATATCTCCAAAGAAAAAACTCTTGTTTCTCAGTTTCTCTGTTCAGGGCACCAGCTGCATAAGCACAATTACTGCAAAACTGGAAATATAAATGGATAACAGAAAGAATGGTGGTGGGGCAGTATTATAGGACATAAAAGCAAATACAGACTTGCAAAATAAAGCATTCAACTTTTCTTTGTCCACTATTCTGTTGTTTCAAAGAGCATTTTAAAGCATATGCTATCTTCCGGATGCAAGGGTTAGTCTCACTTCCCCATTCTCTGATCAAAATGGCTGTGAAAGTCTGATTCTGACTGAGTCATTCTTTAAAAGAACATATCTGTTGGAAAGATCTGGCACAGGACAACACTTCTACTCCTGAATGAAACTCCCAACACTCTGATTGGATCAGGGACCATACTTGTCTGTAAGGCAGATTATACAAGCTGCTTGCATGCTGGATATGTCTTGTTTATTTGAAGCTGCAGCCTCAAGTTTCTTCTGCAACAAGGGTGAGGGACTTGTGCACCTCCAGATATAGCTGGACTGCAACTCCCATCATCCCAAATCACTGACCATGCTGACTGGAATTGATGGGAGTTGGACTCCAACAGCATCTGGAGGACCACAGCTTCCTTACCACTACTGCATTCTACAATATATCTCTTTCTAGTTTTCACTAAGTGGAAGCATTAAAAGTCTGGGTAGTATTCATCTGATTCCCATTTCCCTTGAATAGATGTGCAGTGTTTTGAGAAACTCTGAGAAAGAATCAGTTTGCCCTTGGTATGGGCAAGTGTAAAATTTTAATGGAGACTCTAGATCTTAAATAGCATGAATATATAGAAAGGCACTTCAAAATTACAGGACTATCGCAGGACAAAACCGCAGAAAAGTAACCTCTTTTCTGTTGGATCTTCTGCCACTGCTGTAACCTCTTAAAGGCACTGTAGAAATGCATCTGTTGTCTGTATGGAGTAATATACATTTTTAATCAATTAAGATGTATGAAAAGTCCCCTGTGTGGAAAATTAATGGAGTTAATTGAAATTGGCTGGTAAGAATCAAGAATTGTTTCTTAGGCTCCAAATTCACATTTGAGAGGGAGAAGGATGAGCTATTTATAGAGTGGTTATCTATAACTTGCAAGATCTTTGTTGGGCCTCTTTGGTGTCAAAGATACCCTGTGTGATTTGGGATTCTTCTCCAGTCTCATTTTCCAGTCTGTAAAATGGACAGGATGCACTTCCCCATATCATACATAATGTAACCAGATGTATGTGAATTTAAAGAAAATCCATATTTCCATAGCACTTAATGGAATTCCAAGCACAGTTCCAGAATGTACTTTGTTTTACTGCTGCTGTGTTAATTTTGATACAGCAATTCTACACTTTTATAAACAGGAACTATTGCAGTAAGAGGAAGCCTTATGACAGTCATGGGTTTGTGGGCAAAAGTTGCCAAGCATTCTCCAGAATGTTGTTGGGTCCTCTACCACTTGCATTCCTTGGCAAATCCTTTATTGCCTTCTGAAGTGCACGTTCAGCTAAAACTAGGCTAAGGAAGCAGGACAGGTTTTGCTGAGGATCCCCTCATAATGCCACACCTTTAATACGAATTTAGTAACTATATATATTCACAAGGTTTTTAAGAATGTTTTCATACTTAGTGGGGGGGAAAGCTTCTCATTAAATTGGACCTGAATTAGAAAGATGAAATGAGATTTCTTTTCCATTGTCTGAATGTAGAGATAAATTAGTCATACACTCACCAGGATGATCTCAAAACGGCTTAAAAATAAGCCAGAAAGTCCTTTCTCCATCTTCATATTGAAGCTATTTTGATCTTCCCTGGTGAGTATATGACTTTAATTTTCTCTAGAACACTAACTCTGGCTTCACTAATTGTCTACAAACACTGAAAGGTGGGAGAAGGCTCATTTCTCACAGTGGAATTGATTAGAACAGTGTCTACAGGATTTGCTTCATAACACTCCTTAAAAGGGCTGGAGGCTTATTTTAAAACAAATCATGACAGCTAGGAGTCTCGGCCCCGTGTCTCATCAGTTCGCTGATGACAGTCAGCTTTACTTCTCTGTAATCAGGAGTGGCTGTGCAAGCCCTGGCCCACTGTGGATGTATTAGTGGGCTGATGGGGGCTAATAAACTGAGTCTGAATCATGGCAAGATGGAGGCTCTGTGTGTGAATGACTTCTGGATCCAGGAGGTCAGTCAATTGCCTGCCCTAGATGGGATTATACCATGAAGGAGCAGGTACATTGGATGTGCTCCTGAATCTTGCTTTGTCACTGGAAGGTCAGGTGGCCTGTGTGGCTAAGAGTGCCTTCAACCAGCTGTGGTTGGTGTCACAACTGCAACTGTTTCTAGACCACAGCAGCCCAGGCATTAGTAATAACAAGATGGAATTACTGCAATGCACTCTGGGTAGGTCTCCCCTTGTGATCTGGAGGTTGCAGCTAGTGTAGAATGTAAATGTTGGACTGCTTATGAATTCTAAACACTGATTACCTGCAATGGGCTAAAACTAACCAACCAAACATATTAACATTAATTAATATGTATGATTTACTGTTAGCACACTTAAAGCTGGTGAAAGAGTAGTATTTATTACCATTCTTTGAGTGGTTTGATTAGGGCTATAAAACCCTGGTTATTGTACTCCCAATCAGATCTGTTAAACAGTATGGATGCCTTCTATTCTCTCAAAGCATATTGTTGATAATCCATTTGTAGTGTAATCCTGCATGTGTCTATTGAGAACTGTCATCTCAGAAGCTGTAATGAATTCAGTGGGGCTTACCTCCAGATACATGGGGTTAGTATTATAGTCATACCTTGTTTCTCGAACGGAATCCATTCCAGAAGTCCGTTCAACTTCTGAAAATGTTCGGAAACCAAGGCACAGCTTCCGATTGGCTGCAGGAGCTTCCTGCACTCAATCAGAAGCTATGGAAGCCGTGCTGGACATTTGGGTTCCAAAGAATGTTCGCAAACTGGAACACTCACTTCTGGGTTTGCGGTGTCCAGGAGCCAAAATGTTTGAGTTGAAAGGTGTTCGCAAACCAAGGTACGACTGTACGTCCTTCATAGCTTTAAACATAATGGGCAGTGCTTATTCCAAATTAATTTATGAAGAGTATTGTGTGTGACAGACACAAGATGGCTTTAGTGACTGATCAGTATTACAATCAGCAAATCACTCTGAAACTTGCAAATCAGTTGTTGTTTTTACTAGACACACATCTGGACCAGTAACTGTCCCACACTAAACTTTAATGACTTAACTCATGTAGTTACCAGCTTAAACAAATCAGCCATAAAATATACCCCAGAATATGGCTGTTCTAAGCGATGAAAACCTAAGCGATGAAGTAAGCATTTTGCTACACACACCTGTGCTGAAAATGTTTGCGCACACACAAACAACTGACATAAATGTATTCAGTGTAGTGATGTTGGTGGGAGTGAGCAAACTACTTCTGTACTGGGTTTAATCCAACACACAGTTCTGAATGCTAGAGTCATTTGCACTCTGTCACTTTTGACTGCAGCATCCACCAGTTTGGGGTGGGATAATTCAATTCAACACACACCATTTCTCCTTCCAGCAGGTGAGCTAAGGTAGCAAAGCTTTCCTGGGCATGGGTAATGTGGTCACTGTGGCATATATATTGGTAAACTGTCTGGACTATTGTAATGCAAGCTTTGTTGGGCTTCCCTTGCAGCTGGTCCAGAGTAGGGATGGAAGAATCTGTCTATTTCATGTCTCGGATTCTCATTTTTCCAATCTTAAACCCAGTTCTCCACATTTTGCAGCAATTTGTTGAAAATTTTGAAAATTCACCAGCATTTTAGTATGAATTTCTCCTAATAAACAATTCTATGCAGTTTTCAGTAATGTACACATTTGTGCAAGTAATTTCCCCTAATACATGCATTTTTGTAAATATTGTTTGGCAAAATACAATGCTAAATTTGGATGAGTGAATTTTGAACCTGTGCTTTGGTTTGCATATTGTTTCAGAAAGAGTCAATTTGATAGATACTTACATACAAAATCTAAATAAGCTGACCAGGTTAACTGAAAAAAGTATTCTTATTCACTGCCTAGCAAGGGTACTAAGATCAGCTAAAGGAACTAATTTAGTTTTGCAATAATTACAGGCTTGTGGTAACATGGGCTTTTTCACTGGCAGCAGCAATGTTGTGGAATGCCCTCCCTGCTGATATATAAGAGACCCCATCAGTATTGGCGTTCTGCCAGCTCCTGAAGACACATCTGTTTAGGCAAGCATTCCCCTGAACTGAACTTCTGGTTTGATGGTTTCAACTGTGTGTTGGTTTTTAAAACTGCTTTAAAAACAGTTTTTTAATTGTTTGTTTTATTGCATATTTTAATTAAGGATGTTTTGGTGCACAATTGAATTGTTATTGTGTGTTTTAATGATGTATTGGTTTTATTGTTGTAAACCCCTTAGGAACCATTTTGGCATATACGCAGTATATATATTAATAAGAATCATAGCTGTCTATTTAGTGGCGATTTCTATACAGAGCCTCATGCACAGCACACTATTGCTTGTCAACAAGTGTCAGATATGTGGATTTCTTAGTAAAAAAAATAATTCTTAAAGCTATCTGTTAGATTGTCAGTAAATGGAAAGCACATGAGGCACACTTGGTTTATTTTTTTTATTTTACATTTACTGTATTCCCAAACAACTCTTTAAATGCTATAGACCTCATTTTCTCTTTATCCTTAGTATCAAGGAAAACCTATTATGGCCTATATGCCTTTCTACTTTTCATTAAGAACTATCCACTAATCATATCTGTTCATAAAGCTTAGAGGAATTATAATGCTTCTTCAAAAGAAAATATTGTGGAGTCATTTAATTTCTGCCGAATGTCCTAGTGTTCTGATGTCTGGGCATTTAGGCGCACTCATGTTCCTCTAGTGAAAACGATACTAGGGATGAGGCATAGAGAATCTGAGCTCATGCAAGCTAGAGAAAAGATGATTACAGAGAGAATCTTGGATGACAAGGTCTTAATGGAAATAAAAGCTGTACCTGGGGAAAAGAAGAGAGGCAGGTGGAAGAAGACAACAGAAGAAACTGGATCCAAGAGACTGGGGTCTGCCCTAGTATAAAGAGAGAAGGGGTCTAAGAATAAAGTGTGTGTGGGTGGGATTTAAGAAATTAAAGGACAGAAGGGTCAAGAAGAGTTCAGCTCCTTTTATTCTGTAAATAGGTCTGCCACTGATTTGTGTGTTTTATTTCCTAAGGACTTTAGTCTGTTCACCAATTAAAGTACGTAATGTAATGAACACTAATGAATGTTGCCTTGCCTGATTAGAAAGACAGTACAATTGTGTATTGGGGGGGGGAGTTATGTTCCAAGGATGGTGAGTATATGCAAACTCATGTAGTTCTGAACTACCTCCATGCAACCACCTGTACCTTCCAAGCTTAAAAGCTCTCTGCCTTACTTAGTGGGCTCTAGGATGCTCTTGTGCCAGCTCTGAGATGTTCCAAGTTCCAGCAAGAACATCCCAGAACCTGTATGCAAGCTTAAAAGCTCTTTCCACCAGGAAAACTCAACACAAAAGGAGCTTTTAAGCTCTTCGCCTTGTGTGCAATTAATTTGTGGGATTTGAACCAGCCAGTTTTCAACCATACAAGGTTGAGATTGCACAAGTTAATTGCACACAAGATGCTATTGTACTGTATATGAAAATATTTCCCATTGGAACATTTACTTTCATTTCTCTTTGCCCATGCAGGAGTGTTTGTACTTTTGTATATAGCTGTGCTGCAGATTTACTTCTGAATAATAGCAGTACGTCAAGTTGTCTGGTTTGTTGTATGAAAGCACCCAGTGTTTTTGTACCTGTTTCTCATTTTGATTTCTTAATGAATGGCTGGACTGACTTGATAAGGTGCTTTGACTCATTTGCAACAAAATAGTCGTAGAATTATTTACTTCATACAAATATAGTACCATCTGTGTATATAAGCACATTGAAGAATTACATTAAAAAGCTGTGAGTGCCTGTCAGGGAACTGTCATCGGACGGAAGGGAGGTGAAAGGGCTCACACAGGTTGGGAGAGACGCAGCAGCTGAAGAGGGAAACAACAGGGAGGTGAAAGGGCTCACACAGGTTGGGAGAGACGCAGCAGCTGAAGAAGGAACCAGCAGGGGAGAGGAGCTGAGCTGGAGGGATGGCTCAGAGACACTTCCAGCGAAAACAGTGGGGAGGTTTCAGAACCTCCTGTA